CCGTCCCTCACTCAAGTCCTATTGACATCATTACACAGATCTTTCATACGACTACGGGGAGAAGAGCGTTGTTCTGAAGAGACAGGCGTGAGAAAGTCGGCGAGCTTGTGATTTCTGTGCAAAGGCATACCCTGGAATGACCGCATTCTGTAGGTGATAGCGAAGTGGCGACGTCGTGCTGGATTGTATATTATTATCGTGGCCTGAAGGTACACGCATAATCTGTATTATTTCCCATGTGTTTCGGAGTAACCACCCGTACGACTGGAGATCTACACTCACTTTCCCACCCTTGTGGTACGCGCACGCCCTGATCCTGCAGCCTCAAAAGCTGCGGTATATGAACGGATGTTAGATGAAGCTTATTGACGGGGTTACGAGCCGACTACGGTAGGATCTAATGTAATCAGTGCCTCAGTGGGGAAAAGACTCAGTATTGTATAACTGGGTACCTAATGTAATCTACATGGCGAGGACATGGTCAGTACATATGGGCATACAGCATAGAATATCTAGAGGGCTCACCAGTGCCTCAGTGGGGAAAAGACTGAGGCACTGGTCGACACGAACGTCGGTATAAGTGAGCGACGGGGAGCGCCCGCGACTGATGGTGGCGGGCGATAAGCTCGCCATGTGGGCGCAGGCGCTCAGGTACGAAACCCAACGTTCTCGAGACTTCGTCGGCGCTTGCACGCCAACAAAGCTGAGGCGAGTGCTTCTTGGTACGTCGTGCGGCGGAATTGCACTACTTTGATAATCCGCATTTTCCAACCTGACCTCAGCAAATGCTCGGATTCAGGTCGACATGTTACTACATTCTATCATGCGTGCCTTGCCCGTGCTCTATTGCCCTGCTTCTCCTCCCCTCAGCTGCCCTCAAGCAGCCCTGCTCATGCCAGCCGACCGAATTCTGCGCTGGTCTGCGAGACTCTGAACGACTTGTGTGTTCTCGTAGGCGATCACGGGGTGCTGGATCCCCACCTATGAACTGCTCTCGATTCGTTTATTCGGAATGGAACTCAGTCCGTCGTATCCCCTCGCTCCACAGATTACGTTCCGTGTGCAGACTGGAGCTATGAAGTCTTTCGTGAAGTTGCTATCGGCTAGGTTTCCAAATAAGCATTAGCCCAAGTTCCAGGGCTCATCGATTGAACCTCTGCAACTGCATTCGAATCGACTACTTCCGTCGTCCCGCGTACTCCGCGCAGAGACCGCGGGTCACCAAGCAGGTGATCTTCGATGCCGACTGGATGCGCGTCATCGAAGCAGGTCTCGTCTTTCAAGCGGCAAGGCGGATATGTGCGTGCATCTGACCGTGTCCGATGCTCTCGACATCGAGATGGCGACAGAGGGACACCACCCGGCGGTATGTCGTCATGAGACCGCTAGCGAGCCTCGGTCCTGAGGTACGGATCGCTTCTTGCATCCTGAGCGCATGCCTTCCGAGCTTACCGTCCCCGCGATCAATGCGAGTGGGGATCCACCTGATCGCGTCTTCTTTCTGAACGAGAATCGTTCGCCCAGCAAGGAATCTGGTATGCTGCAGATGCACGTTCATATCCAGCAGGCACGATAGGGACATGCAGATGTCACATATCGTAGCTATGCGACAGGGTCCATCAACAACGCAAGTATCCGGTACGAAACGACTGGAGGATCCGCCACAATTGGAGGGGCCGCAAGCGGCGGGGCCGGTGCAAATATAGGATCTAGTCGATGTAACTTTTGCGTCAGACCCTTGCTGCCTGACAAAGGGACATTTCACGTACCAGAGGAAGCAGTATTGCAAGCATGTGCAGGCAGCGACCCAACCGAGGATGGAATCGACGGATAAGACCGATGAGGTCAGACAAGAGGGCGGAAAACGGGGCATGAATAGGTGATCCGAGCTGCGTGCTCTTCTCGAGGGCATCGACAGACAGGAAAGCGTTCGTCATATTGGCCTCTCGAAGCACGTCCTCGTAAACACGGCCCATCAGCTCCATATGAACGACGAGCTTCGAGGTTCTCGGCGATGCCTTGCATGGTGTGAAAGAGAGCCGCACCGATCGGTCTGCATCCGACGCCGAGTCGGGAAAGACCTTCGATCGGGCATTCCATGAGTCGATGTGGTGTTTCTTGCAAGAATGGGCGCGAGTGACGTCCTTGGATTCTTTGAAGTCGTCGCGAGAGAACATTGTAACCTTGGACCAATGGGCAGTGGAGCTGAGGCGGCATATGCCAAGGTCAAGGTATATATTCTCGGCTTTTGCTGGGTTATGAATGATAAAGCGGGTGACTGGGCCAGCCCGTTCGTCCCACTCCGTTTGTGTCACCGTGAATCCCAGCGCCAAGAATCGAGACACCAGCCAATGGGGTAGCCGAAACGGCCCACACGGGACACAGTTGATCGTGAGTTGAGCGGTCGTTGCGCTCGACGACTCCCCGTCAGGAGGGCTGGGCACGACGTAGATGGTGCGCCACGTCGCCTCGACTGGCTTGCCGTTGAACTGCAGGTTGTTCAGGTCGTCGCCAAGGGAAACCAGGCGAGCGATGTATGCTCCCGATGCCTGGCCTATCCTGTATTGGCATCCAGCATAGTAGCGGGGCCTGGTGGGGTCTGATCTAGGGGGTCCAGGAGAGATGAACAGACCTAGGTGATTGTCGTCATAATCTTCGCACAGAAGCACTGCTACAGTTACGCCGTCGGCCTCGAACACGGGAAGTCGGAGTTTGATGCCGTAGGTAGTGATCGAGATGCGCGGGAGCTCGATATGGCCAAAAAGTACAGTTGCTGGGCCCGCACCAATGGCACCTTGTTCCTCCTGTTTAGAAATGAGATCAGACACGACGACGTTTACAATAATTGCGAACGATTCGCTGACCGGATGGGGTGGATATGGTTGTGATGCGTTCGTGCCCAAGTGGGGAGTATAGCAGACCGCAAGATCAAAACCGCGTGGTGAGGATGCTAGAAGGCATCCCAAAGTGGCGCCAGGATCTTCGCCAGGAGACAGAGCTATTCCATGCTCGCTGAGGTCCCCACACGGGAGTCGGTATCCCCAGGCAAACAGGCTTAGGTCGGGATCTCGTTGCATGATTTCGTGCTGAAGTCGCATGAACGCCTTCTCTCCCTCGCCATAGTTCGTCGGCATGCTAATGTCAAAGAGACCCATCAGACAATACGCCTCATCCTCCAAACGCGTTGTCTGCCGCTGAGAAGCCCAACTCATACGCATGCAGACAGAGTATTCGGAAGGCCTTGTCTCCCTGGTGAAGATCTTCAGAGCGATGCCGGTGATGTCCGCTAGAAGCTCCGCAAGATCTGCCCTGTTCCCTAACTCCTCCCAATCGCACGAATAAAATCGGACGGAGGCGGGGGCGATCAGTTCCTGCAGCGTCCACCCCCGCGTATGCCATCGGCTCTTCCGGAATGCGGAATTGGGTGCGTGGAGGTTGGAGCCGCCCGGGACGTCGGCAAGGTACGCGTAGCATTCCTCGGCATCGGAGTACCAGCGAAACATCGAGTTGATCGATTCGGAGAGCTCGCTGCTGCTCGTCTTGTCAATGCAGCAAGAGTCGGCCCAGGCCCATCGGAAGCCGTGCTTCTCAGCAAGACGGCAGCACTCTCTGATCTTGGGCGAGAGCCGAGGGTCGTCTCGGGGGTTTCTGCCGGCGCGTTTGCATTGCTCGCCTATATTGCGGACGTCCTGGAAGGTCTGCTCTCCCTTCTCGTCCCAGGTGTGGGAGAGGATGGCGTAACCTCCGTCGGCATCGAAGTTCCTCGGGAAGTACACGAGCTCGGCGCGGTCGGTCCTGAGCAGCCACATTTAGATGCTGTGATGCGCCGATTAGTCGTGACATGGTGTAGCCACTAGTAATCAACCATTGAGCATACCGGATAACTCTGCTTCAGCTTGTGATAGGGAGGTGGCTGCAACGGACGACGACCAGAAGGGCTATAAGAGGGGGCGTCGAGGAAGTGAGGGAAGGTGATAGAGGGCTCAAGGAACGTCTGTTACGTTGCGAGACTCGGCGGCTAATTCCGAAGCCAGCCAGTGCCAGGCTGTGCAAATATCAGCCGTGAGCGCATACTCGCGCACAGGCTCCGATGCTATCCACCTTCGTCCACCAGCATGTTGTGGGGTCAATGCGGTGAGGCGGTTTAGCTTGAGCCCTGATCTTGAACAAGTCAAGGAGGTGAGCAAAGAAGCAAGTCGGCCAATACAAGCAGGAAAAGAGGATGCGGGAGCATAGTACTACGGTCTGACCAGATACCACAAACTGACTGACACGGGTTCCAGCGCCTTGCAAAACGATAGCGCATAAGCGAAAAACACGTTCAGGAAATTCCGGACTTCGAGCCCCATATCAGGTAGTCTGGCGCTCCACCGTCCGCCACAATCCTTGGAGACGGATTCCCTACGGTGTAATATCGCTCGCGACTGATTAAATAGACAGAACGTGTTCCAAGTTTTTGAGTTTGTTCTTCATGGCATGCATGTATCTCAGAAGCGTCTGATAACGTCAACAGAGGCCGAAGTTGTGAGGGAAGCGAATGGCAGGGCAGCAACGACCTGCGGACAGCCCGTAGTCACTGAGTGCTAAGTTGCCTTACTGGGGGCCGGAGAAGCCCTGGGCGTGTTTGCTGGGAATGCGCTATCGTTTTGCAAGGCGCGGTCAAGCCACGTGAGAGATGTTCGTCCGATCAAGCAAAGCGCGAGAGTGCTACATCACATACTGGAAGACCTCCCTTCAACAACACAATGATGCCAGTACCCGCCACACTTGCATATGCTCGTTCTCCATCCAGCTAGTCGTAGCAGGCGAAGCCATAGCAATTGATACTGCACCAGGGCGGCGAATCACAATGTTACAGTGCAGGCGCGAACGGGGCGGGTTTGCTAGTAGGTGCTCGCGGCCCGGTGGCTGTTTGGAGGGCTGCTCGCTGTGCTGCCTCTCGCCTCGCTGCTCTTTGTACGACTCGCTCCCTCTCTTAACGCTTACCGTTTACATCGCTGCCTGCCCATCCTGGACTCGGTTCCACTTGCAAGATCCGTCAAAACGCCGGGAGGACCTCCCCGAGCTCGACTACGCGCGATTGACGCATCAGGCAGCCGTGTGTGCAGCCCATACACTGTAAGTTTCTCCAATATCCGTTCTGGTATGCCTCATCGCGTGTCTCCGATCTCGTCTCACATCCAGCTATATTGGGTCGCCACATTCTGCCCGAGCTACAAGCTTCCCCGTTCGGACAGGATGCTTCGCTGCCTCAACCCGACCCTCCTGCACATCACACTTCCTTTCTGGCGCTCTGCAGCAGCACTCGCGTGGATCCCTTGCAATCGGGAGGTGCGACCATTCGCGTGCCTGGCCCAAATGTTGCAGTTCCACCGGGACGAGCCGTCGGCACTGCGCTCTCGTCCTCCCCTTGTAGCAGGTGCGTGCTGCACGCTCTCAAACGCATCAGCAACGTGCTCACGTACTGTTCACGCGATTCAAGTCAACCCCTGCTCTCCCTAGCTGCACTCTCCACCACCCCACCGCATAGCCGATTCCGGCCGCACAAGAACGCGCGTTCTGGTCTGCCTGGAGCGGCCGACACGTACGCGATTGCCTCAATAAACGAACCCAGCACAGACGCACTGCGCTCCCTCTTGGGCAGTGAGTTACCCTCGCATGGCTCTTCGCTGCGTGCTCCGACGCGCCTCCAGCTGGTCACCCGATTAGAGAGGATGAGGTCCTGACCTCACGGAGTGCGGAGGTACCATGCACCTGTGCGAGACGTGCATTGAGGGCAATCAACTCAACATCTTATTCATACCCAACAGAGCACATCCATCTCAGAAGCCCAAGGGATGTCCACACGCGCCACGAGCATCACCAGCAACGCAGGTGCAGTGGCTTCGTGCACGGAATGCACACGCGTCGCACAGGTGAGGTTCGTTTAAACACTCAGCAGGAGTCCCGGAAAGAGGATCGGGTCATCGAGCAGGACCTGTTGACGACGTGAGCTGAAAAAGGGCGCATTCAGAATGTGCCTGGTAGGTGCCCATGCGACAGACTGTCGTCCAACCAAAGGCCGCGATCGCTGGCTCTCCTCTCCAACGCGTCCCTTCTGTTCAGCGCGAACACTAATCCGTGTGGTCACTGCTCTCGCTTCGCTCTCGTCTCCTGGTGATGGGTGTCACGCTTCGCCATCCAGCACAGATCGTCAAGAATAGCAGGAGCATGTCCCTTGATGGTTTCGGCTACCTACCACTCACTCCACTTAAGTCCTGTCGACATCATTCCACAGCCTCGATAAACCTACGGAGAACAGAGAGGGTGTTGCGTTTTGCTGGGAGCGGAAGGACGGGTCGGACAACGAAGAAATAGGCATGGACAAGTCGGGTGAGCTCAATACCGTCCTCATGCAAGGGCACGTCCTGGACTGACCGCACTCTGCAGATGACAATATATACTCTATGTGAGACTTTCGGCTAGAGTGAGTTCACAAATGAGCATAACGTCTTCGCTATGACCCATCTCTTCCGGCGCACGCTCGAATCGTTCAGCCTCAACACATCCAGTCCCTAAGTAATCTATAGGTGACCGTCGGACTCGTTGTCCAATGATGTCAGCCACCGTAACCATGTGTCAACAAATCTGCTGATACGCCGCGCACCGCTCCGCTCGCGAAACCCTTGTTCATCGTGCGGCGGCCTTTGGATCGCTCACGATCTCTCAATGGTCCAATACCTATGCCAGCCTCCCCGCGTCTTTCCCTTATCATCTCTACAGGTGGGCACATGCGTCTTGGATGTCCATAGAGGTATGGCGATAGTATCTTTGCTATCGCGAGTGTATGCGTCTAGCCCACGATACACCACGAAGGGGAGTGATCTAGACGGCGACTCTAATCATAGCCGGACACGACAGCTGACATCGACCCGCAGAGGAAGAGAGCACCGCTTACAGGTACTAGTTCCTGATCTATGCTGCGTAGAAGATACTCGCCATTTCTGCCCAACCATTGGCACTCCAATGCGGAGTAGGACATGCATAGTAAGTCCCGCGTCCTTCGCCCGAAAGTATTCCACGTTGTATTGCAGTCCTATAGCTTGGAGTGCTCATACTGGGAGATCACCAACACCTCACACAGCCTTCAGACGACAGAGGCTAGACGGATGTGTGCATTATAAGCGCACCGCAGCACTCTTTGGTATGTCGTGCAGCACTATTTAACGATTGACATTCCCTACCTTGCCCAGATGTAGTGACGACGATTGGGCGGACTCAAGTCGACATACTACGACATTCACATGCTTATCTGTCCTCATGGCCCTACGTCTCCCTTCTCTGGCTCTCATGAAGTTCTACCCATGACAATACACCATCTTCTGCGGCGGACCATCCTTCAGAATGTAATTCGCTCAGTCGTATTCCCTCCCTTCACAAGCTACGTTCCGCATCCAGGCTGGCGCGTGGAAACCCGATCGTTTCGTGTCGGGCGAGATTCTAGAGGTCCATTCGCCCACGCCCAATGCTCATCGACAGATACCCTGCCTGCAACCGCATCAGAAGTCGACTACTTCTGTCGTACCGCGTGATTTGCACAGAGCCCGCACCTCGCCAAGCAGTCGTTTGACATCAACATGGAGCGCGTCTTTGATTTCAGGCGACGAGCTCGAAAACACGTATGCACCTGACCGGGTTCACGGGTCTCGATATCAAGGGGCCGGTCGGGAGCCCCTAGCACGAGGTACTGGAACCCTTGGACGAGTGCTTCAAGTGCATTGCCAATGGACTGCTAGCGTGCTCCAGCCCTGAGGTACGGATCGCTGCAAGTGCGTGTTGTCACGAAGCACATGACTCCTGAGTTTGCCGTCTCCCGCAGATTGACGCGGCAAAGGATCCACCCGATCACGCTGTCGTTCATGATGAGACCTATCCACTCAAGTGGGGAATTGAGGTGTAGATGAGGGGTCGCGTTCAGGCAGTACAACAGGAGAGACAGATGTCAAGCAACGGGGCTATGTAACAACTAGGCTTCCAGCGCAACAATTCAGGACAGATTAGCAGGGGGAGGCAAGGGAGGTAAACGGCAGTAGGCACTGAGTGACGGAGGGGATCAAACTGTAGCATGAGACCATTGCTCTCTGAGTGATTGAAGTGTCACTTACCAGACGAAGCTCGTATCAAGGGCTCTCCCCCCGGTAGCGTGCGAGGTGTTTGCTCGATTCGGCGTTGGACAGAGCGTGTGATCGATGAGAAAGTCGCATAGGGTTTTCGAGCGAGGGTGTGAGACCAGGCGTTGCCGGGTGTTTCAACGAGGGGTCGCGTCCGGGCTGTCTACCGTTTTTGTACGAGAGTTTGGGAATTGGCGTGTGATTGGGTGGTATGAGCTGCGTGCTCTTCTCGAGAGCTTTGAGAGACGGGAAAGCGTTCGTCATGTTGGCCTCTCGAAGCATTTTCTCGTAGACACGGCCCAAGAGTTCCATATGAACGACGAGCTTCGAAATTCCCGACGACGCCTTGCATGGTGTGGAAGAGAGCCGCACTGAACAGTCTGCATCCGACGCCGAGTCGGGAAAGACCTTCGACCGGGCATTCCATGAGTCAATGTGGTGTTCCTTGCAAGAATGGTCTCGAGGAACGTCCCCGGATTCTTTGAAGTCGTCGCCAGAGTACATTGCAACCTTGGACCAACGAGCAGTGGAATTGAGGTGGCATAGCCCAAGGTCAAGGTGAGTAATATCGCCTCTTATTGAGTGATGAATGATAAGGCAGGTGACTGGGCCAGCCCGTTCGTCCCACTGCTGTTGGATCACATCGATTCCCAGCGCCAAGAATCGAGACATCAGCCAATGGGGAAAGCGGAACGGCCCACACGGGACACAGTTCATCGTTAGTCGAGCGGTCGTTGCGCTCGACGACTCCCCGTCAGGAGGGCTGGGTACGACGTAGATGGTGCGCCACGTCGCCTCGACTGGCTTGCCGTTGAACTGCAGGTTCTTCAGGTCTTCGCCAAGGGAAACCAGGCGAGCGCTGTATCTAACCGATGCCGTGTCTATCCTGTATATGCATCCAGCGTACATAGTAGCGGGGCCTGGTAGGGTCTGATCTAGGGGGTCCAGGAGAGATGAACAGACCTAGGTGATTGTCGTCATAGTCTTCGCACAGAAGCACTGCTACAGTTACGCCGTCGGCCTCGAACACGGGAAGTCGGAGTTTGATGCCGTAGGTAGTGATCGAGATGCGCGGGAGCTCGATATGGTCAAAAAGTACAGTTGCTGGGCCCGCACTGGTGGCACTTTGTTCCTCCTATTTGAAAATGGGTTCAGACACGACGACATTTGCAATAGTTGCGAACGATTTACTGACCGGATGGGGCGAATATCGTTGCTTTGCGTTCGCGCCCAAGTTGGGAGTGTAGTAGACTCGAAGAGCAAACTCGCGTGGTGAGGATGCTAGAAGGTATATCGAATCCGACTGTCAGGAGCTTCGCTAGGAGACAGAGCTAACCCATGTCCGCTGAGGTCCCCACACGGGAGTCGGTATCCCCAGGCAAACAGGCTTAGGTCGGGATCTCGTCGCATAATTTTGTACTGAAGTCGCAGGAACGCCTTTTCTCCCCCGCCATAGTTCGTTGGCATGCTAACGTCAAAGAGACCCATCAGACAATATGCTTCATCCTCCAACTGCGTTGTCTGCCGCTGAGAAGCCCAACACATGCGCTCGCAGACAGAGTACTGGGAAGGCCTTGCCGCCCTGGTGAAGATGTCCCGAGGGAGTCCGGTGATCTCCCGCAGAAGCTCCGCCAGATCTGCTCTGTTCCCTAACTCCTCGCAATCGCATGAATAGAATGGGACGGAGGTAGAGGCGATCAGTTCCTGCAGCGTCCACCCCCGCGTGTGCCATCGACTCTTCCGGAATGCGGAATCGGGCGCGTGGAGGTCGGAGCCGCTCGGGACGTCCGCGAGGTAAGCGTAGCATTCCTCGGCATCGGAGTACCAGCGAAACATCGAGTTGATCGATTCGGAGAGCTCGCTGCTGCTCGTCTTGTCAATGCAGCAAGAGTCGGCCCAGGCCCATCGGAAGCCGTGCTTCTCAGCGAGTCGGCAGCACCCTCGGATCTTGGGCGATAGCTGAGGGTCGTCTCGGGGATTTTTGCGGGCACGATTGCATCGCTCGCCTATATCGCGGACCTCCTGAAAGGTCTGTTCTCCCTTCTGATCCCAGGTGTGAGAGAGAATGGCGTAGCCCCCATCGGCATCGAAATTCCTCGGGAAATGCACGAGCTCGGCGCGGTAGGTCCTAAGGAGCCACATCGCGACGCTGCGTTGCGATCGGTGGCGAACTCGTATAGCCACAGGGTATTCATCATTGAACGTACCGGATGACGCTGGTTCAGCTTGAGACAGGGTAGTGGTTGCGACGGACGAAGACCAGGGGAGGAGGATGCTAAGTAAGAAGGGGCGTCGAAGAAATGGGTGGAGATGGAGTTGGTGAGGGAAAGGGAGAGTTCGTTATATGCCCTCCAGCTCGGCGGCCGATTCACCGCCAGGTGCGAGGGAGCCTGGAGGAATACGCACCCAACATGTGCCCTAATCAAAGACCTCGAGGCACAAGGCTCGATGATGTCCACCGACACGGTTTCATGAACTTAACGCAGTAACGCAGACTTGCGGACGAAGACACGTCAACCTGTTGTGCATACACGAGGGTCTAGGGCATTCCCGTGGCTCATTTCCGAAGCTTAGCTAACAGCATGGAAGTCTGCGAAGCAGCTCGTACATGCCACCCCCCACCGAACGACCGCTCGACTCATCTATCGCCCATCTCCTCACCCGGAGTCCATGTTCGGATAGAGCGGCCGACGGAATCCAAGTTGCCCGCAGTGTTGGTGCAACCGAGCCCGTCCAGTGTGATCAGAGGGCATCACCCTCACGCAGCTCAACTGCCCAACGGGCGGCACCCCATCCGGGTCACTTGCACGCCGTATCGTCTTCCGGCAAGTTCCCGCCCATGTACGCCCGCACAAGCTTCGCCGTGCACAGTCGCCTCATTCACGGAGCAAATGCTCGTACGAGCCCTGCTAGAGCATCCCCGCGCCATCATACCGCATTCTCACATCCAGTGAGTCCCTCGTCGGAGCCACCAACTCGAACTTCGGCGCGAGGACGGAGATCGGGTGCGATATTGTGCCGCGCGAGTGGACCGTGTAATGCACACGCGACGCGGACAGACCACCCGATGCACTCGAGGCAGTACGCACCTCTAAGAAGAATCCGTGTGGGGATGAAAATGGCAAAGGTACCCCTTCAGTTCGTCCACGCACTCCTCGTTGTCCCTGCATGCAGTCACAGAGACGTTCTGGACGATCTGCAGCAGCTCCGGTCAGATGAGGCACGCGCATCCGGCAATGCTTGTTTGCGGCATGGAAGATCTGCGGGCAATGAAGAGAGTTGGCTCAGCACAGGAGACAAGAATATTTGCCGATGCAGTCCACAGTATCGGCACGACGTGCAGGTCTTCGTGGGGCTGGACTAGTATAGCGCACATTTGAGAGGCTCGGCTTGGTAGCAGTCGCTGAGGAGGGGTCGATGACCGCCTCATTGTCGAGGAGGTTCGAGTTCTAGAGCGCGACTCGGTAGCTGTTCGGAATCTACACGCCGTCGATGACCACACGCCAGACTTTGTGAGGTACGTTGCGGCGTGATACGGCCAAAAGAGGGAGCAATACCTCTGTCGAACGTAATAAATGAGGATATCGGGGGAAGCAACTTGAAATCTCTCAGTCACAGGGAGCAGTACATGAGCACGAAGATGGCGACAAAGACGGCTCCTGACATGAGTGGCCCGGAGCTTGAGTGATAGTCTTGCACGGTACAAGGAGGCAAGCCAAGAAGCACGGACTGCCGCAGGCAGAGAAGGTTGATCTGTGGCAGGGCGGGTCGGCGGACTCCGACCCTCCGGCGTCTATGCGCCAAAGGGCCGCTCCTTTCCATTACGCTCCCTTTTGTGCAGTCATTGCTATCCCATCGCTCACACAGCTCTTCGCATCCACAAGGTGTCACCTTTGTTGAACTCTGCCGCCGCTCAGGATTGTCAAGGCTAGCAAGTCTCTCAATAGTCGGCTACCCATTGCTCACTCTGCTCAAGTCCCATGCACACTGCTTCGCAGACTGATACGGCTGCGGGGAACAGGATTCGATCTGCGTAGGGGGAGGACGGGTGACAGGCATGGAGAAGAGATGGGCGCAGGGAAATTGGTCGAGTTCATCCTGTGCAAGGGTGCACCCCGGGTTGACTGCCATCACAGCGTGTGTACATACCGCTAGATTAAGTTCGCATGCTCAGTTCAACACACCACTGCTACTTTTCCATGACCTTTGTCTTCCCGAACAAGCGCATGTGCGGCTCGAGATCCCGCACTCTCTTTCCGCTTCCCATTGTGATGCACGCGCAGACCGTACTGCCTCAGAAGCTACGCGCGTATGCGATGTCGAAGTACCTATCATGCCATTGCGTTCGATCGCAAATGAGCTCATTCCTGTCTCCGTAATTCGACCAGTCTTCTGATCTTTCAATCACGCGCCTCCCCGCTCGTGAAACCCTTGTCCATGATGTAGCCCTTCTCGGATTACTTCTGAATGTGAGGGTTTGCTTAGATCACCTTCATTCCGTACCGACCTCCATCTTGTCTCTACCCACAGCTACACCTGTCGGACGTTCACGTACTCGCTTCCCCATAAAGGGGTGCATGTATCTAGCTCAAAAGGTGCCACGAAGGTAAGCCTAGATGACAACTTGAATCATAGCTGAAGGCGAAAGTTGACATTGACCTTCAGAGCAATAATGTATCTCACCTGGAGTACGACATGTCTAGGATCGAGGTCCCAGGAATTAACTTGAATGCATGCCTCATGATTCCCTTGTCCTTCACCTGCAAAGCGTTCCACGTCCGAGGGACAGGCCCGTAGTCTGCCCTATCAGTCCTCCCGACCACGATCTGAGTTGGCTAGATGGGCTTTCACCGGGTTTCGCCAACCCCTCGTAGAAAGCGGCTATAGCTGACTCGACGGAGGCCAGTCGTTTGTACGCTCACACAGTTGAGCGCAGGGTTTCGGTATGTTGTGCAGCACTCCAACACGAATGATAATTGAAACTCTTGGACGCATGCTTGAAGATGGGGTCTAGTAGTTGGGACTCAATACCAACTAGATGTGAAACGCTCTTCCTATGGTCCATCGGATCCATCAAACCAGCCATCCTTTCCGCTCAGCGAAGCTACGCAGAATGCGGACCAACGGCCCTCGACGTGTCTTCGTATCAAACACCTGCGCATGGTCGATGCCCCTGTACCACAGCACCTGCAAGCCATCCTTCTCCCAGCGGAACTTCGGTTCGTCCGCCTCATCGTCCGTCAAGTACCGCCGAACCTCCCTTGCGTCGACAATCTGATCCAGCTCGCTCAGCACCACCACGACGTCCCTCCCCGCGACGTCCTCCTTCCACAAGATGTTCTCCGTCCAGAAGAAGTGCCGTGCGAGCGTACGCGCGATGTCGGGGTCGCGGCTGGCGTAGTACCACACCGCCCACTCGTTCGCCGCGCGCGGCTCGCGGTACACGAAGTTGTACGCGACGGACGGCTGGTGGAGAAGGAACGGTATCGGGTCGATGAACACCCATGCGGAGACGCGCGCGCTGAGCGTCGGGTCGCGGAGCATGTGCGCGGCGTGGACAGTGCCGTAGGAGTGGGCGACGACGACGACGCGGGGGACCGAGTGCGCGTTGAGGAGGGCGGTGAGGGCGGTGAGCATCTCGGGGCGCGAGAGGGGCGTGGGAGAGATGCGCATGCTGATAGCGAGGCATTCGGTGGCGATGATTCCGACCTCGGGGTCGGCGTTCGCGAGCTCTTGGAGGAAGGATACATAGGGCCATAGTCCAATCTGATAGAGCCAAATTTCAAGATAAGAAGAACGTTAGACTGACTGAGACGTACGCCGATGCCGTGGAAAAAGAGGATTGGGTCCTTCGTGGTCGAACGATGAGGTCGGAGCCAGTAGATCAGACCGTCGCGGGTCGACTTATTGGAAAATACTGTTAATGGGCGAGGAGGAAAGCAGCACACCCATGCGCCAGAGGGAGCATAATGTCTGAAGCCCTTGAGATACAATTGGGTGGTCGCTATGGTATCGATCAAAGCGACAATCTACTGCGAGTCAGGCCTTCGAAACCTGAAAAGGAGACATCCACTTACAACATACCAGAGCAAAGGCCTGTTCGCCGTCACGACCGGGTCAAGCGAGACCTTGAGGGCGTGCACAGTATGATTCCGGCCTTCTTCTATCTTGTGCCCGAGGAGCTGTTCAATGTTACGCAGGTATCCTTCGATCTCTTCTGCCCACTCCTCTTGCAGGCCGTCTCGGCGAGTACCAAAGAACGCCCACAACAGCCAGTCAACCAGGTTTTCGCGCTTGTTGAGTTTCGGGTCTGCGAAATGGAACCACCCGGTAGCAAACGATGTTCCGCGCAGTTGCGCAAAACACTTCGCGAAAAGGGCTTCGCGCTCTTTGCGGGAGGGTACCGGCGGGTGTGTGGCAGCCTACGGGAAAAACAGAGCGTCAGACATTCTGATAAGGCTGCTCCTCGGCCCCTGTCGAATCGAACCTCTCCATGATACACAGGGACGATCTTTCATCAACAGGGGAAGGCAGTCAATCCGGATGTCAAATGAGCGCGCTTTTTGCCTCTTCGTTATGGCTAGTACTAGTACATGTTGTCCACTGGACTGGGAATAGCGTACGGAATGGATTCTCACCTTCTGCAGCCAGCTATTCCGTGGTACAGAGAGCAGGAAGTAGAAAGAGGTCTCTAAACCAGCATATGTGGCTAACCATGGGGAGTATAGCGCATGTCCATAGCGCCAGCTCGCGCATAGGTACGCTATGCTGAGGAGCGGGACGAGTTGAAGGACAAGGATGGAGAGGCGGATGAGGACATATTCCGGTAGAGATCGTCCGAGCATGTTGCAGGTATGGAAGTCGGAGAATGCGGGTCCTCCATCGACAAGGCGATCTCTTGAAACAAGCAGGAGCGCTGGGCTTGGGCTGAACGACGCTGACGACGGTGACAATATAAGTACTATGAGGTTGTCGAGCAAGCTTCATCCCCTCAAAGGCACACATGACCCGCCCCGCGCGTCATCCCCTTGGGCGCTCTACAGACCTCGGCACACTCCGACTCCCGAGCCTCCGACTCAACGACGCTAATCGTCCTCAGGACCGTCCTGTCCTCTTCGACCAGTTGGGCCTTCACGCTGTTCCATCAGTGCTCTGACTTTGGCTTTCTGTCCCTCGCTTACAATATCAGCCATCTTTCGTACATTGCGATGCCAACCGTCATCTGAGTGTCTAGTGTAAAGGTCTGCAAGTGTCCCGGTAGCCTCCGGGCTACCTATCGCTCTGCTCGAATTCATTCCTACGGACATGGCTTTGCAGACTTCATGCGGAGGTGTCATTCAAAGACACCGAGCGAGAAATAAATAGGTAAGCTGTTTCAGTTCGTCTCCAGCCTTGTGCCACAACACTCTGCCTTTCTGTATGGTAGCGGACTACGTTGTCGGTACTCGTGCACCACCCTTCGCCTTCCGTCCCGAAGAACAGAAAGACAAGAATTCCCCGCATCATACTCTAAGCGTAGAGAGTCTCCAAGCCAGGGCCTTGGGCTTCTCGGTAATCTAGTCGCATTTTTTCCATGTTGGCAGCTCGCCGTTTTCGGACATCGACGGCCCACTGAGTGTCTCGCCGTCGAAGACGAGCGGGATCTGGCGCATGCGCATGGACCAGAACCTCGCGTCGGTGCAGCACAGCGACAACTCGTCGTCGCACTCCGATGCTATGCATGCCGAGGTGCTAGGAGAGCGGAATGCTGAAGATTCAGATTCACACCACAGCCTGCAGTACACAGGCCTCGATCGTCCTCATGACTGATATCTCCCTGAGACGCGATCGTCGCTTGTAGCAGTCGGACACCATTGATGGTGTCTAGCTTGTGACACTTGGAAGCGGAGGCAACGGAACCTTCAAGATAGGCCCGTCGAGCCGTACAGGCGCTGAGGCGGGCGAGGTGATGATCCATGGAAAAGGCGAAATCATGTTGACTGACTGATGGAAGGACGACATAGGCCCATTCGAAGGCTACCTGTACGACGCACCCGCCAGTGGCCTCGCGGACCTCCTACTCTGTCAATGGTCGGCGGCTTCGAGACCGCACGCTTCTGCCGGTTCTTCGTCCTCATGACGCGGCCCCCCGACTCGTGGAGGACTTTGTCGCTCGCGTCGCCCTTGTCTGCCGTCGATGTCATCTGCGAGGGTGCCAGAGTGTGGACCCCGCCGTGTTTCACGCCCTTCTCCAGGCCCGTCACCTGTGCGTCCTCTCCTGCGCCCTGCACCAGGAACGTCATATGTTGGCGATGTATTGTGCTATTCAGCAACTGTATATACAATGCATCACGAATGACGCATATGGGCTAGCGGCCTTAGTACCTGCAAATATGTTGACAAGCTCGGTACCAAAGTTTACGTAGAAGACGATCATGAAGGTGAGAAGTACTAGTATTCTTCCATGGCATTATTGCGGTATACACAGGTGGTGAATAATGTACTATAAGAACGTTTCCAGAGAACTACACTTTCCTCCACAGATCCTCGTCGCGCTCAACAACCTCTCCTACCAGAAGCGCTTTACGCGCGCGGCTACATGTAACCCATTTATCAGAACCTCCAAGCTTCTCGTCCAGGCTCGACCGTTCGAATCGTTCTAGCGTCCGCCAACCAGCAAAGAGCGCCGCATGAAATGCGAGAAGAGCGTCCTGTAAGCAGGGACCCTCTGGGGGCCCCAGGCCGAATAGTCGGAAATGGTGCGTAGACGGTCGCCAAACGAATGTCTCGATCGCCGGACACGCTGCGCACCAAGGTTCGTTGTCAAAGGGGGCGAACACCCGCTGAAACGGACACTGCCAGGGGGAGCAAGTGGGTGGGTAAACTTCGTGTACCTCGGCCGGTGTGATAGGTGCTCACGCTGTGGTACACATGCGCAGATTCATCTAGCTCAAGGTACTTTAAGAGCGGTAGCCTCGCGTCTCCGAGGATTTGCGTGGGCCAGAGGTCCATGCTGGGCTCAAAGGTGTCGTCGCGCGATGCAAGAATCAGCCTGAAGGATACGAGGCGATCCCCCACAATGGGGAGGAGGTCGTGTGCGAGGGAGCGGTCTGCCGCGCCCCTGAGAGTGAGGTGTGTAATGTGATATTGGGAGAACGCCGGGTTGAGACTCCGCGCTGAGCACCATATTCCCTTCAAGTCCAGGTCGAGCGTCCGAAGGGTCCGCAGCTTGCGAAGGGGAGTGTGCAGGCAAACCCGATCGAAGTCTAAGTTGAGAGCAGGCCAGTTCTCCCATGCGTGAAGCACGCCGAACCCGGTGCCCGTAGTGGACAGGTCCCGCAGGCGGAAGGTTGCCGAAGAGAGCACGCCCGGGAAATCTTCGAGCGCGGGGAAGTCGAGGTCTACGAGGTTCACGGCGTATCGGAACATCTTCTCCATAGGTGCGCGGAGATATTGGATCTTCGCCGCGTCCACTGGGGCAACCCGGTAGTTGCGAGCCATGTCGCCCACTAGACTCCGGACGACTGCCGGAAGCTGGGGCGCCCCGTATGCGACGTCAGGAATGTCGAGGTGCAGCGACCGCATGGTGGACGCAAGCCGTCGATCGCCACCGACCGTCTCCAAGAATTTGCGAGTTTGGCGACCACTCGGGCCGACAGTTACGTGTCGGTAGAGAACGGCCTCCCCTTCTGCTCGGAATACAAGACATACGCGCGTCACCGAGGCTAAGTCGGAGGCGGCGTTGGGATCAGAAGGACCGACGAGAAAATTGAAAACAGTCCTCCAGACCTCCGATGGGGTTCGCATGGTGAGGCAACGCAAGCGGGCGATGGGGCGGTCCGCGGCATAGGGTTTCTGAGGAACGAACGTCGGCGTCGCCCTCTCAGCCTCGCTAGTGAATGAGAGTGCACCTGTGTATAATCCTCTTCGGACATCACGGTGTAGCAGATACTGCGATGTACGGCGACTGAAGTCGCTTGCGTCTCAGGGTTTGGGTACGACGCTACCAGGATGGAATCGACGCGATGGACAGAGGGGAAGGGAGTGCTCGTGAAGACGGCGCAAGGTAGCTTGATACTGATTCCACTTTCGGGCTCTCAGTAACCTGCAGTGACCTACATGGCCTAAGCTTTATAGCGAACGGGCGGCGATAAGGAAACAGCGCTGGTCCGATCTGTTTCGTCTTAACGCTGGTATGGGCCACGCTCACGGTACAGCTCATGACGCGTTCGAAGGGGGTGGTTGGGGGAACTGTAAAATTGGGCTGTGTCTCTGAACTGCTTCGGTTGCGACAAAACATCGTCATTAAATCATGCTGTGTGGCGGAAGAGAGGGACGCAAGAGATGACGCCGTGGCATGGAATGAGCTCGTCTAAGTACAATCTAGTATCATAAACCGATCCCAGGTGAGTGCCTTCCAAGTCATACGTTGCCGCGCAGTTGTGATAGGCTCAAAGTAGTGCTGCCAGCTCCTCCAGCGAGCCCACCACAACGTCAACTTCACCGCCCTCCGCCTTGCACTTCACATGGTCTCTGTCTTCCAAGTCGTCTGTGGGTCTAGGTACGTAAACTGTCTTCATCCCATGCTTTGCAGCCGCTCTGAGGTCCCAAAGGTGTGCGGCAACCATCGCGCATCTCTCTCCTGGGAGGCTGAGATGGTGTAGCGCGCCCTGATAAACCCTTGGGCTCCTGTATCAAGAAGAGGGTGGCGCGGCCATGTGAGTCCCAGGTTCCCGTTTCAAAGAGCGGACGCACGGCTTGCATGTTCCGAATAGATCCACGGATAAAACGACGTCCCAAGGAAGGTCCGCATTCTTAGCCTGGTAAGTGCTACCGGGGTCAGCATGCTATACGGCTGAACAGTGCTCCATATCCTCACCAAGTCGACGAGGAAGCGGATATTTCCGTTGGAGAGTGCGGCGACTATGTGATTCTTCTTTAGGGCGTACAGGCCTTTTGTCGAATCCGGCCATCCTGTCTGACATTAGGATCCCTTTCAAGGGGCTCAAGAGAACAAGGCAATTCCTACCCTGTGCCTTGTGCCAGGACATGACAAGTCCCTGCCTCTTTGCGTCATCCCAGTGGGAGGAGAGGTGCTTCCAACGATCTGACTTGAGCATGGCGTCGAGGACCTGGCATAGGAAGCGCGATCAGGATCGCTATGCGTAAATGGCAAAGTCGGAGACCTGTCGGTGAGCTACGTCCATGTTTGTAGCACCCTCTCCCCCTCCGGAGACATGTTGCCTAGAGCGAAGTCTCGGCCTTTTAATTCACGACGCATAGATGGCACGATGACGCACGCATGTTTGAAGTACCCCGTCCTCCACTCGGTAGCAAACGCGTCCCAGTCTGTCATCGACGCGTCATTTTGTTGTCACCACTGATCCGGACTGCTGTGAGTGTAGCGGCCCTTACCTTCATTTCCACCCTCCGGTGCAGCCGCAGCGAGCTGCTCGGTGATGTTCCCGTACCAGTCCACTACTGTACCAAAGACATCAAAAATGTAGGCCTCAACGTCCTTCAGGGCTTCGTGCGTGGAAGACATGGTGCGCGGGATCAAGACGGCGGACTGACGGACCTCCGCTGGGAGGTTAGGCCTTTATAATGCCGTGTGCGGTACCGTGACGATACATATGCGCACCGGAACAAAGTAGCGCTGGGAAATGACGACATCTTCGATCGACTCGGGGCCAAGTGCGGACTTTTCTTCTCATGGACGCTTGTGGGATGCATCCTCGGTGTGTCAGGATCTGTGCTGTAGTGGTCGGGCCATTGGCTTGTAGAAGATTGGGGTTCGTTGGACGTTGTGGCGTGGCGAGCGCGGAAGCGCGTTTGCTGGCGCCTCTGGGCCGCGCCGTGCGACAACTCTCTTTCAGCCACAACCATCGTCTTCGATGTCTGGTAGGCCGGTCTCACAAACTGCCATCACGGCAGCCTTTCAAGCTCCCACATAATCTGCATCAAATATTCACCAAATAGGGGTCTCGTACATGTCCCACGATAACGCTAAGCCTGCTGCGAAATACGTCCTTCCAGGCGCCGGTCAAGGCCACACTGGTCAGGTATGAAACCCGGAACTAGGCACTGAGATCGTTACAGGCCATGCATGGCTACGAAGTCTTCTCTATCAGTGTACGCACCTTTACTCCTTAATTAGGCGCAAGTCTCCTTACTCTCGGTGTACGCGTTCTTGTGGGCGTCCACAGGACACACGACAACAGCCGGCTTCGCATCGTTAGGAAGGGACCAGCGGGTGTTCCAATGGGACGTGATGATGGGTCAGACTATGCGGAAGATATTGGGGTACAAGGGGAAGAAATATCGTCGCAGCGGAGCTCAGCGAGGATGCAACGGTAATGAGTGTCTGTCCTGTCCGGGTAGGAGGAACCCTGAAATGCTTAGATTTCTCGAACCTTTGATTCGGTATATGTCGCAGAACCGGATACCGATCCAACCGCTCGAAGAGCACGTAGGGACGACTCGAGGTACGGAAGTTCAAGCTCCGGATGGGCGATCTGCGGAGTGACTCCATTGGCAGTATGTCTTCCCTCCAGCACGTCGCGTGCTGCATGCTATATCAGTGTCTCTGAATAGCATCTCACTAGGTTGCGTAGCAAATGTCGTAACCCACCAAAACAATGGGCTGTGCCTCGCGACTTCGTCCGGTACACACGTCCGCCTCATGAGCTTGTCAACAGGAAAGAGGATGAACGACTTCGAGGGTCGCGCGAGCGTGTCATGCATCATCCCCCGTGTTTCTGGCAGGAGGAGGCCATTGTTAGATATGGTTGGGCGACGTTTAGCACAAAGGTGTCGCCCTAAAGTCCTATCAATCCAAACTGCATGAACGAGTCATAACCTGAATGAGTACCACCCGGTTGAAGCTGGGAAGCTTATTACTGTGACGCTAATGAGACCATGAAGGTGTGGCGGAGTCCTTACCCAGCAAGTTCATCTACTCCACTCTTGTGAGTGTTCTACAGCAGCATTTCATCTTTTCCCTTGATCACACATGCTCATCATGTCGTTGAATCAATCGGCGGATAGATCAGTACTAGGAAAAAAAATTCTGGAAGACCTGTACTAGTACCGTCGGGTATCCCCATTCATGACGTCATCACTCATGCCTTGCTGGTCCCTATGTTTTCTCTCATGTGAACGGTCTTCATCTCACCGACCCGACAGCCATCACCATGCCATAAAACGACCTCAGGATCAACTCTGTCATTGAACTCCCTTTACAGACCTCCTTGCCAATGTGCACGCGCCCGACGCCGAATCAGTACATTCCCTGAGGCCCTCGCTCCCTTGTTCTCGACACGGGGTCTAGCAAAACTACGGGCATAAGCCTGCCGTCCTCGCCTCGATGGGAATACGAGTATAGGTGCGCACGAAAACATGACGTCGTTGAGGAGTATATGTTGTTAGTGACACCGAGATGGCGCGATGCTACCGCAACAAGCACGATATTTGGAGGCTTTGCGCGAGAGCGGCGTGCCCGTCCATGCGCAGACCTTCATCAGTTCTAAGTCAGTTAGACAGATACGACCGAATGTCTATTCAGGAATACTCCCGCAGATCTTCGAGGCGACCATGACTGCCCCGATAGGACATTCTAACATGACAGCGGAGCGTCCAGTATGACAACAACGGCAACTGCAGCCGTATCTCGGCACTATAGACAAGACGCGGCGGATACTTTCCCTCGGTCACGTCACTGCAACAATTTTGCTAACAAGGCATTCGGTCATATATCTTGGAAGCAAGGTGGATTAATGAGTTGTCGCCCTGGAGGTACGTGGAGAGAGAGACACGTATCCATGGAATACAACAGCGAGGATGCTCGGGTCAGTATCCCAATAATATTCTTGACTGACTGAAAACTGGAAGTACCGAGGGCGTTCAAGCAGTTCCGCTGAAGCGTAAACCCAGGTCGGTACGCCGGGTTAGGGCAAGATAGGGTAGCTTACCTGCCAAACCGCCGTAGCCTCTCAGAGCCCCGCTCCCATCACTGAACGGCTACGGTGATTTTGGCTGGCAAACCAACCTTACACTAATGAGTCCTATCTGACGTACCGAATGGGGCCTTAGGTTAGGAAGTTTCAGCACGTCTATAGTCTGTACGCTCAGGTCTACTTCCCCGAACAGATTCCATAGCACTGTGATTCAACACTTGTAGACTCGACTTTGTCTTCATGGTCCTGGGCTACTCTGGAGTGCGGATGAGTAGGCATGACGGCAAACTCGAAGGTCTTCATCGAAGAATAACGTGACCAGCAAGGCAGCAAGCACGGAGCTTTTCAGAAGCAGTTCTCCAATATAGCAGTTTACACATACCTGGATGACAATGGATAAGGAACGTCCTCGGTAAGTCTAGGATGCCACCATGGTTAGTGCGGGGTCGATGGCCGGACCCGGTGTGCCCGAGGCTTCGTGCCAGAGCTCTGATAGGGATTCTCTTCGCGCAACCGGCCAATTGTCGCACCATTAGGTACGATAAGTTGCCCTACTGAAACATTCTATGTTGCTTCGTACTGGGTGGATTGCATGCGGCGTCTCTGCGATCTGCCGGCGTAACTCTCCAATCGGTGATCGGGGTCCCTGATCTCACTTGATGGTCCACCAACCACGTTCGGCCACAATGTCTCTACGTGTGGCACTCCACCTGAAAGAAGTCTTGTCTTTGCGTAAAATAAGTGCGCCTGTGACCGGTCGAGCTGCCGCCACTGCTCTGGTACATTGAGAGTGCGTGCCAGTGTCGATGGTACTGCGTGCCCATTGTGCTTATGCATGGGTCGGAGGTCCTTTGACCCGATACCCATGTGCTTGGCTGTCATGAGCTGGAGAAAATCTTCGGAGCAATGCCCTCCTGATCTGAGACAAGTCCCTCAGTTATAGGACCTCCGAGTGGATCCTGGGCCAGTGAGCAGCTTCGATGTGCTCGCACATGCGCTGCAACGAGGAATCAGCGGCGGAGGACAGTTTAATAGTGAAATTACACGGAGCTTGATAGGAGTAATTCGAAGGTGATACAAGCAATATGTGCAATATCCTCAAGGGCTAGCAACCCGGCTCGGACTTTCAGTGTGAAAGAGGGGCAATACTACGCGATTTACTCGCAGCACACGCCCGTCCATCGATGTACTGGAAATCTGATCATAGCTCTTCTGGCTCGCTTGTATCCATGTTTCATAGTGAGACTTGCAACGCGTTGTTGGCTAGGAGTGAGCGCTTCAGCTCGAAGTCCTGGGCTTGCCTGAACGTTAGTCGGATAGGTTAGCTCAAGTATCGTAGCGCCGCATTTGATGATATGACCTGAAGTGTATCCAATAGAGACAGTCAGATATCTGGACTCATGCAGTGCCCCAATGGATAGCTAGCCTGAATTTCGATTCGCGACGGTACTTTTGCTGAACGTGGTCTCTTCACAAGGTACGGGCGGCTAGTGTCTGACGGCCCGCTCGGTTAGAGGTCCTCCTCCCAAGCCATAGTGCTCGGGGTCCTGATTTACACTTCTCGGGTTGGTGCGCTGGATACCCGTCCGGATGCCCCCTGGTGGATTGTGTTCACGTCCGTTCACGACAGTAAAGGGTAAGGAATGGGAAGCAGACGTTGATGATGATGAGAGCGCCTATTCTCGGTAAGCTCGAAAGCCATCTGTAGTATTACACATTCACTTCCGTATAATCAAGCTCTTCTCCACAGATCCTCAGAAAACTCGGTAACCTCTTCGACAAGACCGCCTCGTTCCCCACGGGTGTAGGCCACGCATGTAGCATAGCTGTCGAGTCCCATCTCCAGCCTAGGCCGTTCGAATCGTTCCAACGATGGCCAACTGGCGAAGAGCGCAGTGTTGTACCCAGGAAGAGCGTCGTGGAAACGGGACCGGGATGTCCCTCCGACGCGGAATAGTTGTAGATGGTACGCAGATGGTCTCCAGACGAATGTCTGGATGACTGGGCATGCTGCCTTCCAGGAATGATCGAAGGGGATGAACGCTTGCTGCGATGGATGCTGCCAGGGCAAAGCGAAAGGTCAGTATCGCGTGTGTGCGCCGTTCGAGACGAATGCTCACGCCTTGGTACTGAATTGCGGATTCATCTAGCTCGAAGTGCTTCAGGGCGGGCAACTCGGTATTTCCAAGAATCTGCGTGGGCCAGATGTCCGTCCAAGGAAGTAACTCCTGGTCGCGCGCGGCGAGGACTAGTCTGAAAGATACGAGGCGCTCGGCCATCAGAGGAAGGAGATCGTCCGCGAGGGAACGGTCTGCGGTGCCCCTAAGAGTCAGGTGCGTGATAGAATATTGGCAGAACGTCGTGTGGAGACTCTTCGCCGAGCACCATATGCCCTTCAAGTCCAGGTCGAGTATCCGAAGGGATCGCAGCTTCTCGACAGGACTGTACATGGAATAGCAGTTGCTATCCCGCGCCGGGGGGACCGAGTTCTCCCATTGGTGGAGTACGCCAAACGCCATGCCGGTTGTCGTCAGCGACCACAGGCGGAATGTTGCTCCGTGGAGTATACCTGGGAAGTCCTCTAGCGCGGGGAAGCGGAGGTCGACGAGGTTGACGGCGTGACGGAACATGCTTTCCATGGACGGACGGAGGGCTTGTATCGTCCCGACATCAACGAGGGCGATGTTTGGGTGGCGGGCCGTGTCCCCAATGAAGCTTCGTGCGGCTGCGGGGAGGGGGGGTACTCCGTACGCAACATCGGGGATATCGAGGCGCAACGATCGCACGGTAGACGCACGCTCCCTGTCTCCACCTACTGTCTCCAGGAATTTGCGGACTTGAGAAATGCTTGGGCCTACGGACACATCACGGTAGAGAGCGGCCTCCCCTTCTTCTCGAAAGAAGTGACATACGCGCGTTAAGGATGCTAGGGTGGGAGCGATGTTGGGGTCAGAAGGGTCGGCGAGGCTATCGAAAACGATCTTCCAGATCTCGGGTGGGAGCTGCGCGGTAGAGGGAGGGGGATGGGCGGTGGGGCAGTCGGGGGCGTGATGCTCCTTGGGAAGGTCAGTGTTGTTCATCAGAACGAGCCACTGAGAGCGCACCTGTTGACCAACTCTCTTCTCTGTAACTCTGCAGCAGGTGTACTGCTTGACGGGGACCGAAGGTGCCTCCGTCCCTCCGGGTAGTAGCAAGGCGGGGTAAGGGTTAGACATGATTGATGACGAAAGCCACAGCGTGCTTTATAATCTTTGAGCTTGCGGGTCCTCAGTGCCCCACAGGAATGTCAGTCCCTACTATGGCGCAGGATTTACAGTGGATGATGGGTGACAAGAAACCCAGCGCTGGCCTGATATGTTCCGTCTTAGCGCCGGTACTTGGATTACCCTCACGGGACGGCTCATGGCAAGTCCGCAGAGGACGACGAGCATTCTATCGGGTCATGCCCTGTCTCTGATATGCTTCATTTTCAAGGATAATCGACACATACAACACCCTGTGCAAGGAAGAGACTCACGTCGTCACATGGGGCTCCTGTATTAAGAAGGCGGTGAACGCTATCATGGTCATGTGCTGTCTGTTTCAAGAGCACACGCACGACTTGCAGGTTCCGAAAAATTCTACGGAAAATCGACGTCCCAAGGAAGGTCGGCACTCTTGGTCTGGAGAGCACGGCGGGAACAAGCATCATTTGCGGGTGAAAAGTGCTCCGTATCCTCACCCGGTCGACTAGGAAGCGGATGATTCTGTCGGGGAGTGCGGCGGTAATATATTTCTTCTTTAGACGTGCACGGGCCTTTGCTCTAATTCCGCCATTCTGTCTGACAATCAGGATTCGCCTAAAAAGGTGCTCAAGATACTGAGGCATTCCCCACTCTAGGCCTGTGCCAGAACATGACAAGTTCATGCATCGTTGTGTCATCCCAGTGAGGGGAAAGGCGCTTCCAACGATTCGACTTAAGCATGGTGTCAAGGACCTGGCATGGAAAGTGGGATCAGGACGCTCTGCGGATACAAAAGCCTGACAGTGAGCTATGTCCATGTCCGTGGTGCCTTCTCCGGCGAGATGCTGCCTAGAGGGAGGTCTCGACCTTTTGCACCGCGGCCCATAGTTCACACAATGATGCACGCGTTTCAGAGGTAACCCGCCCTCCACTCGGTAGTAAACTCATCCCCGTCTGTCATCAACGCGTCATTTCATTGCTGCCGTTGGCCTGGACTCCTGCTCCTGCAACATACCTTCGGTGATACACTCCGGTGCAGCCGCAGCGAGCTGCTTTGTTGTTCCCGTAGATATCGGATATATCATGTGAAGACCTCCACGGCTACAGAGCTCCTAACATGAACGATGGTATGGCGCAAAAGTTCAGGATTGCGAACCCATGGTATTCCAGAGTCCGCTTGGAGCTCGAGTTTCATGAGTCCCTATGCGGACGGTTTGTGTCTCAGGATGGCTAGCGCTGAGGTGACGACATCGAATCGGGGCCAGTAGTGTTCCTGTCATGGCGTACCAATATTTATATTGTTTCATAGGTGGGATACCTCGTCACTTCACCGATTGTCCTGCAGTGTTCGGAGATATTGGGATGTGGTTAGTAGCTCAACCATTGATTTCCTTATGTAGACGAAGCGGGGTAGAGATCAAGAGAGTGAAGGTTCTTTCTACGTTGGGGCTGTATGTTGAGTACGAACTGACCAAATGCGGCATTGCGATCACTCGGGGCCGCCGGCTGCATACAAGCGTGCGTCTGCGACTACAGGCAACTCTCCTCCTGGCCCCGCAAACAAGTTCCACTGACCAGCCATGTCAACACTGAGCCTCACGAGCATGACAGGAGTCGCTCCCTGATATCGAATGCTGGGGGTCGCCAAGCCTGAGCGCTGAGCAGGGCCCCACGTGAGTCACAGTGTGACTAAGCAGCGTTGGTCACATCAGCATATGGCACCACCGCCCCACGAGCGGCGCTCTAACCACGCCCCCTGGCAGCTTTTGTCACCCAGCTCACCGTCAGTATGGCACCCTCTCGCGGGCCCGCGCCCACCCCTCGAGCTTTGCATAAAACACTTTCCAACCATAAGGGGCCTGTACACGTCGCGCGGTACGCCAAGGGCACTGCGAAGTACGTCCTTTCAGGCGGACAGGACCGCACCATTCGACTGTGGAACCCAGACCTAGGCAATGAGATCAAATCCTACGCTGCGCATGGCTACGAAGTGCTCTCCATCTCAGTGTACGTGTCTTTGCTTGGTGATGTGGCGCGTATGCTCTGGGCTAACGCGTTCCCTCGGCTGGCGACAGGGCACACGACAACAGCCGGTTCGCATCGTCGGGAGGGGACCGGCAGGTGTTCTTGTGGGATGTAATGACGGGACAGACGATACGGAGGATTTCGGGGCATATGAGCAAGATCTTTGCGGTGGAGTTCAACGAGGACGCGACGGTGCTTGCTAGTGGTGAGTGTTTGTCTTGGTCGGGGCGCGGGAGGAAGGCCTGAGATGCTTAGACTTCTCGAGGGTCGTACGACTCCACCGTTAGGCTGTGGGACCTAAGGTGCGTAGATATGTCTATGGCTCGCACATCGAGCCGCCGACCGTTGTCTCGGTTTAGGTCGCAGAACCGGCAACCTATCCAAACGCTCGAAGAGGCACGCGACGCTGTCCAAGCTCTTCACGTCGGCAGATCGTACATCTGCACTGGATCTGTGGACGGCTATGTACGAACATACGACCTTCGAATGAGTGAGCTGCGTAGTGACTTCATTGGTAGTATGTTTTTCATCCTTTCATCCTTGCAAATTGCAGGATATGAATTTCACTGACCCACACTTCTCCAGACCCTGTGACAGCTGTTGTGCCTTCACAAGACAACCAGACATACCTCGCGACGGCACTTGACGCGCACGTTCGCCTCATGGACATGTCCACAGGAAAGATGCTGAACGACTTCAAGGGCCACGCGAGTGCGTCGTACCGCATTCGCGCCTGTTTCGGGCATGGGGAGGCCAGCGTTGTATGTGGGGACGAGGACGGGAAGGTCTGGGCATGGGACCTCGTGGATGTACGTACTATCATCCGCTTCTCCAGTATTTAAGGACAAAGCTGATGTCCAGCGTGGGACGCGAAGGCGGCATCGCTGCAGCCCAGCCCCCCGCCCAAGGTGCATGACAGGGTCATCACTTGGATTGAGCACCACCCAATCGAAGTTGGAGAGCTTATCACTGCGAGCGCGGACGGAACTGTGAAGGTGTGGCGAATTCAATCATCATCAGATGCTTGAAACGTTCTCTTTGTGCGAGTATACTGTAGCATGATTGCATTCTTTTCACTCCTTAATCCTCTCCCTCTGATCCTCGGTATGCGGTGGGTTGTGTCGGTGAGCAGATCTGAAGACGTTCGGAACGCACCGCGTGAAGCGCCAGATTACGGTGGCAGGGAACATGCAGGGAATCTGCGTATTCCACGCATATTACCCACGGATTCCCCAGTAAATTCCCCCTTGATGGGAATCTGCTGGGAACATGCACATCCTCTCCAGATTCCCTCAACATCCCCAACCGCTTCTGCAGATTTCAATTGCAAGGGGGACTTGCCTGCCCAAAATCACTTATCCGACCGCGATGACGTCGTCGCATGGTCCGATATCGACCTGCCATTGTATCTATTCACATCTTGACTTCGTACTTCTTGCATCCCCTCTGTATGCCTATCTCCCCCTTAAGTGGTACGTACTGACCATTGACTCTCGGATGACAGGCAGGTGTTCTCTCATACGGGCATATGTTGATTAGGGCAATAGTACGTCTCTAGTGTTGCGTGTGAAGTAGTATAAGTCTGATGGCATCTAGCAGGTTGTCCCACATTCATCGATCATCATCGATCAAGACTGTGAGTATCCAGATTCAACATTACAGTGCACTGCTAATCCTGTTCAAGCAGAACTCGATTACCGACATGGTGAGTGCATATATGCACATATCTTCAGTATTGCGCGTGCCATCTCAGCTGTGTCTGATGTCCAATTGTAAGTAGGTGTCACTGCGCTGGCGGCTATGGGTACGAGTTGATTAGGTCAGGGTTGATTGGGCCGGTCTGTATGATATATAGAGAAGTCTAGACGTAGCGTAGAAGAGTCGCCGTTTGAATATATTCATTTCGATCTAATTCGTTCTGGCTGCCAATATCGGGAGGAATACTAGGTGCCAAGCCGGGCACCAAGAATGGATATGAATAATAAGCTACAAAGTCGTATATCCTATTTGATCCCATGTTACACAGGGTGCGGAATGTCTAATGTCTAAGTGATATGTGGGGAACATGGTCGGAATGTGAGCGGAAGGCAGTTAATACCACGACATCCTCTAAACCTGCGGAATGTGGTGGGAACAAGCTGGGAATGTGGCGGTAATGTGCTCATCCTCTCCGTGTTCCCCAACCTCCGTGATCTGGCGCTTCACGCGGTGACGTGTGGGTTCACATCTGCAGTAAGTAGCAACACCGGGCATAGCCGTCAATGACGTCATCGCTCATGTCATGCTCCTGCTTATATTCCCGTCATGTAAGCAATCCCGAAGATATATATCAGTGACAGCCTCAGGAACCGTCGTTTCGCCGTGATCCAGCACAACTGCACGATGGCATCCGAAGATCTCAGGATTGACTCTGTCATAAACCTCCCCTTTTATGCCAGTGCACACGCACAACCAGGACAGCACCTGGGACCCTCGCTTCCCCGTCTCGGACTGGGGGTCTACAAGAACGAGGATCCCAAGCCTGCAGTCCTTGCCGCCCTGAAACATGGGTACAGGTGCGCATATATGCACGATAGCAACATCATGGCATATGCTCTGACGTTACATAGGCACATTGACACCGCGCGCATGTACCGTAACGAGCCAGCCGTTGGACAGGCCGTGCGCGAGAGCGGCGTGCCCCGTGGACAGGTCTTCGTCAGTGCGTTATCTACCTTGTGACACGCGCTTATGCTTTGGTCTGACCGCTGCACGCATATAGCGTCCAAGGTCGATAGCAAAGAGCACGGCAGCGATGTGACTCCCAAGGCTATCGAGGACTCAGTTCAGAAGTTAGGACTGGGTATGTCCTTCCACCAGTACATGTGTGGTCGCGTGAACTGAATTTATATGTGTAGGACATATCGACTTGCTGCTCATCCACAGTCCTTTGTCCGGGAAGGAGAAACGCCTGGAGGCGTGGAAGGCGTTCATTGCGGCGCGGGACAAGGGACAGGTCCACAACATCGGTGTTTCCAACTAGTGCGTAATCACATTCCGCAGACTATATGCGTTCGCCCGATTTTGGTGACCGCCTGGTTCGCTCTACCTAGTGGTGTGAAGCACCTGGAAGAGATCAGAGAAGCGAGACTGGAGACACCTTCGGTAAACCAGCTCGAGGTCCGTCCCAAATTATAGCCCTCGCGGCTACTAGGAATGCATCGGCTTACGGTGCTCGCCAGCTTCACCCATTCTGCCAGCAGAAAGAAATTGTGGAATACTGCCAAAAGCATGGCATCGTTATCGAGGCGTACACACCGCTGATCCGTGGGGGATGGAACGATACCATCGTGGATATTGGCAAGAAGGTACAGATGAACGGCATTCCCGTATACCAAGCCCTGCAGATCACTAGTTTCCTGCACAGTTCAACAAAGACCCTGCACAAGTCCTCGTTCGATGGTCCCTGCAGCGCGGGTAAGCCTCAGGAATCTATTGAGTACATGGCCGTAGGCCTGAGTTTTGTTGCTTGTAGCTTCGTGCCGCTCCCGAAGTCCGCTAACCCCGAACGTGTCGTCTCTAATGCGCAAGTGTACGACTTCGAGCTCAGCACTGAAGACTTGAAGACCCTCGACTCGCTCGACCTCGGCAAGGAAGGCTCAGTCACCTGGAACCCAGTCGATGCCGCATGAGGTGGAATATGCGTCACGGCTTTGGAGTGATCCAGAGACAATTAACTGGTCTGATCGATAAGCCGTGCTGCTGTCTGATATGATTGAGGACATCCTACTTCGTGAGATGGTACGTAGATGAACGAGATTGACGATGTGTTGTGCATAACGGTGCACTCTTGACCCACTACAAGACCGAATCGCGAAACAGAACTGAGAGGAAGTATTATTAGCCGGTTAAAGATTAGAGAGCGCCCCACTTGCTCGCCGGGAGACCCGTATGGCTTATATACACGATGTGCCCATGATCCTGTCAGCAATCCCATCTGAACTGAGCTGCCTGTTAGAATGTCGGCGCGGAACGCCTTATCCCTCGCGACGAATATCCGTCTCTCGACCGGTATGTGTGCCACAACCACACGTATATCAAGTTCATTTACTCAACCACGTACAGGACATGATATACCCATACTCGGACTGGGGGTCGCCGAGACAACAGACTGCGTCTCTGCATGTGTCGCGGCTCTGAAATATGGATATAGGTGGGCACTACCACATCATGGTTCATAACGTCGACTCACGGATATGCTAAACGATCGCACGAAGGCACTTTGACACCGCGAGACATTACAAGAAAGAGGAACAAGAAAGAGGAAGAAGTCGGTCGGGCTATCCGAGAAAGCGGAATCCCCAGGGAGGAAATCTTTGTCAGTGAGTTACCTCATGGGGCCATCACACCCCCTAGCAATGCTCAATGAGAAGCAGCCTCCAAAGTTATGGCCACCGACCATGGGTACGAGGACACCCTCCGTGCCGTGGACGACTCCCTGCAGAAATTCGGTTATGGTGAGGAGCATCCGGACGCCAGCGGCGGAGCTTCGGCTGACTTGCACTTTCGCTGGCTGGCCAGACTATTTCGATCTCTACCTGATACATAGCCCGCTCTCGGGGCAGGAGAAGCGCCTCGGTACCTGGCGCGCACTCATCGACGCGAAGAACGCTGGGAAGGTCAAGTCAATTGGCGTTTCGAACTAGTCCGTATCTTGCCATCTCTGGCACTCAGAATCAATGAATGCTGACAGTTGTCGAATCTTCTGCGTAGCTCCGGAAAGCATATAGACGAGATACGCGCTGCAGGACTGGAGCTTCCTTCCGTAAACCAGATCGAGGTGCTCCCCAGCACGTCACCCTCTATTGAAGCAGTTGTACTGACACCATTTGACGCACTCGCCGATCGTTAGCTGCACCCTTTGTGCCAACAAAGACCCATTGTGAAGTACTGCCAGGAAAACGGCATCGTAGTGGAAGCATATAGCCCTTTGGCTCGCAGCAAGCTCGGCGGTCCGGTGTTGCAACGCACCACGAAACTGGTGCGCGACTGTCTTGCGTGCTTCCTCCGCTGGTTGACGCTTACACGAATGTCGCAGTACAACAAGGACATCGCGCAAATCGCTGTTCGATGGTCTCTTCAGCATGGGTACGAGGACTCGTGCCTCCAGGAAGTACAACGCTCACTACCTGCATTCTACAGTTTCGTCCCGCTTCCGAAGGCGTCCCATCGAGAAAGAATCTTGTCAAACTCCCAGGTCTACGACTTCGAGCTAAGCGATGAAGACATGGCAGCGCTGGATGCATTGGATAAGGGCAAGGCGGGATCGGTGACCTGGAACCCCGTCGATGCCGACTGAGTGCGGAGAGTATGATAGGCCTCGAGGGCCAGACGCTGGCCAACACGCGGTGGTCCTCAAGTACAGTCGCTATAATGGAGCTGTGATTCCTTCAGAAACCCTATGTATGAACTTGATCCCACTAATGTACACATAGTATGGGCACACCGACATTTCAATGTCGATCTATCACTTTCAACGCTAGCGAATGAAAGATCAGACAACGTCCGAACTCCTCGATACAGTGGGGGCAAGCATAACCACCACCTCGTGCTTTCCAAAGACATCGACTCCGTATTCTGTGACAGCCACCTCTGGTGTATCTGACTCTAATGTTGAACACACACGCCATACGTCGGAAGAATCTAGCACAGATCCGATAGAGCCCAGAACGCGATTGAAACCAGGCGCGGAAACCGTGGCGTCTCCGAACGGGTCGCTACGATGCTGTGTGCGCTGTTTCACCTTCTGAAGATCGAACATGAAGCGCGAGACGAGGATCGCCGTGATGCTGTCATGAAGTGGATGTGAATCTCGCAACGGTCTATATGAAGTGATCAAAAGGGAGACTTACGGCTCGGTGAAGGAGACGATGTAGCTTGTCTGTTGTATGTTGACGGTGATCTTAGTAGTAGGCGTTAGGGTAAGCGGCACAAAATCACTTGTGAGCTTATGTAAACGTACGGAGAGAACAGTGAATGTAAGATGAAGGATGTTCAGGACAAGAAGTACTCTGATGACGAATTCAGACCACGTGGTCAGTGACTTGTTGTTTGGCGATTTCGGATGACTGACAAGAAATAGATCGTTCCTAATTATCACTCAATCAGAAGGGGATGTTTTGCGCGACCATGAAACATACCGTTCACTAGAAGTAGCTGGGCGATAGATGGCACGTTTCTGCCCGAGCAACGGGCGATGGCTGCTGTGTTATAGGTCGTATACCATGTAACGACGACATCAATCGCATTTGCAATGATCAAGGACGACCGGTTGACAATAGCAACTACATTGGAGTTAGGGCGCTCATGATAACAAGGTCAAAGAACGTCTGACATACGCACATCTGCTGGAAACATCAGCCACTGGCCTGACGGAGACAGATGATTGAACTTACATCGAAGAGAGGGCGGGGGAGACAGCGACAACGGTCTGGCATCCCCAGACAGGAACGTACTCTCCATGAGACCAGTAGAAGTGGGTCTACAAGGAACGGGTAGTAGCATGTGTGCGAATGCATGTCACAAATTCCGCTCACCAGATTGATACCGATCGGGATCACGGAGAACACCAGCACGGGCATCGCGGCTACCCATCGTTTTCCGCAAAGTGCATACACACGTAGGCTGGAGAACACTGCAAGGGGATGCATCAACAGATTGTATATTTCAGCGTTCGTAAGTTGGAGCTGATACTTACACGCCCACGGCACGTATTGAAGGTTATCGAGAGCGAATGAGGTCATAACCGAAGCGTTGCAGCTTTCGACAGCTCAGTGTAAGCAAGCGACCATCTCAAAAGAGACAGAAGGGGTCGAGTACCTCTGCGGCTGTACGTAAGTGTCGATGTGCTCGCAGAGCGTACACAGCAACCCACCTTGTCCGTGACCGCCATAGATCCAGAATAGCTGGAGAGCATGTACACCAGAGGCGCATACCTGTTCAAGAGGAACAGCACGGTGGCTCCAGTGACCTTCTCTCTCCAAAAGAGGTTGACCTCCTTGCCCAGTCCGATCACCCACTCATACGCCAGCAGCGCTAGAGAAGTAGCGTCAGTGACAGGCGAAGTGTGCATGAGCGGTGGATGTACAAGTAATGGCAAGGGAGATGTAGTTCGAAATAGTCCTGTTTGGGTAGTCGCCGAGATCAGCATGGTATCAAGGAGGAAGTACCCGCGGTAGTACTCACGACTCTGCAACGAGCGTGATAATTTGTGCAGCTTCCATGGCAGCCATTGAAGTCTTTTCGATCGGTTGATCAGTCAATTAGACGGTGTTGTGCACGGAGTTCAAAGCAGGACGGACGCAGTAGTCTGAATGTTTGCAGTCTGAAGGCATCCATACTTATACGCAAATACGTCTCCACGTCTCCATCTCAGCTACATGATCAACAGTAAAAGAAGAACTCCGTAGCCACCACCAGTTCAACAAGATGCCCGGGGCCAGACATACTCGTTCGCAGCTTCGAGCGCAGGGCCTATAGGTAGCGAAAGTCAGACGTCAGCGACTGAAGGGCGACGGGGTCTCCGGAAGATTCCTTGCATGGTTCTATCATCCTTCACGAGCCAGGGCCGCAGCCAAGGTAACACACGAAGTGGATGATTGAATGCCGTAGAGCAGAAGGAACGGTGAGAGGGGAGATAGAGTTCGGGGCCGAAGTGGCAGATGCGCGTCCTCGACATTGACGATGATCCAAAGATGTCCAGATGAGGAAGCGCCGCTATGTGCCTCTGTGGCTATGGTGGAAACCAAGTCTGCGACCAACACCACAGCCGCTCAGGTTCTGCGATGCCCCACGCGTATGGCATGCGCCCAACACTGCAAATCAGGGCACGAACCTGAGTGTCTCTGAGTAGCGGTGAACCATTGCAAGAAGTAAAAACCGTGTAGGCACGTTGCAGGGACGGACATGAGCATTATAAAGTTGACATCTATTCTACAACAAAGAACCGAATGTTGCGACAACAATACCAATGGTGCTCATGAATGCGATCATGCCATACTAACGTGTGTGCAACAGTAGCATATGGGAGTGGGGTACTGTAGTTCACCAGATCCAGTCCGCAAGAGGTATACAGAATGATGATTACAATATGCCAGTATGCCAGTAACGATGCAACAGTAACGTACCCGAACACCAAGATATACAGAGAAGCGTGTTGGAGCGTGGGAGCGAGGGAGCAAGATTACACATGAACGGAGGGGGGTTACAACTTGTCGAGATGCGAGATGAGGAATAAAGTAAACCGTCAAAGTCGCGTTCAGCCCATGCGCTCAGTCGTAGCAGGCCGACGCACGCGTGATCGTCGTCACCCCCACCGCGTTGTCTGAAGTTATTCTTTACTTTGGCTTCTGGAGCATGGCCATGACAGCCTCGATGCCCTTCATGCCGAGCCCGCCCTTCGGGTAGCAGATGTACAACTGCAAGGCGCGCGCGTCAGCGTCTCATCTCCCCCTACCCCCTTCATCATCCAATCCAAGGAACACTCACCGGATCGTGCCACGTCCCAAACTTGCTCCTGAAGTCACCCTTGGTCGTCAAGTGGAACGTCGCCGACAGCCCGTTGTACGCCTTCTCGAGCGTCTTCACCTTGAAGCCGTGGATGTTATCTGCCGCCTGCAGCGTGCCGGTCGCGCCCGCCCCAAACGTCGCGGTCTTCACACCCGCGTCGCCCAGCTTCTTGATGACGTACGCGAGAATATACTCGATCGCGCCGAGCGGCGCCCCCGGGAACTCGAGAGCCCATTTGATCTGGAAGCCGTGTTTCGCCGCGAGCTGCGCAAGGACGACCAAGGCGCATATCTGTTATGTCCGACAACGCCGTCAGCATTCTCGGATCGACTCTGCAAGGAACCGCTGATGAGGCGAGAACGCACCTTGCCGTCCTTGTCCACCGCATAGAAGTACCTGCGGTGGTGCATGTCGTCGAACGGCCGCACGCCCGTTAGGTGGATCTGCGTGCCCTTCCGGTTCGCCTCCCATTCCTTACACCGCTGCTCGAGCTGCTCCTTCACGCTGGGGTCCATCTCTTGCCCGACCTCGATAACCTTCACACCCTCGCGCTCCGCCCGGTGGATCTTTCGGCGCACGGTCTTGTCGTGCTCCGCCGGATCCGTCTCCGTAGGGTTGATGCGCTCCTCTGCGACGGCGATCACCGCGCCCCAGCCCAGGTCCTCCGCGAGGTACTTCTCAGTCTGCTTGTCCACGCAGCACCACACGGGCTTGAGGTGTTCCTCTTGCAAGAACGCGAGGAACGCCTTGGCCACGCGCGGGATCTGGTCGACCTCACAAAGAGGGTTTCCGAAGATGACCGCGAAGCCGTTCTGGGGGATGTAGCCGACTGCAGCCCCAGTCGCCTTATCGCGCCAGATCGTCCAGGAGGGATCCACCCAGCTAGTGTTGGTCGCGTCCCCGTACTTCGCGATAAGCTGTTGAATATCACATTAGTCGACTGCTAGGGGTATGAATGATCCGCCTACGCACATTCTCGAGCGGCGGCAATTCGCCGTGCCTCTTGCCCGGCTGGAACGTCGACGACTCGGGGCCGTGCAAGATGAGCGAGTTCGCAGCAATGGCTGCAGCCTCCTGCGGGTCGTGGTTGCGCACCACGAAGCTGCGCGGATCGCGGGGAAACAGACTGGCCCAGCGGATGTTCCCGAGCTTCAGGAACAGCATGACCAGTCGCTCGAGACCGACACCTCCTCCACCGTGCTGGGCGCAGGTCAGCTGGTGCGACGGAGACACACGAGGCACGAAAACTCACCGGAGGGCAGCCCCACCTGAAGCCGTCGACGTACTCCTTCATCGTGTCCGGGTCGATGTTGGACTCGCGCATCCGCTGCTCGAGGAAGGGTGCGACATGGATACGCTGGCCTCCCGACAGGATCTCCTCCCCACGTAGGAAGATATCATACGAGTTCGAAAATTTCTGCGATCCGGTTAGGGACGCGGATCGGAAGGCGTCGCAGATAAAAAAGCGCTCACGTTGTTCTCGGGATCAGGCATGGTGTAGAACGGCCGCACGTCCAGCGGGAACTTGTCGAGGATGTAGTAGTCCGCGCCATACTTCTCCTTCACGAGCTGACCGAGGCGCTGCTCAGCGCGCGTGCTCAGGTCCTCATACTCATCTGGCTCGCTGCCGTCTTCCTCTCTCCAGCCCGATTCCTTCAACATCCGAATGCCCTCAGCAAACTTCAGGCGGGGCGTCTCGTCGAGGATAACGACGTCGTCGGAAGGGAACGTCTTTTTCACGGTGTCGATCTACAGGAATCGGCGCAGTGAGCAGAAATAGCCCATAGGGATCGGGAGTGATACGCACCTCAGACCGGAATCGAGTGAGCAGGTTCTTGAAGATGAACTTGAAGCACTCGTCGAGGGTGTCCAACACCTCGTGGTAATGGCTTTCGATCGCCATTTCAATATCGAGACCCGTGAACTCGGTCAGGTGCCTGTGCGTGTTCGAGTTCTCTGCCCGAAAGACGGGGCCGATTTCGAAGACCCGTTCCATGTCGGCGGCGATACACATCTGCTTGGCGAGCTGCGGACTCTGCGCGAGGCACGCCGGGCGACGGAAGTAGTCGACTTTGAAGACGGCTGCACCTGACTCTGTTGACGTGCCCTGAAATTTCGAGGAGTGAATCTCCGTGAATCCTCGTTCGACGAGGAACGAGCGGAAGAGTTCGCAGACGCCGGCCTGAATACGGAAGATAGATTGTGCAGCTGGGGACTACGGCCAGGTGAGCCATGATGCGCAAGTAGATTGAAAGTCGCTCTTACGCGCAAATCTAGCACACGATGATCTAGACGTGTACGTTCGCCCACACGGACGAAATGGGCGTCTTCCTGTATGCACCACATGTCTGTGGTCAGCTTCGCTGATGCTGGGGGAGCGATGAGGACTTGCCCTGTCATAGTATTCCTTCGGTCTCGAAACATCCTCCACCTGGAATGGAAGCGCCTCTGACGGAGCTGCGATGACAAATATCTGCACATATGTGAGCGTTGATAGGGGCATGGACTAAGACTCGAAACAACGTACTTTCTCGATATGCACCTCATACTGGTGGATGGTCGTGCCGTGCACCTGCTCCTGGTTCGGCGGCGGTCGTTGGATGACGCCTTCTACAACAACGATCGACTCTCGTGCGATGCCCTCGGCCCAACGAACCATAATCTGTGAGACTTTCTCCGGCTCCTCAGTGAGCACGCCCTGTATCGTGGTGAACTGGTGGCGGAGGATCAGGAAGACAATCTTTGTGCCTGCGACCGTCCGGTCAAGTCACGCAAAGTATGAGGCGGGATTCGGTCGTACCTAATGCACGGATGTGGTGGACGCGAGCACGGAAAACAACCCTGTCTCCTTCTTTCTTGTCGGCGAAATCGCGAAGCTTGTCGAGGGGACGATCTAGATGAGGTTTGCGAGAAAAGTATGAATCACCACGAGCTTCAGGTTCGTAGAGACGATCACATACCTGAGCGCGATTGTGAGGCGTTCAACTCTTTATCTCCCCAATTATCCCTGTAGGGATCCTGGACAACGGGGCGTAAGAACCGACTGTCGCAAGAGGTTTGAAGGGACGCACCTCGTCATGTGCCTTCTGCATCTGCTCCTTGCGTCTACGACGCTCCTCCTCATCCTTGACCTCTCGCTCTGCCTTTCTGTCTTCTTTCAACTCGGTGAAGGACAGGCTTCGGCTGCGGGAGGTGCTAGTAGGCCTCGGAACGGGCGAGCCATTCTCGTGCGCTTGGTGCGTCTCGGGTGCAGTGTCGGCTTGGACGGGTTCTTCGGACAGGTTCTTGGCGTGGCCGTTTGTAAAGTATTTGATGGGTGACTTGGGTTCGCCATTGGTGGAGCTAGATGGACTATCCTTCCCGCTTCCCTTGGAGAGAGAGCGAGTATGTGTGCTGACGACTCTGGATAACACCCTCTTGATGGTAGACATGGTGGACGATCAGAGGTGTGAGAGGCCCGGTAGGGCGATGTGGAGAGGGACGGGAGGGGTGTTGGATAGGGGAGTGCTGAGCGGTATCAGGAGGGTGCCGGTGATGAGTATGTATGTAAAGTTAGTCGAACCGGCCGGGGCCGTTTTCTGCTCGTGGAGGACCGGGTCGAGGCACGACGTCATCGCCCGGTACCCGGAGACGTCATCCTTTCCGTGTATGGATGCCATCTCTCCTGCGGGCTTGGCATCACCATGCGCCCAGCCCACCCTGCGCACAGTGGAGGAGAAGCCCGTCGCCCACCACACCAACAAGCAAGGAGGAGCCTGTGCGACCAGCCCATGGCATTCAGAGCTTTGTCCAAGTCCGTGACGACGGCGGAGCCCGCAATTCCTGCACGACGATGAGTCAACCCGTCCCAACGCCCCCCGCGGGCCACTGACTGACAAGCGTCCTTACACATCGCAGGCCTCTTGATGAATCTCGCCCGTCGGGATCGCAGACGCGTCTGGACGGGCGCCGCCATGAATAAGCGGCACTGAGCGCCGGCCGGATCCGCTTACCTGTCGGCCTTTACATCTCCGCATCCGACTCGGCCGTCCAGAGCATCCTGCAAAAGCACGCAGCTGCGAGCAGATCGGAGGCCATGCTGACGACGGGCATCGGGCACGAGGGCAGACGGACAGCCAGAACGCGAGACCACGGGCCCGGGCCCAGCGTGCGACGCGAATGGTTCTCACGCCCGCGTCTAGACTTCCCGCCGTTTCTAGCGTTTGACTTGCCAAACGTCTACGACCGACCACAACGAGCGCGTTCTTTCTGGAGCCCATGGCCATCGGGCCATGACGTCCAGGTCATCCGCTGCTGCACATCCGAACACATGCTAGGTGCATGCGGCGTCGTAAAGGCTCGAGGTGCTATAAGTCGATGACAAGTTGACGTACCTAGCGGTAAACCTTAGGACAGACTGCGATGGTTACTTGACGAATCAGGCTCGGCGGCTTACACAGAGCTACTCAGCCGTCCGAATATACCACAGCAGCAGCTTGACATTCTAGTTCAAGTGGGCTTCGACCTACCAGCCATCTCCTACAAGCAGCGCATCGCGCGCCCATCAGGCTATTGGCCTTTCTTCCCGACATGGACGTTCTACCGGTTGAGATTCTTCAGAAAATCTTCCAACTAGTATGCATAGATGGAGGGCTCACTGAATACTCGCTCTCCCTCACCTCGGAGAGATTCCGTGCTATCGTCCGACCTATCCGCTTTGGTTCCGTCGCGGTACTCTGCGCAACAAAACGACTTCTAGCCTTCTTGTCCATCTACGAACAGGAGCGTCAGCAGTCACCCGAGACCAAATTCGAGTTCTCCCGGTTGTATCTCACCATCCCTCTCATCACCTTCAGGTTCAAAGAACCAGTAAACACCGAAATTCCATCCCCTTCGAGCCATAATTCGCCTTCCCTCGCAGACAACACGCCGACCGAGGAGCCAAATCTCGACCCATCCTCCCTCCCGCTCATCAAAACCCTCCTCTCACTCGCCGCGCCCGACCTCCACACACTTGTCCTCCAACACAGCGCCACCCAACCCGGCCGCACGCCCCCAAACTCCCCCCTCCTCTCCCATCCGTTCCCCTGCCTCCGCTCCCTCACCCTCCTCAGGCTCACCCACCACGACTGGCTGCTCGCCGCCCCCCTCCGCGCCGCATCCACCCGACCGCCGCTCTTTCCCGCGCTAACCCGCCTGCACATCAACACCCCCGCAGAGAGCTACTCGTTTGACCCCGCAGCATGGGCCCCGGACACCTCCTCACGCACCTGCGCCTCTCCGCAGTGTCTGAGATCCCCCCGCGCCTCCTGCGCGTCCTCGGGTCCCCGGACTGGCTCCGCGTCCCGCTATCATTGCCAGCCGCAGGTGATGGCGACGCACACGCGCCCTCCGTCAGCGGGTGCCCCGCGTCGCCTGCCGTGATCGCGCTCAAGACCGACAAGTGGACGCGTCTGGAACGCCTGGTTCTGCACCGCAGGTATGCGGGGAATCACAAGGCTGATGCTGAGTGCGCGGAATTGCTGCTGCGGTACAAGGGTGGCGTGGAGCGCGCTCTAGACGGGAAGGTACAGGTAGAAGTGGTGCCTGCTGTCCAGGACTGCTACATCGATCGGATACGTGATGCAAGGCAAGAACGGGCCCCATGCATGTTCTCTCTGCTCTGATGTATCGACGGCTTGCTATCGCTACTGCTACAGCACGCACTGGGGTTTGCACTGCGATGCTCACCGGAATCTCAAGTAAGCGCCTGTATCTCACCAATTGTGCAGAATCATTAGTTGTCTACATTCTTCATATCTCTGTTCCTCAGCGTCGCGCGAGGTGCTTTCGCGTTGGCGTACCGGGGCGGACAAGAGAAGAAAAAGAACCAACTACCCCCGGCGGGACTCGAACCCGCAACCTCCAGATTCCCCGAAGTCAATGGTAGAAGTCTGACGTCATAGCCATTAGACAACGGGGGCTTGCAGATGAGACCCTCCTAGAGCAATATGAAGCGAAACACATAAATCCCGCCTCTGGAAAAGCGAAAACGGGGTTGCGAGGTCCTTCAACAGATAGATGCCGCATCCTAAGGAGTTGGTACATAGTATCCACTCAAGTTATATGCAGTTCTTTCTTTATACCCAATATCGTCAACTTTCCCAAAGATGTGGGTTAGAGCAGTACAAATATTCACTTCTTGCTATGTGTAACGTGGCTAGAACGAGCTCGTCGAAGCCGTTACGCCGAAAGGCAGGATAAAAGAGAGTCTGTACTCCCGCTCACCGCCGGGCGTATACGCACACCGGCGATTTCATGCTAAGGGCGACCGCCGTCCTTGCATCATGTCCCGTGAAGCCACGCTCTTCGACTAGGTCTCCGATCCTTTGGCCTCATACTCGGACTACGAGGTCTCCTCGTTGGAGAACCAGTCGCGCCCATCCCCACCACCGATCGTCTTCATCCACTCCACAAGTATCTCCTCGCCCCATCGGCGCTTCGACCATCCGCAAGGAGACAGTGCGAACATCTCGACGCCCGCCTGCGTCACCTCGTCGGCGATCCCGTACATTTTCCCAATCCTGGAGGTGAACGCCAACCTGCTCGTCCCACACGAGCCCTTCACCGGTCTGGGACCCGGCTGCACCACCACGCGGACAAGGCTCGGGAATGTGCGCTTAGCAGGTGGGACCCGGACGTCGACGCCCGTGTCTAGGGGGCCGTGTCTGGAGGGAGAGGCGGCCTTCACGATACCTGAAAGCTCGTCGAGAAATGTGTCAGACAGACGGTGGGCAGAGATGCGCAGGTGCGTGAGGTGCGGCGCATGCGGGGCCCATTGCAAGATGAGGGGCTTGTTCCATATCTCGTCTCCTGCAACTACATGCAGACGCGCCAGGGCAGGGAAGAGCGGAGGTACGCTCGGACGAAATTCGAGCGCGCATGGGCAGCGATACCAAAGGAAGGTGAGTTCCCGTAAGGAGGGGAACTGTCGGTCGGCGAGGGGCCTGCCGGGTTCCACGAAGGTGTGATCGATGACAAGGGACTTTAAGCCGTCTCCGACGAGGGTGAGCAGCGTTCGGGTAGCCAGGAGAACACGATCATGTTCCGCCTCAATTGCATCCCAACTCTCGGGGTCATCGTTAGTTGAAATGTCTGCGGCGTCTTCTTTGATGTCAGAGAAACACAGGTGTGCGAGCTTCGGTCGAGCCCCACTAGCGACAGAACACTCCTTGTTATAAAGCTCGAGGAATGCATTGACGCTGTAGGTCTCGGCTGTGAGTGCAACGGAGAAGAACCGAACGGGCCGCGCCACTTCGCGGATCGACGTGGAGGTGAGGGAAAGAGAGCACCCGGTGTATCCGCCGTCAGTACACGCGCGCTCGAAGATTTGTTGCAATGTTTCGACGGCGAGCTTCTCCATGATGCCTACGTGGTCAGTTGATCGGGGGTGGGGGCAGAGGCGGAAGAGAGCGGTATAACAGCCATCATCCAAGAACCCCAGGGGAGGCGCTCACTTGGGCGGCAAAGCCCATACTACACAGGCTCGCACTGGCTGACCATGTACCTCCCGACTGATAAAGGAGCGAAGCCCATCTTGCCTTCATCGCCACGCATGTGTCTCAAACGAACGTTCTCCGGTCCTATGTCTACGGCGTTTCTCGCGCTTCCCATGATACTCACATGCTTAGCCTCTCCTCAGCCCCATGCTTCCTCGCGCCATCGTGAAGTTGAGTCATAAGGTGGCTCAAGCTCAAAGTCCCCTCCTCATCGCGGTCCGCCAACCGTTCCACGTACTCTATAGTCCTGCGTCCTCGACTCCATGTCTCTCGTACTTCCCTGGGAAGTCCTCGAAAGGATCGTCGACTACGCCTATGACGACTCCGTCCTGCTACGCAGCTTTTCTCTTACCTGTCGGCAGTTACGTCCTCGTACTCTCTTGTTCATGATGGAGCGTTGTCATTTCAACGCGAAAGACCAGGTTTTCGCTTTCTGCGACTTCCTCCGAACGAGGAGCGAGTTTACATCCCTCGTACAATCACTCTTTGTATGCCCCATCGAATTTCCACCCTACCCCCCCATCAGAATGCTTCCCAACATTTCCACCCTCCGATTCATCATCCGTAGATTCGGGGAATATGCTCGTCCAGCAGATCGGCCTGTGGTGCATCTCCACCCATCGACCCTCAGCTGCTACCGGATGTACGGAGAGCGTATCCGAACCCTATCGCTCGACCATCTCTCCTTCACGACATATTCAGACTTTTTCCGCCTTGTCCTCGCCTTTCCAAAAGCAACGGAGATTGTCTGCCAGGATATCCTAGCCAAGCTTCCAGCGACGAGCGCACTGGCCATAGACGTGGTGAAACGCAAGTTATCCAAACGACCTCAGTTGGAGACCATTACAGTGGGGATAGATCTGATACACAAGCCGTGTGTGCTTCAAATGATTGACGACTCCTATCTCTCAGATATATTCGGGTGTAGATGAGGTCGTAACATCGTTGCTACTTGATGGTGCTCGGTGTACTGTGCAGACTCTAATGTGGACAGGACGACTTGACGGTGTGTGAGTTAGTGGCTAGCCATCAATCCGCAAACTGACCTCTGATTCAGTTATTCTCCTCGCATTCTTGATGCCCTCGGAATGGAAGCGGTTGCATCCCCTTACAATTCAATCAGAGCTTGGCAGGGGGGCGGCGGATGATATCGAGAGACTGACCCGACTTCTCGCGAATTTCCGCCCCCCAAGCCTAGAGGACGTCTCTGCGCACTTCCTTGTGACTGAGAACAGCATCCTTCATCGGTCGAACGAAGGAGTAGAAGACACCGACTGGACTGGTGTATGCTCGAAGCTGGAGGAGGCCCTCTCCACATTCCGTTGACAGCGGCTGTCTTTCCTGGTATCATTAGAGGTGCCTGCCAGGCAGCGTCTCTGGAGTCGAGAGCTTGGTCGACTTTTCCCCGCATTGCGCGATCACAACAAATTGGCTGTTACGTGCAAATCAAGTAAGCTTGAACTTCTCTAACATGATGTGCTGTCTATGGCACAGCTGACCAACGCCTCAGTCGCTGCGGTTGGCCATGACGACAACTTATTGGTCGTCGTGGTTTCCCCTGACAGCAAGTGGATCGCGAGTGGGTCAGAGGATAGCACTATCATTGTCTGGGACTCGGATGGACAGCTGTGTGATGAATGGGTGGCTCACCACGGTGACGTCTATTCTCTCGCATTTTTTCCGGACAGCCGATTCCTCGCGTCTGGCGGCCGCGACTCAAAGGTAGTCGTCTGGGATGTCAACCAAGATGCACGCCGAGTCGCAACACTCGAAGGGCATACGGACGACGTCCAGAGATGCGCCTAGTCTCCCGACGGCACCACGATCATATCCGTCGATTCCGACAGAACAGTTCGTCTCTGGAACACGAAAACATTCCAGCAGTTTCATCTCTGCGATGGCAGGCACGAGGGCCCGATCTCCTTTATTCACCTCTGGCTGGCTTCTGGAGGCGAGAATTACCACTGCTGTATATGGGATGTCGCGTCAGGCACCCTGCACAAGGTCCTTCGGGGGCATACACAGTTGCTGAGTGGTGCCGCGTTTGACCCGGTGAGCACACGTCTTGCCACCGCGTCCTGCGACCACACAGTGCGGATCTGGGATGTGGAGACGGGCAAGCAGATCTTCGTCTTACAGCAGCATTCGGGAGGTGTCCGGTATGTAGAGTTCTCCCCGGATGGGAGCTTGTTGCTGTCTGAGTCGTTCGACAAGACGATGAAGATCTGGGATGCATCCACTGGTGTCATGACTATGTCACTGGAGGGACACTCCGACGACGTCACGGCAGCGTGCTTCCCTCCATGTGGGAGGTACATCGCATCGGCGTCTCGTGACAAAACAGTGCGGTTGTGGAGGACAAATGATGGCTCGTGTGTGGCGACATTCTCTGAACATCAGGGAGATGTGTGGGACGTAGCATTCTCCCCGGACGGTAAAACACTGTCATCTGGAGCGTCAGATGGGAGTGTCTTCGTTAGACGATTGGACCAGGTCATTTCAGACACTGAATACTGGATCTAGTGTAAAGCACATATGTCGTCGTCCTTCTACCTTTTTGTATCCGTGTAGTACAGAGTCATGTTTTCTAATACCGTCAGATCGAATTGGTGCTATCGATTCAAGAAGGTTATGCGGCAGCGGCATTCATTCAAGGAGAATCCTTGGACAACATGTCCCTGCACCAGTTAAGTCGAGACTGGCATGCGCTTCACGACATCCCAACCAAAATGCGCGAAATATGAGTACTACGTAGTCGTCCCATCTTCGCCGGTGCTAGACTGGCAAGTACTGACCGTCAGTAGTTACCTCCTCGTTGCGCGCAGACCTGTATGGTGGCTCGGATTGTTAGGCTCGACTCCATGGAGCAGGCTGAATACGGCAGAGTCACGGCCGATGGAGGCGCCGTGGATGAGGCACTGTCCTCCCCCTCCGTGCTCGTCTTTACTGCACGCGGGCTCGCCCTGCTTGAGGTAGGTTCGGAGTCCCACAGGTGTCGGCTTCATTCTCCTGCGACCTTCGCCTTCGACGCGCTCCGACCCCGGACCGGCTGCAAGGCTCGTCATCTCCCTGTAGCTGATGGTGCTATATCCAAGCTCTTCGGTCGCTACCTGCGAGGCCGGCACCGTAACGCTTCCCACTCGTAGGCCTCTAGGCTAGAGCTGCTCTGACCACAAGTTCATGCAGCCCAATACCCGAGGGGTAGATTTTGAATGTGAGGGGTTAGTTAGAGCAGTACATTCACTTTTACTATGTGTAACGTGGCTCAAACGAGCCCATCGAAGTCGTCACGGCAAACGCATGATAAACGAGAGTCTGTACTCGCTGTGCGGAGTAGGGTATGGTTAGAAAAAGAATCGTTTTCGAACAGAGAGTTATGAACAGGCGCCCGAATCAGGCCGTTTCTAACCGGGATTAATGCCTGTTATTAACTCTTGTGTTATTAACTGTTAAAAAGATTTTTTAACGCCGCCGAGGTTTATTAACAGTCGTATTGAATCGATGATCACCACGCGTCCTATTATCTTGCCTGGCTCGCAATCTGCTACCCTATCCTCATTGTAATCCTTGTCTCCATCATCTGGGTCGCACAAAAGCATGCGCAAGGCTTAGGCACGGAGATTAACCTCGCCATCTACCTTGAACTCGGTATCTTACGCCTACAGCCTCCGACCGGACTTTTGAACAATATATAACCGGGCTGATAGACCCCTGGGCTTTTGAACCGTTAATTAACATGTTAATAACCTGTTAATAAACACCGGGTTCATTATTCCGACTTTCAAACTTTACCCTAGTGCGGAGGGCAACCGCCACCTCTTCATCATGTTGCGCGAAGCCACCTTAGATCTTCGACTCAAGTCTTCGATCCTTCGGACTCATCCTCGGACTCCTCGTCGGAGAACCAGTCGCACCCATCCTCACCACTGATCATCTTCACCCACTCCGCACGTATCTCCTCGTTCCATTGGCGCTTCGACCATTCGCAAGGAGACAGTGCGAACAACTCGAGGCCCGCTTGCGTCGCGTCGTCGGCGAACTCGTGCAATTCCGAAAGCATCGAGGAGAACTCCGACCTGCTCGTCCTGCACGCGCCCTTCACCGGCCTGGGACCCGGCTGCACCACCACCCGAGCAAGCCTCGGGAACGTGCGTCCGGCAGAGGAAGCGTCGACGGTCGTGTCCAGGGGGTCGTGTCTGGAGTCAGATGCGGCCTCCACGATTTCCGAGATCTCGTCGAGGAATATGTCAGACAAATGGCGGGCAGAGATGCGTAGGTGCGTGAGGTGCGGCGCGTGCGTGGCCCATTGCGGGATGAGGGGCTTGTTTCGTAGTTCCTCTCCGGCGACTACGTGCAGACGCTTCAGAGCAGGGAAGAGCGGGTATACGCCACGAGGAACGTCGAGCAGGCTTGGGTGGCAATACCCAAGGCAGGTGAGTTCCCGCAAGGAGGGGAACTGTCGGTCGACCAGCGTGTGGCCGGGGTACACGAAGGCGCGATCGATGACAAGGGACTTCAAGCCGTCTCCGACGAGTGCGAGCAGATGTCTAGTAGCGGTGAGAACGTCAGAATGATCCGGCGTTATGACTTCCCAACTCTCGGGATCGTCGTCAATTGAAGAGTCTTCTCTGAAGTCAGAGAGACACAAGTGTGCGAGCTTCGGTCGAGTCCCACTAGCGACAGAACACTCCTTTTTGTAAAGCGCGAGGAATGCATTGACACTGTGTGTCCAGAGTATGAGCGCAACGGAGAAGAATCGAACGGGCCGCGCCACTTTGCGGATTGACGTAGAGGTGAGGGAAAGAGAGCACCCGGTGTAGCCGCCGTCAGTACACGCGTGCTCGAAGATCTGTTGCAACGTTTCGGTGGCGAGCTTCTCCATGATGCCTATGCGGGCAGTAGATCCAATGGTGGGGCGGAAGAGAACGGCACAACAGCCTCCATCACAGACTTTATACTATCCAAAAACTCACGTGCATCTCGGCTTCGGTTGAAATGAGACGTTTGGAGCTTCGGTCGGGAACGAAAGAATCAAAAGTTTCGGGGGAATTACGTATCGTCCATCAAAGAAGGGTAATTCAGAATTTGAAGCTGCTGCGCTGGTCGAACACACACATGAAGCAAGGTTGCATAGACGTTATGAGGTAAAGCGGGGGAGGGGGTGCTATCAGCACATATTGCGGCACGAAGAAGAGATGTGATCGAAGAGGAAACCAATTGCCTCGATGTTCGTCTTCACGCGGCCGGCGAAGTCCGGGTCACTGCTGGAGACCCGGCGCCAAAAGTGGAAGTAGGATCGTAGTACACTCTCAGCATGGACTTACTGAGGTCGTGTAGTTGCCGGCGTGCTCTCCCACAGACTCATAAGACGCGACTGCAGCTATTCACACCCTCTTTGTCCGCACGCAAACCTCCGCTCAGGCAAGCTTCAACCAGTGCGAACCCGTACCCGTTCCCTCGCACTGCGCATCCGACCCCTCACCAGATCTTCCATCTACCAAGGAGTGCAACTCAGGCGGACGTGAAGGCACGATGTTAGTCCGGATTGGATTACCTCCCCATACTTCTCAAGCTAACGTCCACACGATCAGACTATGACCTTGTCCGAATCTACCATCCTGACTCCCCCGCTGCTCGCGCTGGAGGTATTTCCCCGGAGACCGCTCACGCACGCTTTCAAGCAATATCTTCCGCATACGCAATCCTTACTGGGAAGAAATCGGGCTCCTTGACTGAAGGCGGGGAAACAGGAGATGGCTTAGGCGGAAAGGCGCGTGCGAGCTACCACGATTTGAGTACCGCTATGTGGCGTGAAAGGCAAAGGCGAAAGGCAGATCTGGATGTTGGCTTTGACGATAGGTGGAAGGACCGGCTCATGTTGGGCGCAGTGCTCTTGGTGCGTTCGCTACGTAAATGCATGATCAAGTGTCGAGCACTCACAGCTCGCACCAAGACCATCGGGATGTTCGTCTATCAAACATACGCCACAAGAGCGAAGGCGCTGTCCGAATCTCGGCATACAAGACGGTCGAGCACTCGCGCTGGCTCAGCCTCGTCCACTGAGCCCGCACAGGATCCGAATGAGCTCCAGTTGGTATGGAAGCCTCCATCGGAGGCGTCCGATTAAAGGAGCCCGTCATAGTCGCAAAGGAGGATCCATAGGCATGTCCATCACTCGATTGCTCCATCTATAACAATGGCGACTTCTCCACCCACGCTGTTCTCCCGTGTTCTTCGGTTCGTCTATCTCGACGGCGCGTGAATACAGTGAACTTGGAAGCGGAAGAGGCCACTTACCACTATATGTGGGTACACCGGAACTGTTACACCTCAGGGCGCCCCTATCTCCCATTTGTAGACCGGGTATTGCGCGGGAGTATGTCTACGCCTAATGACATCCCCATCGCTGCGCACGCGTTCCTCTCTGCAACTCTTGTCATTGCTACGTCGTCCCAGCTCCGGCCTGCTCGGACTACCCTTGATCCCTGGGACAGCTTGTGGACATCCATGTGAGCCCCCGGCCCGCTCCGAACACCTCTTACAGCATACGCCGCTGGGACCGCGAATAGCAATCGGGTGCTAAACTATGGTGTCGATGAGGGCGGCTTCTTGTACTACTGTAGCTGGCGCGTATCCATGACCTCAACCCCTCCAATATCAGGCGCGCTTGGCTCTGGACAGTGGATCGCGCCAGGGACGCTGCCAAGGGCTGAATATCTTGTGCGAACCCCTCTTTACCCGTGTTGCGAACACATCGGATGGTTAACGACGCGACACCTGTGCTCACGCGTCTTGACAGGTGCATTTCCCACTCAGATTGATCTGGATACTTTGAGTGAGTATATGCGCTCAGTCTTGCGACCTGTATCTCGCTGGAGCATGGTACACAATAATGCACTGTCATTGCCTTGCCAGGTCATAGACTACACTACTGAATCTCCCCAACTACAGAGATGCTACATTCGTCGTGCTCTACGGCAGGCATAGGATCAACATTAGTGTACAAAGTTACATGAGTAGCCCAGCTCGATAACTCGGCGAGCAAGCGCTAATCCGTAGCAACAATCACGTTTCCCGAGCGTAAGTTCGAGAGGCCATAGACTCAGAATAACTCACCAATGAGGTTCCTTCAGTTCTACACTAGCATACAGAGATACCGAGAGGACCGACTCGAACAGACGAGAAGAGGTACTTAGATGGAGACTTCGGCTCGTTCGGACACAACAGTTCAGGCGCTCATCTCCGGAAAGTCTCGGCATGATCGTCGCACGCTCTGATTGGCTCTTTCGACGATCCTCTCTCACGGCAGGCAAAGCGCGATGGTCCGGGTGAGGAAATCTATGCTAAATATACGTGCGATGCAATGTGCCCATAAGATTTCCCAAATCACAAAGAGGGATACAAAGGCCCACTGGAAATGCTAGGGTCAGGTTGCGTTGCCCATAAATGCCACACAACTTTCCCTGCTCGGAGCCTGGCGCTTTGCCCGCCGTGTCTGCGTTATGCTACTTTCCCCCGTCACCTTGAAGCGTATACGTGGGCCTTGATAGCATTGTGGCACTACACACATGCATGGAGCGTCTCGGACTGACAATCTGCAAGTGCCACGTGATCATGTACGGTTGGAGTAGGAGGGACGCGAAGCACTGCGTCGACGTCACCAGATGCGCATTGGTACGCAAGGTGTGAATATGAAACGTCGTACGCTGTGCGGCTGGCCCTCTAGCTCCGGACGGCGCCTTGCTGCCTAATCCTTCTCTTTGACCACATGCCTCCCGTACTCGCCGGGAAGACAGAGTCTCAAACCGCCAAGGACGAGACGCATCGCCCGGGCTCAATGAAGCCTCTCCATTCTTCGCCGAGTCATCGATATCTCGAGCTAAGCGCGCTATGTATATAAGCAAGGATCGTCATGAGGGTTTCCTCCCCATACGTCGAAGCGACCATCATGGCATACGACTACTACCGAAACTCACTTCCTGGCTGGGGGACATCTCAAGTATGATCCATCCATCACATGCCGATTCTCATCGACTAAGATATAAACAGTTTCAACTTGGAGCGCCTCCAATGCCCGGATTTCAGCCACAACCAACATGTATGTCTAGTCATCGAAGTACCGAGCAGTCCCACTTCCGCGCAGTGTTAACTATCTTATGCAGGGACGGGTTTGGATTTCTACAATGCCCATGCATATAACCCCGACCCGTAGGCATTCCTAGTCCATGGCACACTCCGTCCCCGTCCATGTCCGCTCACCCAGTGCAATCTCTTCAGATCATTTTACCATTCGGTCATGGGACGGCTCGGCTCTTCCTCCGGGTTTGCCCTGGATCACCGCACCGCCCGCTATTGGCATAATATGATCTATAGAGGACTTGTAAGTCTATCTCTGTCGCGCACGCGTTCCAATCTAACATTACATTTGTATCACAGACGCCCCTGACACAAGTATTGCCCGCTGACATCGGAGGGGCAGCCGCGTACGAGGTCTACCGAACGTGGAAATACAACTCTTCGCTCTACGCTCCGCTCAGTGCGGATCGCATGACCCAGAGAGAGGGGCTCATTGCTATGGCGATAGCGGAAGGTACGTACGTGTGCTAGCATCCGCTCTTCCTCCTTTGGCTGAACATCAACACTCCAGCTACTCGACTATGGCCATATACTGGCCGCGCAATGGACGCGTATGGGCAGCGCGCCGCATGTGAAGCAGCAGCAGCCACGGCTGCACACCTTGCTGACAGGGTTAGCCCATAAACTCCACCGATTGATGGTCTCGAAGACTGACCCTCAGGCTCTCCTTAGTTCCTCACGTATGCGGGCACCGGCGGTGTCTCCGCATTTCCGCCCAGCCCTATGGTCTCGCCTTATAACGCAGGAGGAAACCTTCCAGGGTACGGTGGTTCCGCATACGGCGGCGGCGTCCCTTACGCCGGCAGCTCTGCCTCGTACGGTGGCTACTCACCTGGTGCGATCTCGGCTCCTCCTGGGTCGACCGTCGTCGTGAGCCGTCCACGCCATCGCTCTCACTCCCGCCATCGCTCCCATTCCCGCCATCGACACTCTCATTCAGATGATGGTCACCATCACCACCATCACCATCGGGGGCGAAGCGTTGACGTTATACAGACTGGAGGAGCTGGCGGAGCCAACTACCTCCCGTACAACAGCGGATACGCTGGGGCGTCTGCCTACGGAGGTATGGGCGGGTATGGAGGCTCTTACGGATCTGGATATGGAGGAGGTTATGGGTACGGCGGGTATCGTCGCTATCCATCAGAATCTGGCTGCGTGATCTGTTGAGTTTGGTGTAGGTGCCAGATGTATCCGAGAGCCATGACCTTAATGATCTCTTAATAACTTATACTACTTGTAAGCTTGCTCATGAATGATTGTAACACTAATGCGTCGTACTCATGCGACTGGCATGAAGGGCTGCTCGCTTGAATGATAACATGTCGTGTTCAACGTCAAGCCTGCGTAGGCGCTTGATGCGCTAGGGTCTTCCGCGAGATTAAGGAGCAAGCGCTGCGACAAGTGTACTTCCACCATCACCGTCAAACTCCTCATCGCGACTAAGATCCAATGAGATTCCACAGTATTTTCTGCGCTGGTGTCGCTTTCCAAAGCGCTCGGGAACACCGGTCAAATGCACCCAGTACATGATGTCATTGTCGCGGACTCCACCATCGCTTCTCGACGCGCTCCCCGTACAAATACTACCTCCTACCGCGACGCGGCCGCAGACCGCACCACCACAATCCTAAAACAGTCCATCATGGCATACGACTACTACAGGAACTCAAGGCCGGGCTGGGGTACATCTCAGGTATGTTCGTGTCCCTTGACGGTGTAGCCGACAGAGGTTACTGACATTTACGCGCAGTTTCAGTTTGGGCCTCCCCCGGCTCCCATGTTCCAACCGCAGCCTTCGTGTGAGTGTTGCGACGTCTCTCCTGGCCTTCTATCGGAAGTATGTGTTTGACTCTTGGTCGACGCGTGTAGGGAGTGGCTTGGATTTCTACAGCGCACACGCGATCAACCCCGATCCGTAAGTGCTCGCTTGGATCCATCTCAATCGCGTTGTTCCCCCTAATGTTCGATCGCCGATCACGTCCACAGGATGTTCTACAACTCGATAATGTCTCGCGCATCCACTTTCGGATCCTATGGACTGACGCGCGACGACGCGCGCTATTGGCACAGACGAATCTACAGCGGCCTGGTAAGCGTCGCATAACACCACTTTACACGCGCAAGCGCCACCCCGGCGATCACAACTGGACTAACGCTGCGTGTATAATCCAGACGCCTCTCGCGCAGGTGCTTCCGACCGACATCGGCGCGGCAGCCGCCTACGAAGCATACCGCACATGGAAGAACAACTCGTTCCTGTACGAGCCGCTGAGCGCAGACCGCGTGCAACAACGCGATGGTCTCATTGGCATGGCTATCGCAGAAGGTACGTAATCGCAATGTCGCTACCCTGTCAAGTATCGCTCATAATGACACGTCCAACAGCGACCCGCCTATGGCAGTATTCAGGTCGCCCAGCAGACACGTACGGGCTGCGTGCGGCGGCCGAAGCTGCTGCCTCGGTCGCGTCCGTCCTTGCTGATCGCGTACGTCCTAATTACATGATCTTCCGTCAGCCCCGACGAGTTGCACTGACGTCTTTCATAGTGGATAGGAACCATGGGCGCAGGGGGTGGCATGGGAGGCATGGGAGGCGCCGTGCCTTCCTACGCCTCAAGCGGAGGCTCGTACGGATACCGCGGGCGACGCAGCTCAATCAGCACACCATTAGGCGGGCCCATGGGAGGCTCTCCCTTCATGGGTGGTGGGTCGCCCTACCTCGGTCCCGGAATGGGCGCAGGCGCGTACTCCCCTGTGCCTGGTGCGGCCGGAGGCATTGGCGGGCCACCTCTTGGCGCGGCGGGTATGCCGCCTGGCATACCACGCTCGATATCCCCGATGCCGGGCGCGGGTCTCGGTGCTGGTCCGGGAATGGGGATGGGGATGGGTGGTGCTCCTGGGATTGGTGGTGCGTATGCCGCTGGCATGGGTCTGGGAGGTGCGGGCGGAGGTATGGGCCTTGGAGGAGCAGGAGCGGGAATGGGCGCGGCAATGGGGGCGTATGGGGACGCTGCGAACGTGAACCTCCAGAGCGTGCCACCAGGCTCAACGATCATCGTCAAGCATGGTAGGCGAAGGAGACACTCGGACGCTAGCGGTCGTCGTCGCTCCCCGAGTATAGACGTCATTCACACCGGTGGGGCAGGTGCTGGCGGCGCGTACGGAGGCATGGGTGGTTATGGAGGTGGTTACGGAGCGGGGTACGGAGGAGGGTATGGCGGCGGCGGAGGGTACGGCGGAGGAGGATACGGCGGAGGAGGATACGGAGGGGGTTATGGTGCCGAACCAGGTGGCCCAGGCATGTGCATGGGCGCAGGTATGGGCGGCGGTGCTGGAATGGCTGCTGGTGCGCCGTACGGCGCCCCAGGCATGTATAGTCGGCCAGGGTATGGCGGCGGGGCATACTGACAACGCTTCTGACGATTGACCGATCATGTTGGACTTCGGGCCTGGATGCCAGTGTTGGCATATGTATCCATTGTACCATTACCCACTCTTGCACATACCCTATATCGCATTGCTGCTCTTTGTACTAATGCTACCATCTACACAGAGATTTTGGGTGTCTTGCTCCGGTTGTGGTTTCACGGTGTCATAGTATCCTCACTTCTCATATGCGCGCGGTGGACATCTCTTATCTGCCTATAGCCTGCTGAAAGAGCTTGTGCGACAATGGTATCGGTCCATAGCAAATGCAGGCATGTGCCATCTTGTTCAACACGAGTATAGTATAAGCGACAGCTCGTCTAGTGTTCTTGTGAAGAGACTGTGTCGGAGATGAACTCAATATGTCAGATATTAGTATGAAAGGATGCTAGATCGAGATAATGAGTGTACAACACGATTTCATACTTCCCAATCGGACTAGGCCACTGAAGGGAACTAGAGCCCAGATTGACCCGCATTCCCCACGTCAGACAAACGCGCGGATAGGAAATACAATCCATTCCATTCCAGGGAGACACATCGGAGCCGGACATCTATGCTAGCAGACTATACTACACCTCGGGAGCAGGTAGCGAAGACAGGTAGGTGCGCGAAAAGCGGGAGACAGGGATGAACGATACGCGGAACGGGAGCGGGAGCGGGAGCCGGACGTAACAATGTATGAACACGAAAGCGCACCAAGGCAGGGTATGCCAAATGTCCGAGGCGCGAGCTAGCTTGTGTCTATGCGTATGCGTAGGATGATGAAGGGGATGAGTCGATATGTGCAGGGCAGGTATATAGTACAATCCTGTGTCGGATGGGGCAGTGAATCGAACGAGATGAGTTGCGAAGGAGACGGAGACGAGGGGGAGATGAGAGCGACGATCGCGAGATGCAGATACAGGGATGGGAGACCGATGATGTCACAAACGTGGGAGACGGTGTTGGAGCAACGCGATGTATATGCACGACCGAGAGCGACATGCCCGAAAGAGCAAAAGCGAAGAGAAACGCGAGAAGCAGAACGTCCGGGCAGGGGAACGGGTAATCACAGCGAAAAGCAAATAGCACGCAGGTAGCAAGACTGAACAACAACGGGGAGAACGGGAAGAGCACGCACGCGGAAGGCGCGGATAAGCATGAGGAATAAAAATCAAGTGGATATAGACGAATAAGATAAATAGATCGTATACGCGTACAGAAGGATTCCACCGGACAAATCGAACGGAGGCACATGGGACCCAATTGAATGTGGTCGAGAGCTGCGGGCCAAAGACACCAGTTCAGAGCCGCAGTTACGAGGTGCCCACGCGACCACAGAGCACCAGACGACGGAGGCGGAGGCGGAGACAGACAGGGACCACGCGTGGCGGCGCAGGCGAGGAAGACCGCAAACTCACGCTTTCCGCGTGGCCTTGCGCTTCCCACCGCCTCCCGCCGCGCTCTTCCGCTTCTTCGCAGCCGCGACCTCTCCGGCGGGCACGTTCTCCACGATCTCCAGCACCGCAGGGGGCTCCTCGACCTTCGCCCGCTTCGGTGCGCGCGGCTTCTTCGCCTTGCGCTTGGACGCCTTCACGGGCTCAACGCGCGCCTCGGAGTCCTCCTCGCCCACGAGGACGATCTCGTCGACGGCCTTGCGCTTGTGGCTAGGCTTGGCTGGGACCTCCTCAATTTCGGCGCCGACGACCGTGCCCTCCTCGCTCGGGTATCCGCCGTCGCTGACGGCTGTGCTGCTCCCGCGCGAGCCAGAGCGGTTCCTGGACTTCTTCTCGGGGATCTGCGAATGCGAGCGGAGCGTCTCCGTCGAGGGCAAGGGCGTGTCGACAGTCGACAGCGGTGTCGAGACGAGCGAGCAGGGGCCGGGCGGCGCGGGCTTCCTGCGCGCACGCGTCGAGCGGCGGGTGGCATGCGGCGACTCGGCAGGTTCAGAGCCAGGGGACGCAGAGCCAGGGAGAGCCGGGGGCGGGAGCTCGCACGACGATATCGAGGGCAGCTCGAGCATCAGGCCGATCGCCTGGAGGACGGGCGTCGTGGCGATGAACTCCTGTTTCACGTCTCGACTGACAGCTGCGGCGAGCGCGTCCAATTCGGTGGCGTCTGGCGCCCCGACGCCGGAGGGGAAGAGCAGCGACTCCGACTCCTCGTCGGCTGCCTCTGGCTCTGCCGATGCAACCTCTGCAGCAACGAGGGCGGTCTGCGCAGCCTTGGCCTTCTGGGACGCGCGCGTGGTGCGGGTACGCTTGCGCGGGGCGACGGTACCGTCGACTTCGTCTTCGGCGTTCGCTCCGATGGCCTTGCGCTTCCGGAGGGTCATGCCACCGGCCTTCTTCTGGGGCACGACTTGGGCTGGGATGTAGAGAGACTGGAGGCCTCCGAGGGCCCAGGTGTTCTCTGGGATGCCCATCCAGCCGACGTTAGATACGATCGGGCACGGACGCAGTCCTATGAACGCGCGAGTATGAGCTCATGTCCTTCAGTTCCCAATATGAGGGGTGGTGTAACGGAGATTGTGTGCGGAGGGGTATGATATTGGGGAGGGGTGCGAATGACCACGAAGGGATGCGAGAATGACGTACGGACGACGGAGTCGACGACCTGCGCCGTTCGCTCGAGGATGTTCTTGCCCCAGAACGCGAAGTGGGCCGGGTGCCTTGGGTGGTTCATGACCTTGAGCGCGGCGAGCGTGAAGATCGCCTCCTTCTGCGCCTGCGAGAGCTTCGGAACCTCCGCGGCATACAGCCGAGCGGCGGGGGACGGGAAGAGCTGGAACTGCTGGCTGATGACGTTGTTGACGGTCAGCGTCGACGCGATGCCGGCGTGGTGCGCAACCCAGTAGGTGAGCTCAAAGGGCTTGTGCTGCGGAAGCGCCGTGGCGTCGGGTTGAGAGAGCGGTGCGGCAGTTGAGGCGGGGCTGGATGCGGAGGAGGCGGCAAGAGGTTTAGGCTTGGGCTCACGGGGGATCAGGCGGGCGAGGGCGTCGATGTAGGCGTTCACGAGCGGGTGGTTCTCGGTCAACTGGCCGGATGGGAGCACGCCCGGACAAACCTCGCGCATGTCCGGGATGGGATACTTGTCGTAGGCCCGGGTGAAGGCGGCGGGAGCATTGGTTACAGGTGGGGAGGTGGTGGATAGCGGGGCGCGGGGGACGTAGGACTCGTGGCGGGCGAAGGAGACGGGGTACGCGTACTCGCGAGTCTGCGTGAGAGCGCACCTGCCATCGTCGCTAAACGTGAATGTGAAGGTGGTGTCTAGGGTCGTGTAGAGAGACATGGCGAGCAGTCGTCGCCCCGAGGGAGGTGGAGTGGGATGTGAGAGTAGGATGCGATTGTCGTGGGGGCTTGATAGGTGTAGCAGCGAGCGGTGACGGAGGTGGCGGCAATCGGACGCAGCACAGGAATGTAGGGATGTGGCGCGGGCGTGGTGGAAGGACGATCCGCGTCGGGGGACGAGGCGGAGGGGGGGGGGGGTCGGGCGAGGGACAGACGGGGGACGGAGGCGGGGGCGTCGGGCGAGGGACAGACGGGGGACGGAGGCGGGGGGCGTCGGGCGAGGGACAGACGGGGGACGGAGAGAGTGGAGAGAGAGACAGCGACGGGGATAGGAGGGTACATATACCCTCGCGCGGTCAAAGCGAGCATGGGCTGACACAAAGAGCCCTCCTGCCCGCACACGCCCTCCCGATTCCCCAGCTGCCTTTTCCGGCCTCCTTCTCCGCTTCCTCCTCGTGCTTGTGCCCCATCTCCCCCTCCGCTGCCGCTGCCACCATCGCCTGCCACTGACTCACATGCGCACCCTGCTCGCCCCGTGTCCTGGCTGTCTGCTGCCTCGCCGCAAGCACCTTCTGCTCGAGCGCGGGGTGGGCGCACAAAGAGCTCATTCGTGCCCCCAGTGCGAAGCGCCGATCGGGCGAGGAGGGATCTCAGCCATCTAATCTTATCGGCCGATCTGGGACCCCATTCGCGCGCCTGCCGCCACGCTCGTCCGCCTCGAGGGTCACTCGTGCGCGGCTCGTGCGCCCGTCCTGTTTCCATTGTCCCCTCCTGTGCCACCGATCATCGATTCCGGTGACCTTTGCCCCAGCCCTCACCGCTGCATCACGGAGCGGGAAGATCACCAGGACGGACACCGTTCGAACAAGCGGCCACAGGCCCTGCGAACATGCAGCCGCCCGAATCGGGACCTCGATCGAGCTAGGCGAGTGACGTCAATCAAGCTACTTAGGTTACCGAACTCCGTCCCCGCCGTCGCCATCCACACCGTTCTGCGTCGCTCCTTGCGGTACCGTGTGCGTACGTCCTACAGCGCGACGTCCTGGCCGCCTCATCGCAGCTCATCTGCACCATTGGGGTCCGGAACACGTGCAGGACTCATCGATCAGCGTACCCTGCGCCCTCAGCCTCCCTGCAGCAGTCGCTTCTCGAATTCCCTTCAGCATTGTTCTTGCATCGACTCATGTGCGCCTTACTATCCTTTTTCTGACCATGATTGTGCGGCGCTTACCTTGGCCTTCTCCTGGTGGCCTGCGGGCCGCACAGACGTTCCTATCACCAATCATCTAAGTAGACATGACATAGGACGTCAAGCATTGGGAATGCTCGACGCAGGATCGTCCCATTCAGCGACGACGATAGACCAAACTTAGCAGGCCGATCATAGCCAGGAGCCGTCGATCTATCCTGCACACTCATCGGGAGCGGGCCGGCGTGGCGAACGCGCCGAAGAAAGCTCGGGGAAACTCCTCTGAACGTCTGTCGCCACAGAACTCTTTGCCGCGGCATATCTTCGCAATGATATAGGCATGCAGAACATAACGCACATGGGGTGAGTGTGCCGCTCGGCCTCGCCAGAGAGCCATCGGGGGAGGCCAATTTTATTCGTTCTCCGTCTCCAGGCCGACCTCCTAGAAGTGCTCCCGGCCGCATGCTTGCTCTCTGCATCCAAGGGCCACTGTGCCCTCGGCATTGCATGCCACAGAGATGGACCGAACAGGCTCGCTGGCTGCGGGGGGCGAACGCGATCACGAGACCGCGTTGGGACTCGATCTGGGCGGTGGCGGCCAAGATCCACCGAGGTTGACTAAGGTCGATCTAGTAAGGCTGCCATCATCCTCCCGTCGTCTCGTCCTGCCTCGCGCTCGCTTTCGACAGCAAGATAGCAGTATGTGCGTTCGTTCTGTTCACCGCGGTTCTTGGATCATGACAGCACACATTCTCTACTCATCACACAACGTTGCAGGTGCAAAGATATGAAGAAGCACGTCGTGTAGGACTTGAATGGCTGACCCATGAAGGACGGCCGAAGTCGCGCGCATGCTGTGCGGGAGTCCCAGCAAGCATTAGGGTTACACTCATAGTCAGGTGAGCGCACACTCGAATCGTCAGTAGAGTGACGCAGCCACCCGATTGACCTACCGACCCTACCTAGCAGCATCTCGCCTGGGTGTCCGTCACGCAAAGACCACAACACTCTAAAGAGTACGGGATTGGAAACATGCCATCACGATAGAGGACCTACCACCCTTCCTCGATATATATTCCTTGCACTTCACTAAAGCAGTCGGCCAAGTTCGATGTACTACGTGCCGATGGTACACCCTGCGGAGCGAACCTGCGGCAGCACGTGCGGTGCCAAAGGGGCGGGACGCAGCGGCCACGTCGGAGGTGTGGCCACGCTGATGACGAGGGAAGGCAAGCAAGAGTCCTGCGTTGCGGTGTCTGGCATGTGAAGACTAATAGCTTGAAAACGCAGAATGATATTCGGATTGTGACCGGACTGCGGCCAAGTGCGCCTGTGAACCTCAAGAGGTCCGCCCAAGCGACAAGGTGTCATGTTCTCGGTGCCCGACTGTTGTTTAAATGTGCGTTCGGCGATGCCGTCCACAGTGTGGTCCTCGGACCGGGAACCAGCGACACCCCGAGGCGCTCGCCGACGGACGTTCAAGAGTGGCGAGGTTCTTTGTTATCTGTGCATACACACGCTCGGAACATCAATGGCTATTGCCCTTATATTCCACCCTCGCCTCGCTACTGATGTCTACTGAGTACATGTCGAACGAGCCGTCTCCAAACATGACCGACCAACCAGAACATATCCGCTGACTCGGATTCCGCACTACGATCGTACGTCAGATGGCCCTCGGCTTTTTTGCTTTGCAAATTGGTGAATGTTGAGACGTGGTTTACAGAGCATATATGAAAAGAAAGGAACTCACCTTCGGTAAATCGCGAAGGGTCGCAATAAGGTCATTTCTGGGGGCTCAGTTACTACCGGACCCTCCGGGCTGGTAGAGGGACTCGAAGCAAGTGGGGTGCTACACCGGCACCACACAACCGGAGACGACAATCAGTCATCTGCACGCAGGACGAGCGTCATATTAGCGACCGGAGACTACTAGACTCACCGGGCTGCAAGCGGGGCTCGGACTGTCTACGGAGGACGAGCCAGGCTTCACGCTCGAAGCTATTGAACGGGTGGTAGCGCATGCCGGCAATTGCACCTGTCGTTAACGGTGAGAACTCACTGTCAAGGGAGGGCTCACCTTTGACACTTTCGGGTTCAGTGTTCACTGCCGCACCGAACACTTGAGCTACCGTGCAAGCGATGAAGAGAGGCATGACGATCAAGGTGAACTGCATATTGGTTCACTCAAAGGAAGAGGAGGGCGATGGGATGTCTACAGGTCACCGACCCCTACAAGATCTATGTATGATTCAGTTCGGACCGAGCCACATAGTTTGATTCAACATATCACGCCACTGTCTGATGGTTTCAAGCACAGAGACGCTCCTCGGTCCGCCGGATGAATTGAGTGGCCTAGTATAATGTTTTCACTTCAATTGTTACCCCGGGGGGTCGTGTCGGGGCTCAGCGTCTTTCTAAGCGACCAATATCTACGCCCTCTGCCATCGCTCGATATTATACTCTACTATATCCTAAGAGGTCTCTCCGTCGAGCTCGCGAGTGTTGTACATACGTACGCTACTGGCGTATGATACACCTTGGACGCATGAATCACTCTAGCATCATCCTTTCGCGAATACGAGCGCCGTGTACCTGACTAACACCCTTGGTACAATGTCGTTCCTCTCGCGATATGCAGGCGCGCTCCTCCTTGAGGCTATATGACTGTAGTAGGAGCTGAGCGATCAGTTGTTCAAGTTACGTCTTCAAATATGTCTTGTTGCATAGAATCACTCGTTCAATAGAAATCACATTGGCACCCTCTGCAAGAAACACAGGTCAACATGGCTCAGGGGCGCCCTATAGCGGCCCCATCCCGAGACGAACTGCGGATTACAACGTCATGCTACATGTTCGTATCTTCTACTGGCATGATATCACGCATACGCCTGATAAATACTGCTCCTCCTGATGTTCCAAATGATAGTGTCTTTCCATCTGGGGAGAAAGCCATGAACATGACCGAATACTTGTGCTCGCACAATGTCCCATCATGTGATACATCGTCCACTCTCCTCACCCGCACCGTTCGTTCACTTGATGCCGACGCAACGTACTTCCCACACGTAGAAAAGCAGGCGATGTTTGCTGCGAGAGTGTGTCTATGGAGCGACAGAGTGTGCATGACGCCGCTAGATGTGTTCCAGATTTTCGCTGTCCCGTCCCCAGATACAGACAATGCGAGCATCCCGTCGGACGAGAATGCCACATCGACTACAGGTCGCGTATACTGCTACGAGCGGAAGAGTAATTCGCCCGTACGCACGTCCCAGATCTTGACAAGGCCAGACTGATGGCCAGTGGCGAGGCGTGTGCTCTGCGGATTGAGTGCAATCGTCAAACACTTCCCGGCTTCCCTTTCCCAATGGACCTCGTACTCCTTGCCCGTCTTCGTATCCCGTATGAAGCATTGAACCGAGCATGTTGAGACAAGCCATCGTCCGTCGAGGGAGAAACGGACATCAAGGACGGCTTTCGCGGGGGTCGATGGCTTCGGTGAATAGAGCTGATCGAACGTCCGCGCATTCCAGAGCCGCACTGTCCCATCGTGGGATCCAGACGCAATCAGAGTGCCGTCCGGCGACCAGGCACAGCTAGTAACCACCCCAGTGTGCCCTTCGAGAACTGCAATCCTGCATGCACCTTGGGCGGCATCCCAGACTGCGAGCTTCCTATCCTCGCCTGCGGATGCAAGCCAGCGACTGTCAGGGGAGAATGCGAGTGACCGTACAGCTCCATCGTGGGCTACCCATTCCTGGGCAAGGTTTCCGAGCGAGTCCCAGAGGATAACAGTAGAGTCGCTAGACGCGGTTGCGACCCACTTGCTATCCGGGGAATAGACGATAGAGTAAACTCGGTCGTCGTGGCCAAGAGTGGTGTCTGTGCACAGCATAAGTCTTCTGAAGACAATCGTTGTAATTCAAGCTGAGACAAACTTTGTCGGGAAGCAACAACGAGGGACCCGCGCTCTGCCATTTTCGGGAAGTGTTTTCCGAGCTCTTGTGTCCATAGATTCTTCCGTGAGTTACGACAACGATGGGAGCTGCAGAATACCTGCGTTGAATGAGGCGAGCGGAGCAGTGTTCTGTCCAGCTCCGTGCACAGACGGTGGTCGCCTTTCGGCCTAGCCATTGACCGCAATAGACGTCCCACGGCCCACCGTGACTTGCACCAGCCTTGGTGGGTGGAATTCCTTCAATATTCCATTCGATATTTCGACGTATAGAGTGTTGCCAATCGGCTCGTCGGAAGGTAATCTGAGCGTGAGGCTACGGAGCACAGGCCAGCTCAGTCCTGATGACAACCATCGTGTTATCGGTGATGCTTTCGTTGATCATGAAGAAGTTTGCTCACCCCGAAGACAAGCCCCGATACGTGAAGCTCTATCTGAGACGCCTTCTTCAAATAGTAGAGACAAAATTTCTACGGTGGAATGAGCCGAATTAAATAGCAGCCTCGCTATCGCCTCATCGGTCCTGTACCCAACGTCCATCTAGACATACTAATCAACGTCAGTTGGGAATCTGATGTACAGACGTGCTACTATATAATGCTCACAGTGATTGACCGCAGGCTGAGTTGTTGAGACAGTCGCTGTGTGAGAAGTTGGAGCGAGGCGTTGTTAGAGGCTTTGTCCCGAATCAACAGGGATTGACAGAGTAGAAGTTTGACGCTAGTGGACGCTAGTAGCATCCGGCAAAACTCTTGGAGTGTCTTGAAGGAGAGCTTCGAGAGGTACAGGGTTGTGACGTTTGTCCCAAACCTCCGAAAAGATGTCAGAACGGGCTGAGGAAGGCTCACAGTAGTCGGCAATTCGGGCCAAGGTGTGGTCCATATGATTGCGGCGAGGTTGGGGAGTATTGAAAACAAGGGAAATGGCATGAAGGTGGATGGCTGCGTTGTAATTGAACGCACGAAAAGACGAAGGTGGGGATGGACTTCGAAGAAGTCACGGAACACTGCGACCTGTTTTCTCTCCATGATCACGACATTGGCGACCATGAGGCAGAGGCTATATACGCGGGCGCACTTGGCGACATGTCAAGGAAAAGCTGGGAAGAGTCCTTCTATCGCAGCCAGAATGGCCGATGATCCTCTCGATGAGCTCCCAGGCAAGGCGAGGAGAGGTGGACATGGTGGGTTGAGTGAAGCGCGTCGTTTTTTGGAACAAGGATGACTGCGCTTGGGGAGGCACTGCATGCGGACATCGCCTGGTGTCCGGTCCGAAGCACGAATCAAGCCCGGGGTCCGACAAGGTTCAGAACGAAGAAGAGGCGCGTTTCCGCCGTTGACGCAGGACGTGGGCAATCAAATAGGCTTCGGAATGAGCCCTATCATCACACTGCCCTTTCCTCTATCTCGGTTGATGTGGAACATCTATTAAGCTCAAAAGAACCAAGGTAGCTCACGGTCAAACAGGAGGCAGTTTCTTCGTCGTATACACGCCAAGGAAGATATCAGAAGTCGCACAAATCCCAGAGAGCTCCATGCCACGACTCCGTATTCGAGACAGCGTATAGAGGCTTGAACGTCCATTCCTAAGCATGGAAGCAGCACGACAAGAATGTGTGTATTCTAGCAGCGTCCGCTCAAACATCGACAGTGTCGGTTCCACACGACAACTCTTCATGTCCATGCTATATACTTCCTTCGCCTCCAACTTGCACATTGTGGGTTGCACGACCACGCTATTTGCTTTCAGATTACCAGATGATCACCGTAATCACGGAAAACATTGATCGCCCGGAGCCAGGATGCAGTTCGTGGTAGGAGCTCAATTGAAGAACGTCCACGTCGAGAGGCTAGATGTAGTGGGGGTGAGTGAGTGTAATCTGAGCGTACACCAATACAGGACCACTGACGATCCGTGCGCCGCATTCCGTTGCGCGGATGGCCCTCCGAGTCGATAAAGGGAGCCGCGCCCTGTCATGGTATAACATCTACCAACAGCTGGCAAAGCCGGCCTATATCCGTGCGGCCCGCGCAACGGTCAGTCGGGACTTGTGGGTATGCAGTAGACGTGCAACGCTTACTCGATCATGATGCTCCGTAGAAGTTGGGTCGCGCCGATGCTGTGCTAGTCTCCGCAAGTTCCGGACACTAGCCATGCCCTCGCGGGATTCTAGAAGCTGCCTGCTCGTGCGCAGCATGAGCCGATGGTGATCGAGAGGCATTCGTTCGAAGATGTCAACAATCGAGGCCGAGATTGATGCTTCCATCTTACAAGGCTCGGCAGGACGGGCATAAGCTGTACGAGGGGTTTTGAGCAGGCTTGCTCCATAAGAGAGCCTATCAGAGCATCGTTCTCCGACTCCCCCGCGTGTATGCTTACCTTGTGTCCATCCTCCGCCCCATTTCGAAGGGCTTGAGACGTATTGCAGGTGAAGCGAAAACATCGCGAGTATGGGCGCAGCACCTCGAGATTATGCAAGTGTCTCAGCGAAGGTACAGCTGATTGTCGCGAATATCACGGATTAGGGTTGTCCCGGGTACCTGCTGCTTTCGTGCGGTGCGTGACACGTCTGGAAGTCAGCATCAACGAGACAGTCAATTCAACACTTACTCGTGGAGCACCTCATCAGGCTAGGTGATTGCGCGCCGTGGAAAGAACTTCAATGTCGTCCTGCGTGCGGACACAACGCAAGCGTTCCTATGTGACAACAGATGGCGATATGAAGGAGCTTGGGAGGGAATCGAGGAAAGGAGCAACCCGAGAACCGACACGCCTCGGACGAAGACCATATGCTGCGAAGGAGATCCTGTGGTCAAGACTCCTTACATACGATCTCAATCGCATTCATGCCATTCTACGACCTGAGTCGCGCTCTAGTCTCTAAGGTCGCGTAGCCAGACTAATTGTCATAATTGGGAGCGGGACCGCGGGACCGGCTGTGCGCCTCTCATTGGGACATGCGAGTAGGGAAGATAGACGAGGTTCATTTGACTTGCATAGATTGAGGTCTTCAGGACAGACTAGAACACTACTCATATGGATACAGATACTGGAGAGGAGGGTCAGTCCAGGACGTGCTCTTGTATGTGAACAGACATGGACTCACCATCTACTTTACAACCACGTTTTCCCTACGCCTTCCAATCGTAGGGCCACTCACAAGATAGATATGCTCCCATCCGAGCATACTCCAGCGGGCACCGAGGTTGGCGAAGCGGTGGCAACCGGATCGATGATGGAAGCAGCGCGAGCGATTAGTACCCAGGACGACGGTGTTGAGCTTGTCAAGACACCGATAGCTAGCGATGACTTCTAGGCTTGGAGTCACATAGGTGGGCGAGGTCTAGAACGCAGCGCAGGGGAATTTCAAGTGAATGATCGGGCGATGAAAGGCTATGACGAAGAGACGGAGCACATTTGTGAGCAGAGAGACACGAGACTAGTATCGCCGGCGAGCAGGACACCGTTGAAGTCGGAGAGAAGAGCGGTCGCATAGGCGCCAAATCTCGGATTGTCCCGGGCTCATTGTTCTCCTGCTCGATCTCTCCTCTCGCTCTTGCTCTGAATCCCGGGCTTTTTCACGCATCCCCTTTGATTTCAAAGGCTGGAATGCCTGGTTCGCGCTCAATTTTCATCCTCTAGCTGAAGTTTGACTCAGGGTGTCCGCTGGGTGACGCGCTGGGCTTGAGGAGCGAACTGATGGCGCGGAGATGCTTGTGCAGACTGCGTATGGGCATTGTTCGACGAGTGCGACGAATGTGTGCACGGCCAAGCATGTTGGGGCGTACATGGAGGAAGGGAACTTGCCCGAGGAGGAAGGGCGGCGTGTGGACAGAACGAGGCGCCATCCATTGGACCATCGAGCGACGTGAGGGCGGGGCCATACAGTTGTACTGGCGGGGTTCAGTTGACCAGCACCGCGGGCAAGTTGGAGTCTGCTGACTGATTCATCCGAAGGCGAAGCCAGGCGACGGGAGTTGTTTTGTCGGGTTGAGATAGATGAGTTGAGCGGTGATTCTGTGAGTGCGCAGAACGAATGGGCAGCTACGTAAGGTGATAGCATCTGCACCCGCAAGCCTGGCTGCAGCGGCGAGCCGCGCAGATCTCACGAAAACATGCTGGTGGAAGGCATCAGGCATCGGGCACGAGGACGTTGAGAAGGGACTCTATTGCCAAGGTGCCTATCATTCCTTACAGCTATGATTCAGTTAGCCGCCTGGCCACGTGCGACGACACTCCTTTGCCCTCACGAACTCTATCCCACCTACTTCCTCTACGTTATTTTCCCAGCGCACTAGTTCAAGTCTCAATAACTCTCAATCACTAATCAATACCCTACTAGAAGTTGAATCAGCGTCATCCGGTAAGTTCAATGATAGATAACTAGTGACCACACAACTTCACGACTGATCGCAACGTAGCATCGCGATGTGGCTACTCAGAACCGACCGCGCCGAGCTCGTGTACTTCCCGAGGAACTTCGATGCCGACGGAGGTTACGCCATCCTCTCGCACACCTGGGACGAGCGGGGAGAGCAGACCTTTCAGGAGGTTCGCGATATTGGCGAGCGATGCAAACGCGCCCGCACCAATCCACGGGACGATCCCCAGCTATCGCCTAAGATCCGAGAGTGCTGCCGTCTTGCTGAGAGGCACGGGCTCCGATGGGCCTGGGCCGACTCGTGCTGCATAGACAAGAACAGCAGCAGCGAGCTCTCTGAATCTATCAACTCGATGTATCGTTGGTACTCCGACGCCGAGGAATGCTACGCGTATCTCGTCGACGTCCCGAGCGACTGCGTCTTAACGGCGCGCGATTCCGCATTCCGGAGGAGCCGATGGCACACACGGGGTTGGACACTACAGGAACTCATTGCCCCCGCCTCCTTTCGATTCTACTCGTGCGATTGGGAGGAGTTAGGGAACAGAGCAGATCTTGCGGAGCTTCTACAGGAGATCACCAAAATCCCTCGGGAGATCTTCACTCGGGAGACAAGGCCTTCCGAGCACTCTGTCTCCGCACGAATGCGTTGGGCTTCGGGGCGGCAGACAACACGGTCGGAGGACGAAGCGTATTGCCTGATGGGTCTCTTTGACGTCAGCATGCCAACGAACTACGGTGAGGGAGAGAAGGCGTTCATGCGACTTCAGTATGAAATCATGCGACGGGATCCCGACCTTAGCCTGTTTGCCTGGGGATACACCCTCGCGTGTGGGAGTTTCAGAGGACAGGGACTAACTCTGCATCCTGGCAAATATGTCAACTCCGATTGGAAATTCCTTCTAGCATCTTCACCACACGCGTTTCATCTTCAAGTTTGGTATGCCCCCAACTTGGGTCTAAAAGCAAAGCAACGCTATCCCCCATCTCGTGTTAGTACATATTTTGCAACTATCTTACACACCACCGCGTCTAAAATTCAAACACAGGATAAACGAGGTGCTCCTAGTGCAGACGCAGCTACTGTTCCTTTTGGCCGCGTCGAGCTCCCACGCATTTCTATCACTACCTACGGTATCAAACTTCGCCTTCCCGTGTTCGAGGCCGACGGGGCAACCGTTGCAGTGCTTCTGTGCGTGGATCCCGATAACAATCACCTCGGTCTCTTCCTCTGTCCTGGACCACGTAGATCAGACCCCACTAGACCCCGCTACTACGCTGGGTGTGTATACAGCGTATACCAGCCACCGAGAGCATACGTCGCTCGGCTCATTTCCCTCGGCAACGACCTGAACAACCTCCAATTCAACGGAAAGCGAGTCGAGGCGACGTGGCGTACCATCTATGTCGTACCCGGCCATCCTGACGGGCAATCACCGAGCGCAACGACCGCTCGACTGACGATTAACTGTGACCCACGTCAGCCATTTCGGTTACCCCATTGGCTGGTGTCTCGACTCTTGGCGGTGGGATTCACAGTGGTAACTCAAGAGGAGTGGGACGAACAGGGTAGCAAAGTGACCCGGTTGTACTTTCTTCGGCCAGCAGGAGGTGAAATCATTTACCTTGATCTTGGGCTATGTCACATCGACCCCAAGGCTCGTTGGTCCAAAGTTACGATATCCTATGGGCCCAACGTCAAGCGATCGAAGGACGTTTCTCGCGCCCATTCTTGCAAGGAACACCACATTGACTCATGGACTGCCTGGTCGAAGGTGTTTCCCGACTCCGCATCGGATGCAGAACCATCCGTGCGGCTCTCTTTCGCACCATGCAAGGCGTTGCCGGAAACTTCGAAGCTTGTCGTTCATATGGAGCTCTTGGGTCGATTTTACGAGGAGATCCTTCGAGAGGCCAACATGACGACGGCTTTCCCGTCTCTCTCCGATCTCAACAAGGGCATACGGCTCGCATCACCTGACCACTTGCCTGTTCCAGAGCCCACCTTCCCGGGACACCCCACACAACTTCCCCGTCGATTCTACGCTTGGCTGAAAGCCTCAGCGAGAAAGCACCTCGAACGTCATCAACGGCCGCCTCCTTGATGTGAGCTTCGTCCGGTACGTAACACCTCTGTCCCTCAGAGAGCAACAGTTCAATTGATCGCTTCGGTCCAGAGCTTGCGGTATCTAGACTGCCATTATAGTTTCCGCTGTTCTATGGTCTTGTTACATGATAGCTGCATCTCTCCTACTGTGAATTCTGAACATGATCGCTCGCCTGCCGCTGCCCCCATCCCACGTTCCCACTTGAGTGAATGGGTCTTATCGAGAATAACGGCGTGCTCATGTGAATCCTCCCCCGGAGTGACAGCAAAATCAGAAGGCATCTTAGGCATGTGCTTAGTGATGGTAGGAAGCATTTCGTGCTCCATGTCGGAAGCGTGTTAGCAGTCTCCTGATAGTGTACTGGAAGCACTCATTCAAGGTCCCCAGTACCTTGTTGTAACGGCTCCCGGTCGCCTTCTCTATCGAGATCTGTGGACTCCGTCGGGTCTATGTGCGCTTTCCGGCTTGTCGCCTGCAATTGAAGACGCGCTCAATCTTGGCGTCAGACACTTGCTAAGCGAGGTGTGGGCTTGGTGCGAGACATGCATGACGGCGTACGCAGTCGACACAGAAGGTGGCCACGCGAGACTCTTTCAACTAGCCTTGGACGCAGCCTCGGTGTATGAATATCTGTGGATCCTCACTCGATAGGAAAGGAGCGGAACAGATTGCAGGCACCGGCCTGGATGCCGGAAGTAGACGGTGAAGCTGGGGGAGCACGACCGGGTGAGCTGCATGCCGAATCACAAAATGAGGACAGTTCTTACCAGGAAACTAGTAGGTAATGTTCGCCTGTAATCGGGAGTGAGCTGTACGGAGGGGAGGGGGGGCCAGAACAGGTCAATATGACAGTAGATTGCTACGAGCGGCGCTTCATGAGAGCAGCAATGTGAGAGGCAGTGTCGCGAGGACAAAGTGACATGCTAGAACCTGGTTGTATGCCCGACTGGTCGTCAAATGAAGTTTCATCGACTGAAGCTAGGGGACGTCAGCCACCAAGTGAGTGGGAAAGAGTCGTGCCGCATGGCACACCAAACAGCCCTGCACCGCTCCATCAGCATATATACATCTAGCCTCTGCCGAGCCAGCTACTATCGCCGAAACCCGTATGAGGCGGTTTGAAATCACGATACGGATGTTGAACGGAGCTCTTGTCGTTCGTGCAGGAGCAAGCGCATGACAAACAGCTGGCGGGAGCTTCGATTCTCGATATCTTGAGCAGGCGTTTCAGGCAACAGACACGGCGCGACAATCTCAGATCGTCACTGTTGGGAGGATGTGCGGGTGGACGCGGGGCAGACGCGGAGCGCTATGCAGGTCAAGGACGGGGGTCGTATTGCATGCCCTGCCTCGCATTCAGGTTCAAGTTGTCATCCCCCAGGGTCGACCAGAATTGAGCACTGTGTGCCGTACACTGTTTCTCTGTAGGTTGATGTCAGCTTAGACCATCGATATGATTCTAGTAACCATCTAAACTGCTCACCTGAGCGACATCTCGTTGGGCAAGACGCAAACAAGCGATCATCGACGTGCCATTTTTTATGTCAGAAGGCGCGTGTCTATCTGTGGAGACAATACGGGAGACACGGCGAGACATTCGAATGAGAACTGAAGCACTCCAAGGAAAAGTGCGCGATGACCAGTAATCGGAGAGCGTCGCATGACGAGCAATGGGAGCGGTGCGTAAGACACGGAGGACTTGTCGATGGTGCCTGACGTCGTGTGCAACCGAATATGACAATATACACGTACCCTCGGGATCCGCGATGCTCAGGCTGCACGATTACGCATCACACCTGGACGTGGAACATGAGTACAGTATCTTGAGCCGTACGAGTGCATTCGCTTGCTCCGGCAGAGGTAGACGGTGCAAAAAGTAGCGACAGAATGCTGTATTGAATTTGAAGGCTCGCTGCAGACAATAGGTACACACAGGGTAGTACGTCTTTCCAGCAAAAGGCGTGCGTTTACGCAAGGACGGTAATTGAACTCACTTGACTTTCCGTTGCCCAGCTCTTCACTATGCCTTTCACCTATCCTTTCGTTCCCAGCATACACCTGTCCTCTCCTTGTTACGAACGCGCGCAACGGCATCGGGTCTGTGAAGCGATGTCGGTAGGACTTCAGCAGAGCCAGCGATGGGTAGCCAAAAGCATCGAGGAACTTGCTAGCCTTGATGATCCCAAGCGGCGGCAGAGTGCAAGATCATCGACTCCTTGTGGATGCGAGGAGCTAGATCATTGATAGGAAAGTAATGACTGCACAGAACGGAGTGGACTTCAGAAAAAAGTGCTATGAGCTACGCAGGTGTATAGGCACCCAACCGTCGGAACGCGCCCTGTTACAACTGACGCCGCGCGATGAGCGCGTATCGACGAGATGTGCGCCGCCTTTCCCCTAATCGGCGTGCATCTTTGCTTGCCTCTTTGTATTGTGCACGACCATCACTCAAGCTCCGACGCGCTACTCGTTCTGGGAGCCATCTTTGTCGCTCATGTGCTCCCTGTGGCCTTGAGATGGCTTGTGTTTGCTCCCGCAGCCCATAGTGAGTAATTTCAACTCTAATCTCCTCTGGAGTCTGATAACTCGCGTCTGCACGAGTGGCGAGCCGCCTCGAGTACCCCCTCGCGATGCTAGTCTCTTCATATGTGACCTCTTGCATCGAGACTACTGATGGCTTTGCTACGATGCGATATAGTTGCGGCCCGTGAGATCATCATTCAATCCGTTCGACCGAGCTATGACTCCATCCTTTGGCAGTATCCCGCTGCGATGTACACGGGATAGTGAGGCGCGTGATGTCCGAGCCTGTCGCTCTTGCACTGGAGACCGTGACACGGTGCTCTCAACCCGCTCCGAGTCAATATCGGGCTTCGTCATCCCCCTTAATTCCACACGCCGGACTCCCTGGCTCGCACAATGCATGAGGGTCGGCACTGTGAGTATCCTGGCCAAGGAGCTTTTTGGTACGTCTTGCAGGACTCTCCCGCTTCATCGCTGACCAGCAGCTATCTAGCTTCTACTTAGGCAAGTCAGCGTCATGCAAGCTCGTCAGGTCGACTCCGCATACCGTATTTTGCCACAAACATCTATCCTTCCTACGGCCCCCTATGTCTCCCTCTCCCTCTGTTCATCGAAATTGCTACCGAGCAACATATTTCTCCGCGCTCCCCTTGACAGGGAGGGAATGCGGTAGCCGTGCTTATCCGGAAGGCCACTTTCACAGTACTTTGAAGCTTCAAGTATGGAGCCACTCGGTTTTTCGGACCGTCTCTGTCGCTCATTCGGAAGGTGTGGGTGCTAGCATGACCATATGCACTCGCACGGCTCAATGGTGAGTGTTGTGTTCCATACATACAATGCCCTCCGTGTATGTCTGCTTGTTAAACATATTGGCAGTGCCCACTGAGCGATAACTATCTGTTATAGTTTCCCGTTGGTGCAAAAATTTCGGTGCCTGAGTCGTGAACATCACTTGGTGAAGTAAACCCTGTACGTACCCATTGTTTCGTCTGGAGACCATGGCCAGCATTCTCATCAAGACCCAAACCAAGCGCAAAGCGGGAGCTGGCCGTCGATATTGATGTAGCGGCTTCGACTTGCTGCATTGTTCGCCTATGCGTGCCGCTTCTGGGTTCCCTGCCTTTGTACGCGCCTTAGCCTCCAACCTCGGGACCCATGGCCGAAGTTGCCCTACGCATGGTCACTCAGGTGCGTCTCACAATTCACAAGGTTTCACTAGCCGCAAGCATGAGATCCCACGCGCTCAGGGTTGTGGGGGCAATGTCGGCAACCCGCTGCGTTCATTGGTGCTCTGCGACGTTCCACGCGCCGAGTCCCACCGGCCGTTGGCATCTCGGAGAGCACAGAGGTCGTCCTCGATGACGTGGCGAATGGATCGCCGGTGATGAACGTTGGCAGTTTAATCGTTCAATGGAATTGGGACCCGAGAATTGGGCAGCGCTATGCCCGACCGTCTACACTGACAGTTCGGGTGACCAACACTCACCGGCATACCACCCTATGCAGCTGCAGGCACTGTCACGACGCATGGTGGTCACCCGAGTGCGAGCGGTGTCTCGTCATAGAGCACGGCTATATGCGTCCGGCACCTTGGCCGTCCCGAGCAGGGCAGGCCAGGTTTAAAGCAGGACGGGAGCGTGGCCGACAGGATGTGTCGCAGTAGAAGGCAGAGACCGCATGCGCTCGCGTCTGGAACCCGCGATGAGGCTACCGGCAGCCCCGCACGCCGCGGCGCGTCATTCCCTCGAGACTCTTCCACCGACTTCCGTATGTCGAAGCCATTGCTTGTATGGCCTGTCCCTGGGGCGGCGCGCGGCTTCGCCTGTGGACGCGTGGCGGAAGCCTATGCGCTGTCCTCGATCTGGCGGCTGTATGTCTTGGGACGTCAGGCCGCACGATGCTGATGAGCAGCGGGCGTAGAGGACGTCGGGGAAAGTCAGCTTCGGTGGTTCCTTGTCCATGGTGACGCACAGCGATTCCATTGTTGTGTGCCTGAACGGACTTAACATTCAAAAAGACACGCATACCTATGTTGTGGCATTGATTCCAATGTCATGGATGTACACTGCCCTTCCTCGCGCTCGTGGCAGCGATGAGCGTCTGCATTCAAACTCAGGATCGTTGTCGGCTTGTGACACGTCTTGTGTGGACAAAGTTCTCACATGTGTATGTGATCGTCCGTATCTGCCGGAATCGCAAGCCAGCCTGCGCAGAGGCATGCGAAGATGCGTAGTCTATTCAGATGTCCGGTAGCACAGAGCCGAGGGATATCTGGGTCCCGAAACATTGTGTTACGATTGCAGTAGTCCTATCAGATGAGGCAAAATTCAGGGAAACGATAAATGTAGGCTACACACCCATATCTTCTACTGAAAGAATATCGCGCATACGTCTGATCACGACCGACCCATTGTCTGCGCCAGAAGACAGCGTCTGTCCATCCGGGGAGAAAGTTACGTGCGAGACCCCATACTTGTGCTCGGAGAACTTCCCCACGCACGACCCATCGTCCGTTCTCCACAGCCCCACCGTCTGGTCCCATGATGCCGACGCAGTGACGTACTTCCCGCACGGTGAGAAGCACGCTGATCGGACGTCGCCGGTGTGTCCTTCCAACGATAGGGTCACGGAACCGCTGGATGCGTCCCAGATCTTCGCTGTCCTGGCACAGCCAATGGACAGCAGGCGCGTTCCATCCGATGAGAATGCCACTTCTATTACCTGCCCCACATGCATCCTCGAGAACACGAGACACTGTCCCATCTGCACATCCCATATCCGAACACTACCATCCTCATATCCAGTGGCAAGGTGCGTGCCCTGAGCATTCAATGCGGCGGCGTAGCACCGTGGATCCGCATCTTCGTGTTTCTTGTCCTGTTCACCTTTGTCTTCCTCGTTCTCTTCATCTGTAGCAGCCTTATCCTTGACATCCTCCCCTCTTGCGATACCAAAGTCCTTGTGCATGGCGCTGCGCCCGACATCCCATACACAGCACATATTGAAGCCTGTCAAGACAAGCCAGCGTCCGTCGGAGGAAAGGCAGACACCATGGACGAAGGTGTTGGTGAATGTGGCTACGTCGAGGACATGGAGTTGTTGGAACGCCCGAGTGTCCCAGAGTCTCACAGTCTGGTCCCAAGATCCAGACGCAATCAGAGTGCCGTCGGGCGACCAGACACAGCGATTGACTAATTGAGTATGCCCTTCGAGGGTTGCAATCTTTCGTGCGCCTTGACTGACATCCCAGACTGCGATATTCCCGTACAGGGACCCGGATACGAGATACCGACTATCGGGGGAGAATGCGAGGACGGATCCAGGATGAGCCACCCATTCTTGGACGAGTCGCCCGTCCGAATCCCACAAGATGATAGTGCAGTCCATAGATGCCGTGGCGAGAAGCGAACCGTCTGGGGAGTAGACGAGGGATGAGACCAGGTCATCATGGCCGAGAGCGATATCTGTGCAAGGGGTAAGTCATCTGGAGACGGTCGTTGTAAACCATACCAAACCTGCGCTCGACAGTATTTTGAGCGATCCACGCTCTCTCAATCTGGGGAAGTATCTCCTAAGCTCTTCAGACCAAAGATCGTTTCGCCAAGACCGAGTACGGAGGTGACCGAAGGGCAGAAGTTGTGGATGACGGTAGCTGAGCAGCATTTGGTCGAAATCGGAGCACAGGTGAAGATCGCCTTCGTCACCTCCGATCCACGACAATAGATATCCGATGGTCGGTACAAGCTCTACAGTGACTTCATCCAACCTCGGTGGGTGGAGTTCCTTCCCTATCTTGATCAATGCCTCAAACAAATCCTCATAACGGTCCGGCGGAAAGGATACCGTGAGGGTAAGGGCGAGGAGCTCAGGCCACTTTTCTATGGATTGTGATCTCGTTGTCACTATATTGCTCATTACGTAGTTATTTTGGGATATTTGCTCACCGCAGAGCAAAGCGCTGGAAAGTGAAGTCATGTCGTACGTTATGTCCAGGGACAATCTCTCCACGGTGGATTGAGCCAACTCGAACAACAACTTCGTCACCATTTCGGGCACGTGATGGCCTATCTGTTACAATGGTTGTATGTCAGTCAGGCATAGGGATAGAAGTGTGATACGGCGCTGACATTGATTGTTCTCAGCTTGAGTTGTTGTGACTTGAGGCGTTGTTCAAGCGCGGCACCGTTAGCCGCTGTCCCCTGGATTTCCAGAGACAAGCAACTCAGGTCTTTGACGGCAGGAAAAGCTAGGAGTACTCGGCATATGTCTTGGAACGTTTTGAAGGAGAGCTCAGAAAGGGATAGAGATGTGATGTTTGTCCCAAACTTGCGGTAACATGTCAAAAGGGGCCGAGGAAGGCTGAGCCTGACTCGACAATGATCCAGCGTATGCGCAGTGAATAAATGAACGTCGGTGAGGTTGTGGAGTATGTGCAGCAAAGGAAAGGGCATGAATGTGGTTGGATCTGCTCTGATCGAACGCACAAACGGACAGAAGTGGTGATAGGCCTCGAGAAAATCCCGGAAGGCAATGACCCGCGCTCTCTCCCTGATATCGACATTGGCGACCATAATGCAAAGGCTACGGGGGCGGAGTTGGCTGCAGGTGAGGGAAAAGCTGTAAATGTTCTCCGATCGTCGCCGGAATGGCTGATGATCCTCTCGATGAGCTCCCAGGCAAGGCGAGGAGAAGCGGACATGGTGTGTTGAGTGAAGCTCGTCGTTCCTGGGGACGAATATTACAGCGCTCGGGGAGGCACTGCATGCGGACATCGCCGGTCCACTCCGAAGGAGTAAGAATAAGTAGAGCCCGAGGTTCAGTACGAAGAGGCACGTGTCCTGCCATTAGCGTATGAACTGGGTATTCAAGCAGGCTTCGGTATGAGCACTATCATTACACCGCCCCACGCTCTATCGCGGTTGATGTGGGACATTTGTGAAGCTGAAACAGAACACATATGCCTCATGGCGACGTACGAGGCTCAGGTCATACTTTGCGCGAACCATAGAGATATCTGAGGGGAGACACGAGACCGTCCCAGGCCACCAGTGTTACGTGTATACCAGTGTGGAGAAAAAGGAATTTGTGATGTAAGACCCATCAGCCATGGAAAGATCTAACGGGTTACACAGTTTCTACAAAGCTCCCTGCTACCCGTCGGTGTTTGAGGCTAATGCGCATACTTGATCTCCCATTATCAAGCGTGGATGCAGCATAGCGATGGGGATAGGTGTTCTCCAGCAGTGTCGACTTGAATGCCTTCAGCACCTGCTCCGCTCATCACCTCTTCGAGTCCACGTTGTCGTATTCTTGGATATTTGGCATTGTGCTAAACGCGATCGCGCTGTTCGCTTGCAGGTTTCCAGACGATCCCCCCAATCGTGGGCCAAGAGCCACGATGTAGCCACCTGCTAGTGGTAGGAGTTCGATGGACGAGCATTCATGTCGTGGAGAAGCTGGATGCAATGTATCACTCACAGCTCGGTACTGACAATCCACAGATACGTAACTGCCGAATATCCATGCACCAAATCCCGTTGCGCGGACGGCCGTCCGAGTCGACAAAGGGTCTGACGCCCTGGCATAGTATGAAATCACCTGATAGCTGGCAAGGCCAGCCTATATCCGTTCCCCGCGCAATCGTTAGTCGGGCCTTGAGCGCACGAAGTATATGTGCAACTCTAACTCGATCGCGATGCTCCATGGAGATTGAGTTACGCCGGTGCTATGCTAACTACCGCAAGTTCCGGACATGATCCATGTCTGCGTTGGGTTCTAGGGGCATCCCCGTACGTCTGCAGCAGGTCGTCGAGAGGCGGTTTATGCACGGTCGGGGCTGAGATCGATGCTTCCTCCTACAAGGTTCGGTGTGGCCGGCAGACGCTGTGCAACGGGTCGTATCGTCCTCTAACTCCTACGGGTTCGTACTGATCTTGCGTTCATCTACCCTGACTTCAAGAAGACGAGACATAACGAGTGAGACGAATGCAGGGCGAGCATGGCCCAGACCGTCTACTGGAAGTAAGAATTACATGTCAGTCAGGCAGGCACAAGGTCGCAAAGGAGGACATATACTTCCGCTAGGGGAACGTTGCGGATGCAGAAGAGCGAGCGGGAGCCTACTGATTGAATCGGATTCGGACACTCTGATTGTCGCGAATATCATGATCTATGGCTGGCACGGTCACCGGCTGCTTTCGTCTGGCACGTCATACGTCTGGGAGTCAGTATCAACGGGAAAATGGGTTATTCAATCTAACACTTACTCGTGTAGCATCTCATCTCGGGTGATTGCACGCCGCGGGAAAAACTTCAATGCGGTCCTGCGTGCGGACACAACGCAAGCATTTCTCTGTGGCAAGGGGCTATGAAGGAGCTTGGTAGTGAATCAAGGAAAGGATAGGAGCAAACCGAGAGAAACTGTGTGACACGAGGCACCTCGGACGATGGCGAGTCGCGCCTTGTAGCAGATCACTCGTTGACACCCGGGAAGCGTGGCTGAGACTCCTTACGAACGGTCTTGATCGTATACAGATCCTGTTAGACCACTCGTGCCATAGCCTCCAAGGTTGCGCAGTCAGACAAAGTCTCATGATTCGGAGCGGGACCGCGGGTTGAGCAGTGCGTCTGCGTCCCTCATTAGGGTAGCAGAGTCGGATGAAGTTCATCGACTCGCAAATATCGAGATTATGAGTACGACTTACAACACTACTTGTACGTATACAAATTCTAGAGAGGAGGGTCAGTCCAGGACGTGCACTTGCTAGAATCTGCCACCGACCTCCTTGCGCCTGTGGGACGGAATACCTGGACGATCGTCAGGGACTCGTTTGACATCCTCGCCGCTCGATTAAGAGCGTTAACCGAACCACGCTGACAGCCCTCGCACCCAAGACCGTGGGCGCGACCAGACACCATGCGACCCTGAGTTGCAACAGGTCATCGTCGAGAACGACGCGTTCTGCGCGATGGCGCGCATAAGGGCGATGAGCACGCCTGTGAGCCTAAGTCGTACCACGCATGCTACTCCAAGCTCACAAGTGACGCCCCCAACGTGGACCTAATCTCGGCCGCGCGCTTCTGGAGTGCACCGAGGGGTCTGTTCGCCCATAGTGGCACGACTAATGAATACGTCGCACCCAATCCTCATCCTCCCGCCCGCGCGCGATCAAGTGTGCTCATCGAGGGCCGTGCTCGCCGTGAGGGGCGCGGTAAACGGTGCGGGCTGCTCGTGCAAAACATGCTCGGGCATTGCTTGAGGAGTACGCCATGCATGTACACGGCGAAGCTTTCGAACGCGTAGGTGGAGGTAAGAAGTCGATGAAGCAGAGGACACGGTGTGCAAGCCGGACACAAAGCCGCTCTGTGAGGGTGTCATCCCGTTTGGCTGCGCACATGCACACCATTCCGAGCAATCCGCCCTCGGCTTGGTCTTCCTGTGTATATACGACGATCTATACATCAGTCTCAACAATAACGAAGGAGGGACGAATAGCGATGCTTACTATGTAGGAGAAGACAGGAACGTGAGATGTTCATGATCTATGGAAAACCTCAGCATTATGCGAATGTGCATCGACACATCGGACCTTTGCAGAACGTTGATATTGGGACTGTGAACGCAGCCGAAAGTTCTTTCAGCATGCGTGGTCGGGAAGACACATCTCCTATTGCAGCTTGGCCCATGTGGTAGCTCCCGAAGCAGACCGTCCCAGAAAGTGTGCCGCAGAAGGAAGCTGACGCGAGGTTGCAAGTCATATGCAGACCCACATGCTCTGGCGTGCGATGGCAGAGACCACTCAGAGCGAATGGGTGATAGGAGCTATTTGTAAGAGACGAAGATTAAGTGATGTACAGATAGACTGAAGTCTGCGCCGCGGAAGACGGTCAGTCCACGGTATCCGCTGTGTCAGAATGGTGATGGGACGTACCTGACCACGCCCCAACTGACCCCTCTTGGGGACTCCGCATGAAGCTAGACCTCTCAACCCCATTCCTCGTTCTCGTTCCCGAAGCAGCATCGCCAGCTGTGAAGCGACTAGAATAGGTCATTAGTATCCGGACGATCATCTCAGGCCCGTGGGCAGTTTTGTAGATGTCGCTCGAACGCAGGCTCGAAGCTGCACAAGGCGCAGAACGAGTGATGGAGTGCACATGCAAGAAGGGATTCAGACTGAAGCTGAGAACACAGAGGATAAGATGGACGACACAACGAAAGCTCGGTCGCACAGGCGCCGCTTCTCGGAATGTCCCGGGCTCACCGAACGCAACTTGGAAGTTGACACGAATCGCGTGCAGCTCCTGCTCGATCTCTCCTCTCGCTCTTGCACTGGAGACCGACTCTTGGCCCGCTCAATCTCGGGCTTCGTCGCGCATCCCCTTTGATTTCACAGGCTGGAATGCCTGGCTCGCGCAATGGAGGGTCGGCACCATTGTGAGTATCCTGGCTAAGGAGCTCTTTGGTACGTCTTGTAGCACTCTCCCGCTTCATCGCTGACCAACAGCTGTCTATCTTTTAGTCAGGCGATTTAGCGTCATGTAAACTCGTCAACGTCGACTACGCATCCCAAATGTTGCCATGACTATCTATTACCTACGCTCCCCGTGCGTCCCTCTCCGTCTCCATCGAAAGTTGTACCGAGCGATTGGTTATTTCGTCTCCCCGCCACAACAAGGAGGAAATCTGGTCGCCGCGCTAATCTTTAATGGCGACCTTCAGAGCTGGAGCATCAATCTTAGAGCCATGTCAAGTTTTGTGCCGTCTCTGTCGCTCATTCGCAGCGTGTGGGTGCTAGCATGACTATATACACTTAACGGTGAGTGTCGCGCTCCATATTTACTACACCCTCCCACAGTAGTCGTGCCTACCGATGGATCGCTGTCTGCTGTAGTGTCCCGCTGGTGCAAAACATCCTGCGCCCGAGTCCCGGTTGTTGAAGCAAACCCTGCACGTGCGGCTTGTTTCGTCTGGAGACTACGGTTAGCGTCCTCATCACAACGTTAACCAGGCGCAAGGTCGGAGCTGGTTGTCAATGCTGCGTAGGGGCTTGCACTCACTGTATTGCTCGTCCAGGTGTGCCGCATCTAGGTTTCCTGCCTTTGTACGCGCTTTGGCCTTGAGCGTTCGGGACCCATAGCTGAAGCTTTCCGCGCATGTGTCCGCAGGTATGTTTCACATTTCGTCGATCTACCAGCCCCACGCACGAGACTCCATCTTCAGCGGCGTGCTCAGGATCATGGCTGCAACGTTCCATGTGCCGTATCCTCACCTGCCGTTGGCATCTTGGAGAGTACTGTGGTCGCTCTCGATGACGAGGTGGATCGATCGCTGCTTATGGTCGCCAGCAGCTTGATGGTTCAATGGAATTGATACCCCAAGATCGGGCAGCACCATGCCCGTCTGGGCACGCTGACATTTCTAATGAGCAGCGCTCGCCTGCATACTGCCCTATGCAGCTCCCAGGACGGGTTCGACGCATGGGATTCACACGAGTGCGAGCGGTGTCTCGTTCAAGAGCGCGACTATATGCGACTGGCACCTTGGCCGTCCCGAGCAGTATGGACTAGCCTCGGTTAGTATCGACTTATAGCACAATTCGCATGCACTCGCTTCTAGAACCCACAATGAGGCTACTGGCAACCCTGCACGCCGCGGCGCGTCACTCCCTCCAGGATCTGATTCTGGCTTCTGTTTGTCGAACCCATTGCTTGTCCGAGTCTGGCCTGTCCCTGGGGCGACGTGTGGCTTGGTCTGTGAACGTATGCCAGATGCCTATGCACTGTTGTCGATATGCCGGCAGTATGTCTTAGGACGTCATGCCACATGATGTTGATGAGCAGCAAAGCGTTTAAGACGTAGAGGGAAGGTCAGCTTCGCAGGTTTTCTTGTTCGTGGTGACGCGCCTTGATCCTGTTGTCACGTACAAGAGCTGACTTTGTATGAATAAGACACGCATACTTGCGTTGTGGCGTTAAATCCCATGTTGGGAATATACAATACATTTTGTTTCTCTCGGGATAGCGATGAGCATACATAGAGCGCACTTTCTGCATCCAACCCAGTCTGATTGTCGGCTTTGTGTAGATGACGTTCTTGCCATATTGCCTTTCTGCGAGAACTCGAGTTAATTTTCACGGAGGTACGCGCAAATGAGAAGAAGCATAGTCTATTCAGACGTCCAATAGCACTGAAATGAGGGATGCTTGGGTCCCGGAAAATTCCGTTACAGCTACAGTAGTCGAGGCGAAGTCCAGGTAAACACCATCATGCTACACGCTCGTCTCTTCTACTGGAATGATATCACGCATATGCCTGATCACGACTGACCCATCGCGTGCGCCAGACGATAGCGTGTTTCCATCCGGGGAGAAGGCTACGTTCCAGACCCAATCCTTGTGCTCGGAGAAGGTCCCCACGCACGATCCATCGTCCATCCTCCACAGCCGCACCGTCTTGTCCCCAGATCCCGACGCGACGTACTTCCCGCACGGCGAGAAGCACGCTGCCAAGACCCCGCTGGTGCGTCCTTCGAGCGATAGGGTCACGACGCCACTGGATGCGTCCCAGATCTTCGCTGTCCTGTCCTCGGTAGTAAAGAGCACGCGCGTCCCATCCGACGAGAATGCCACTCGTATTATCCCTTCCGTATGCACCCTCGCAAAAACGAGACACTGTCCCGTCTGCACATCCCAGATCCGAGCATTACCATCCGAATATCCAGTGGCGAGGTGGCTGCCCTGAAGATTCAATGCGATGGCGCAGGACCGTGAACCGTCATCATCGTCTCCCTCGTCCTGCTCATCTTCGTCTCCCTCGTCCCCTTCACCTTCATCCTCCTCGTTCTCTTCATCTATCGCAGACTTGTACTCAGTATCCTTCCCTCCTGCGATACGGAAGTGGTGAATCGTGCTGCGCCCGACATCCCATACATAGCACCGATGCGCATCTGTTGAGACAAGCCAACGTCCGTCAGAGGAGAAGTGGACACCGTAGACGAACTCGTTGGTAGACACGTTGAGCAGATGTAGCTGTTGGAATGTCCGAGTGTCCCAGAGTCGCACAGTCTTGTCCCGAGATCGAGATGCGATCAGAGTGCCGTCGGGCGACCAAGCACAGTGATCAACAGATTGAGTATGCCCTTCAAGGGTTGCGATCCACCGTACGCCTTGGCTGACGTCCCAAACTACAATCTTTCTGTCAAAGCCTGCGGATGCAAGATGTCGACCATCGGGGGAGAATGCGAGTGAGCGGACGTATGCAGTATGAGCCACCCATTCGTGGACGAGCTGCCCGTCCGAGTCCCACAAGATGATAGTGCAGTCCCGGGACGCCGTAGCGAGGCGGGAGCCATTTGGGGAGTAGACGAGGGCTGTGACCAGGTCATCATGGCCGAGAGCGATATCTGTGCAAGAGGTACGTCATTTAGAGACGGTCGTTGTAAAGTATTCCGTAGCAAACCTGCGCTCGGTGCCATCTTGAGTGATCCACGCTCTGTCAATTTAGGGAAGTATTTTGCAAACTCTTCGAACCAAAGATCCTTTCGCCCAGAGCGAGTACGTCGGTGGCCGAAGAGCAAGAGTTGTGGATGACGGTAGCTGTGCAGCATTTGGTCGATTTTGGAGCACAGGTGCAGATTGCCTTCGTCACTTCCGATCCATGACAACAGATCTCCGACGGTCGATAAAACTTTCACAGTGACTTCATGCAGCTTCGGTGGGTGGAACTCCCTCGATATCTTGATCAATGCCGCAAAGAAATCCTCATAACGGTCCGACGGGGAGGACGCCGTGACCGTGACCGTGAGGAGCTCAGGCCACTTTTCTTTGAATGTCATCTTGGTGTTACTATATCGCTCGCTATGCAGTCATGTTGAGTAACCTGCTCACCGCGAAGGAGAGTGCTGGAGAGTGAAATCTGGTAGTAGTAGCCCATGTCCAGGGACAATCTCTCCACGGTGGATTGAGCTGACTCGAATAACAACTTCTTCACCGCTTCGTGCACATCTTCGCCTATCTGTCACCGTGGTTTGTGAGCCAATCACGTATAGGGGAATGTAAGTGTCATATGGGGCTTACATCGAGTTGTCTGAGCTTCAGTCCTTGAGATCTGAGGCGCTGTACAAGCGCGGCACCATTAGGCGCTGTCTCCGCAATACGCAGGCGCTCGCAGCGTAGGTCTTTGACCGCAGTAAAAGCTAGAATTACTCGGCAGAGCTCTTGTAACGTCTTGAAATAGAGCGAATAAAGGAATAGAGATGTAATTTTTGTCCCAAATTTGTGGAAACATGTCAAAAGGGGCTGAGGAAGGCTGAGCCTGACCAGGGTATGTTCTGGCGTACGCGCAGTGAACCACTGAGTGTTGGTGAGGTTAGGGAGGATATGCAGCAACGGAAAGGGCATGAATGTGGTTGGATCTGCTCTGATAGAATGCACAAACGGACAGAAGTGGGGATAAGCCTCGAGAAAGTCCCGGAAGGCAACGACCTGTGCTCGCTTCCTGATATCAACATCAGCGACCATAAGGCAGAGGCTACGGGGACGGAGTTGGCAACATGTGAGGGAAAAGCTGTAAAGAGTCTCCGGATCGTCGCCAGAATGGCTGATGATCCTCTCGATGAGCTCCCAGGCAAGGTGAGGAGAGGCAGACATGGTGGGTTGAGTGAAGCGCGTTGTTCACGCTTGGGACGAGCATGACAGCGCTCGGGGAACACTGCATGCGGACATCGCCGGTCTTCTCCGAGGTTCAGGACGAAGAGGCGCGTGTCCCGCCGTTGACGCAGGAGCTGGGCAATGAGATGGGCTTCGGTATGTGCACCATCATTACACCGCTCTACACTCTATCGTGGTTGATGTGGGGCCTTTGCGAAGCTAAAACGGAACGCAGATGCCTCAAGCGAGGCTCCAATCATACTTGATGTGAGCCATAGCATTGCAGCATGTGCGAAAGGAATGAGACAAGAGGCCCTACCAAGCGACCAGCGGAAAGCAATGTCAAGGACAAGAGATTTGTGATGTAAGAGCCGTAGGCTAAGGAATGATCCAACGAGTTACACAATTTCGGCAGGGCACCCTGCCACGAGTCTGTAGATGTAGCATAGCGCTGGGGATAGGTGTTGTCCAGCAGCGTCGGCTCAAGCGACCCCAGGATCGTTCCGCTCATCACATCTTGGTGTCCGTCCCATAGTAATATCGTAAATTTTGTTTCGTGAGCTGTGCTATCGCGCTGTTCGATTGTTGACAGACAACCACCCCAATCGCAGGGGACGGTGCTCGCCAGGAGCCAGGATGTAGCCATCTGCAAATGGTGGCAGTTCAGTGGATGAGCATTCACGTTACGGAGAGGCTGGATACGATGGGTCACTTACAGCTAAGTATCGACAATATGCCGATACAGGACTGCTGAAGATCCATGCACCAATTTCTGTTGCACGGTCGGCCGTCCAAGTCAACGAGGGGAGTGCCCTGTCACGGTATAAGATCGCCTGAAAACGGGAGAGGGTTACCTATATACATGCGCCCACGCCGCCGCCAGTCGGGCCTTAAGCGTATACAGCAGACGTACGACGTGTACTCAATTGCGATGCTCCATGAGGGTGAAGTAGCGCACATGCTGTACTTACCACTGCAAGGTCAGGATAGTAGCTATGCCCCCGTTTGGGGGGCACCCCGTCCGTCTGCAGGACTAGCGGTGTGGTCATCGACAGGCATTCGTTGGACCAAATATTCACGTTCGGGCCGAAGATTGATCCCTTCGCCTACAAGGTGGGGCGGGGCTCGCAGAAGCTGTACGACGGGTTTTGAGCGGGCTCGATTTCTAGGAGAGCATACCAGTGTGCCGTCTACAAATTTCCCTAAGTGAATACTTACCTTGTGGTGGTCCTCTGCTCCCATTCTGAGGGCGCGAGACATATCGCAGGTGAGGCTGTATCGCGGATACGGGCTTAGTATGGATTAAGCTAGCGTCTCAGAGAAGGCACAGACCCTGAACTGGAACTGAGGATTACATTTCAGTGACGCAAACATAAGGCGGCAAAGGCAGGGCATACATTTCGGCTAGGAGGACTTCATAGATGAAAGGGGTACCTAGTCATGCATCTGGACACTCGTCGCATACATCACAATCCATGTTTGGCCCAGTCACCTGCTACTGTCGTGTAGCACGTCACACCTCTGAAAGTCGGCTTCAGCTGGACAATGAATCCATTCGCTTGCGACACTCACGTGTGTAGCCTCTCATCAGGTGGGGTAAACGGGAAGAACTCCGATGCCCTCCTTCGTGCGGACACCATACAAGTGTTGTTCCAAGACACTATAATGAATTCGAAGGGGCTTTGTAAGACATTGGAGAGGGAATTGGAGCATCGAGAGGAATTGCGGGCAACGAGGTATGTACCTCAGCTGCAGCGCATGGTGCCCCGGACGATGGCGGGTTCTGCTATGTAGCAGTGGGCTCGTTGATACACGAACAGCGTCGCCGAGACTCCTTACATACGGTCCCAATGGTATTCAGCCGATCCTATGACCTGACTTGTGGAGTGACCTCTGAGATCGAGCAGTCAGACTCATAGTCATGTTTGTGCGAGACCACGGTTGAGCAGTGGCCCATGGGGTTCGTACGTCATTGGGACATGCGGGTAACAGAGACAGATGAGGTTGATGTGCTTGCATATATCGAGGTACTCAGTACAGAATACAGGATGTTTCTGCGTAGGTATACATAACCTGGAGAGGAGGGTCAGTCCGGGGCGTGCCTTTGCGCAAGAACGAACATGAGCTCACCATCCACCCAACAACCACGTGCCCCCGATACCTGGAAAACGTCTAACCACACCCAAGGTGAAATATTATCATCTGTGTATCTTTCAGCGGAGTTGTAGTCGGTGAAGATGTGCAGGAAGGATTGTAGCAAAGCGAGCGATGGGTACACGGGATGACCGGGTTGGGCTTGTCTTGCAGCGACATGGAGGCTCATAGCCCCAGACGGGCGAGCTAGGTTCGAAACGCAGTCTATGCAAGAGCAAGGAAGACTTTATAGTGGACGCGAAAGCACAGCAGCCTCAGGGCGTTTGTGAGCAGACGGATATCGCCGCGTCTGAGGCACGGCGTCTGCCGACTCCCGATGTTCCTGCACGCGACATGCCACAAATCACAGTCGTGCTGATCTGGGACCTTCTCTCAGCGGACCGCTCCCGGGATGATCCAATCAGAAACTGTCGATAAGTCAATGCCTCGCCGTCCCTCTGCAGGTGTGCAATGCTGCTGAAGCGGAACGACATAGCAGCGTATATTCTTCCGCTTCTACTACTCAAGATACGTACTTAGTACCTTGCGTTTCGCGCCAACCGCAAACCCGAAGGTGACTGGCCCCAGCGTTGTGAGTGTCGCGTAATCAATTCGAAATTCGTTCACCGCAGGGCTCGCAGCAGATCTTTACCCACATCAAGTTACGCATTTGCGCACGCCGTGACCTCGGGCCGCGCGTTGAAGTGGGAGTCTGACCTGTGCGATATAAGGACTGCGTGGGATGTGTGAGTGTGCGCGTCCGCCTCTCCTCCTTCCCCGCGTCCTTAACTTCGAGCCTGTCCCGCCGATCTTTGTGTTCAAGACGAAACGCCAAGGACAACATCTGGACACCGACCGCGAAATGGACAGCGTCGACTCCAAGACTGAACAGGCGCATCCCGTTCTCGTACCTCCAGCCCGAGGGCCCAGCGAACACACGGGCAGGATACTCAGAATCAAAACAAGCCGCATGGCCAAGATTGCGATAATAACAGTCGCCGCTGCAGTATCCGTCGCGCTGCACCTCGTAAACGTCCTATATGCTTCTGCGCCAGAAGTCCTGTACCATACGGCTCATGCGAGTGCACCGGAGTTCGATTGGCATTCGGTACGTCCCCCAGCGGACATCATACGGCTGGCCTAGAATGATACTTCAACCACCACAGCTCGAGCCCTCCACTGAGATCAAGTGGACTTCCTGCTACAACGACCAAAAATGTGCTCGCCTCCTGCTCCCGCTCGACTACCTCTCCGAAGACCTTTCTGGTCCCACCACCGCCATCGCGCTCCGTATGATCCCTGCTCGCGACCGCACCAACTACCGCGGCACCGTCCTAATCAACCCGGGTGGGCCAGGCGGGTCCGGCACGGATCTTCTGGCTCGTGCAGGGACAAACATTTCGACAATCGTCGGGGACTCGTTCGACGTGCTTGGCTTCGACCCGCGCGGAGTGGGCGCGAGCAACCCTGCTTTGAATTGCTTCTCGAGCAAGGGGCAGAGGGACATCTGGCTAACGCAAGAGGGACACCAGTTCTTGAACACGTCGGACGAGGCGTTGCTGGGGTTGTATAGGGCAAGGCAGCGCGTGGTGGGCGATAGGTGTGCGAAGAGCGATGGGGGAGAGGAGGGCATTGCGCGGTTCATGAGCACGGCGAGCGTCGCAACAGACATGTTGAAGATCACAGAGAAATTAGGGCAGGAGAAGCTGCATTACTGGGGCTTCGTGAGTGGACTTATTAAAGCCTTCAGTGTGCTCATGCTGACTGACCTTTTGTTGTACAGAGCTATGGGACCATCCTCGGGCAGTACTTCACTGCCATGTACCCCGACAAAGTCGGACGTGTGATCATTGACGGCGTGTACGACGCGTACAACTATCGAGGCGCGCTCTGGAACTCGAACCTCCTCGATAACGAAGCGGTCATCAACTCTCTATTCACGTACTGCCACGAGGCCGGCCCCCTCAAGTGCGCGCTGTATGAATCGAGCCCGGGAAAGATTCGCGAGCGATATTATCGCGTGCTCGACCGCGTCGAGCGCGAACCTATCCCTGTTCCTCACGCCGAACCCCCTCTCCTGATCACGCGCAAGGCCCTCGTGAACCAGATCTTCCGCGCCGCATACAAGCCCATCAACACGTACGGCACCGTCGTCGACACCATCCGTGCAATCGAGACCGCGAACCAAACCGCGCTGACCGCACTCGCCCCGAAGATCGTCGACCCAACTGAGTGTGCTTGCCGCACAGAGCTACCACAGATCGTCGAAAACGACGCGTTCTCTGCGATCGCGTGCGGGGACGGAGAGAAGCGCACGTACGACCCCGAAGTGTACAAGGCGTACTACGCAGACCTCACGAGCGATGCGCCAAATGCCGGCCCCTTCTGGGCCGTACACTTCCTCCAGTGCACCGAATGGTCCGTCCGCCCGAAGTGGCGGTACACGGGCCCGCTCGCCGCGGCAAACACGTCGCACCCGATCCTCATCCTCCAACCGAGGTTCGACCCGGTATGCCCGTTGAGGGACGCGCTGGCTGTACGGGAGCGGTATGCGGGCGCGGGGCTACTCGTGCAGAACTCGTACGGGCATTGCTCGATGAGCGCGCCAAGCGTGTGCACAGCGAAGCATGTGCGGGCGTACATGGAGGACGGGAGGCTGCCGAAGGAAGGAACGGTGTGCGAGCCTGACGAGTTGCCGTTTGTGGGGCAGGTGAGCGATGCGAGGGCGATGTCAGGAGAAGATGCGACGTTATCGGAGGCTTTGCGGGGGTTGTCGGAGGTTGTGCCTATGTTCGGTGCGTAGGAATGCCGTGAGATGTATTGAAATCGTGTTCTCCCCGTCGCAGGCAAGGCTCTGTGTATTTCTATCACAATGCAAGCTACAATGGACCAGTCTGGATTGCCGATGAGTATAGTCAACTTCAGCCTGAATACCGAGGTTCCCACTACAGGTGCACTTATCAGCTGGAATTCGGCCTCTACTTCCGCCATAGGCACAGCGGCGAGCGTAGTGTTGTGCGGGCTCCGTGCTTACCCGTTGGGCGCTATGTGTACTACGTATCCGGTCCCACGGAGGTCATCCGCATCCAACATACAGTGATCGATTGTATTGATGGGCGACATATCTGTCCTTGCAGAGGCCCAGAACACACGGTTTGCTCTGCACTAATCAAAGGGAAGATCCAGACGACTATATGATTTGTGGCCATGGTCTCCGCCGTCGAATCCCCTTCCTCTTTCTGTCCCCTACTGCGACAATCCTCTTCCTTTTACACTGCCTAACCCATGCCTGCAACAATGCCTGCACGAATTCTCGTCACGGGCGGCACTGGCCTCGTGGGGCAAGGCATCAAGTACGCTATTGAGACCGAGCCAGTGAACTCGCACTTCGGGAAGCGGGATGGTGAGGAGTGGATCTTCATCGGCTCTTCGGAGGCGGATCTGAGGTACGTGCATCATGAAATATGCTCGAGTGAGCGATGATACTAGAGTAGAACCCAGAAATAAGGGGCAGACCGAGAAGCTGTTCGAGAAATATCAGCCCACTCATGACATCCATCTAGCTGCGCGTGGTATGCCCCAATACCCTGCAGCACTCCGCAGAAACCTGTAGGAACGCTGACGATTTTCGCCAGTTGGCGGCGTATTTGCGAACATGGCAAGGAAGGTAAGGCACCATTTATAGTCCATGCACGTCCAAGCACATGAGCCGTATTTGCTTATCGAGACGCGCCTCCCAGCTCGACTTCTTGCGCGACAATCTTCTTATCAACGACAACGTGTTGCACACTGCGCATGAGTTTAAGGTCAAGAAGGTCATCTCCTGTCTCTCGACTTGCGTGTACCCCGACAAAGTCGAGTATCCACTTGACGAGACCAAGATTCATCTCGGCCTCCCGCACGAGTCGAACTTTGGCTACTCGCATGCGAAGCGACTCGTTGACATTCAAAATCGGTAGGCGCCTCAATCCCTCATGAACGATCGCAATCAGTGGAAGCAACGGCTGATGGCTCGAGGGTCACAGCGCGTACAGGGAGCAATTTGGTGACATTATCACATCTGCGATCCCTACGAGTGTGTTTGGTCCTCATGACAACTTGTGAGTATCCATGTCAGATTGGGACATTGCGTCTGGTAGGTTCCGTGTCGGTGACACTCCTCACCAGCGACTTGGAGAGTGCGCATGTTCTTCCCGCGCTTATTCATAGATGTTATCTCTCGAAGAGTGCGTTGCCTCCCGTACATTGCATTCCATACCCTTAGAAGTTCTGACCTTTGCCTCCTTCATGTTACCTAATGGCATGACGGGCAGCCAACAATACACCCTTTGTTGTTTGGGGCTCCGGCAAGGCCCTAAGGCAGTTCATCTACTCGCGCGACTTAGCAAAGCTTTTCGTCTGGATGCTCCACAGCTATGACTCTGTCGAACCGCTCATCCTCTCCGTGGGGGAGGACGAAGAAATCACCATCAAGCAAGCCGCAGACGCGGTCGTCAAAGCGGTCGGCTTCAAGGGTGAGTACCAGTTCGATACGACCAAGTCGGACGGCCAGTTCCGCAAGCCTGCAACAAACAAGAAACTGCTGGGGCTTCTGAAGGATACCGATTTCAGGTTCACGCCTTTTGATCGAGGTGAGTGATACGTGGGCTACATTCTCGCGAGAATCCGGAAGCATGAGATGCTGACTAAACTACTCTTGGAATCATAGCCCTGGATGAGATGGTGCAATGGTTCCTACAAAACTACATGGATGCTCGGACAGGCAAGCCGCAGTAGCGATGGCCATGGGTTTAAGGCTATACTCACTTCTCAAATTCCGTGAGACTCCTACACGAGATACCGTGATCTCCAATCGCGGGCAACCGGTATACATAGATCTCGATAGGCCATGAACATACAATCGATCAATAGAACAAAACTCGGACACCTATACACTGATCATGGTGCAAGGCTGGTGATCACGTCCACAAGCGGGCTCGGCTTCTTCTCTCTGGAACCCCCTGCATAGGCCTCCCAAGCATACCCAACGAGCTCGTGTAGCGACGCCGGCAGGTGCTCATAGCCGGCCGTAGGGGCTGCCAGTGCTGTGTTGCGCGGACTCCACGCGTATACGCCCGATTGTTTCAGCGTGCCTTCCGGTGTCTTCACATTGAGATGGTCCCTCGCCTGGCATGTGTATGTGCTCGAGAGACACCAAACACCATTGAATGGGCCACCATCGGGCAGACGTGCTACATCCTTGACGAGAGCTGCGAGGATAACGAGGTCCTGCGGCTGTACCTTCAGGACATTCCCGTCAGAGTCGACAGCGATGTCTGGGAGGAAGAGAGCCATGACAAAACCCTCGGCACACATGGCGCTGAACCGGTGGGTGAACAAGAGGTTATCTATGGTGGGTTGGAATGTAAGGGCATCGTGATCGGGGTGTGGCACAGCGCGCGTGTGCCAGCCTTCGGCAGAGATGGACGTAGATGTCATGAGACAACTGCCTGGCTGTTATGGTATACAGGATAATGAGGCTCATGTTTCACAGAACTTACCAGGTAGGGGCTCGCTATAGCGCAACCCAGTCCTCAAACGACTAGGCTGCTCACTTCGTCGTGGTCAGGATAAGAGAAGCAGCAATGGTTACACTACACACGCTTCCAAGTTCTCAGCGAACACAGCTATGGTTGCACCGCCATCTCCCCGTGATCAGCCCCCCGTGATCACCGCGCAGCCTGCGGCTTCGCTACTACCACAGGAGCTGTCATGACAATGGCCTCACAATCCGTCTGCTGTCATAGGCGTTGCGTATCACTCTGGAGCTTGAAGGATTGCGAATTGAACGAATACCGATGAGATAGTAGGGAACCGGGTGTCATTGACTTGATGAAGACGATCATGATTCTCCGGAAGCAGTCAGTAGGGAACGCCGATACGCAGGAAGGTATAGACAGGTTGATCTCTCTGGATTTGCCCAAACTGTATGATCCGGCACGCGCGCGGGGTGTAAATTGTTCCCTGACTACCTAAGTAGGAACCAGATGCATCAAAGGGAATGCGCTTGTCTGTCTTGTCCCAGACCCATCTGCAGGTCCTTCTGCCTCAATCGTGGGACAATTGATGCCGGTGATTGTAGGATCGGCCTTCGGCGTGGACAGCTGGGGGAAGACAAGTACAGTACTAGTCTAAGCACTTCTCTGAGTTGAATGTGGGTTTGCTGATTGATAGACGACTCGTATATACTATTGTCATTAGAGCGGGGTGTTCGAGGAATGATGCTCGTGAAGGGGGTTATTTGAGGAGGGAATTGAGACATCCTGATCTGGTGGCGCGAGCGGATTACCAGAGAATGTCGGGAAGTGATAAAAGGCTCACTTTCCGTGGAATATCTTGCTTTCTGATCACAAACCACAGCAAGAGCACAATCCTCCAAGCTCCCACGCCCAATCGGCACCTCTCGGCCAGAACCGTTCACAACCCCCATCGCTATCCCTGAAATCGTTCAGATACGGATCGAACTAGAAGTTGAGATGGTCCCCGATAAAGTTGCCGTCCTGATACACACGCATCAACCTTGAGCCGGGTGGACGGGGCTTCATGCTCCCGTGGTGGTGTTTAATGGGTGAATCTGGGATGGGTACGACTTCGATAATTGTTCTGCAGTGAAGCGGCTTACGTCGCTTTCCCTTCTTCTGCATGGCCTCTTCCAATATTTTCTCGCTATTTCCCAGTCCCTCGAAATCAGCGAAAGGACTAGTAGTGTTCACAGCATACTCACTATTCCTCAAACAGTTTCCACCCTTCCTTTATAAACCCGACCTCCTGCTCCTCGCGATCAAACCGCGCGTCCAATCCAGCAAGATATGCGAACTTCCGCGATACGAGCGTGCGCAGATCAGATATGTTGTACAAACGCCCGAATGACTTGGGGTTGTGGGGATTGTCGAAGGTAGCGTGGGGAAGGGTATCAATCTCGTAGGAATTGAGACGATAGTATGCCGTCGCTGCCAAGCGGTGAGCCCTTAGCGATCGAGACGACAGCTATAGATATTCCAGAAGCTCACCATCAGATCTATACACCCCGCGATCGCCAACCTTCTGCTTGTAGCGAGGATCGTGTAGGCGTGACCATTTACGGTCGACGCACCACTTCTTCCAACGCTCCTCGCGCTCCTCCTTGCTTTGCACTTTGCTTGCTGCCTCGTCTCGAGTCCGCTTGGGCAAAGCCTGGGGTGCAGTCTGAGGTGAGTCGTTGGATGGGCTAGACCTTCGACTAGGTTCATTGACTACCATCGCGCGGCCCATAGGGCTCGAAGGCCCCGTCGCTAGGTCAGGCTTGTTAGCTTTCTTGCGACTCTGTCGGACGGGGGCCTCAAGCGCCCCATGATCGGCAACAGAGTCGGCCTTGACTGAAAGGCTGGGAACAGAGAGAGGAGGAAGGAACGAGTGAATATCCTCTTCCTTAACCTCTTCCTTAACCTCTACCTTCGCCTCCGCCTTGACCGCAGCGACACGGTGCAACCGCTTATTGCTGGACGTGAAGGCGAGGGCATTGTCATTCCCGGAAGCTGAGGCTGATGTGACGACGTCCGCCTTTTCGTCTGTTGGGGACTGTTCGCGCATACGCTTAGAGTGCGTGCGGGTCGGTGGGGGGCGAGACATCGGGCCTGTAAGAGCTCGAGGGCGAAGAGTGGAGTTGTGTGTCATGTCCTTTGGCCTGGAGACCTAAATACGTCAGAAATTAGGCTTGAATGCCCAAACTGGTATCTCCGCAGACCCAGCGGGCCCGCACGAGAGATGCTCGATGCGCCGGACGACTCTCCCTCGAGTGGTGAGCAACCTGCATCAGTTCCGATTGCGGAGATACGATGCAGATCCCAATCGGTGGGAGTCCGTGGCTGAACAGGCGGAGGCGGCGGAGAATCAGTCTCGTCGGATCTTGCAAAGATTCGCCCGCAGACGTACCGTAGAACCTCCCAGCGCATCTTGCCATGGACTCAAAGTAAACCACGTGTAGAGCTTACCGGAACATAATGCTCAGAATGAGGCCAACCTCTCAGGCAGAGTCATGCGAAGAGGCGAATGTGACTTAAGCTGATTCACTGACTTGCTGTGGTGGAGATCATACATCAGCTTCGAGCTACGAACCTTTCAATGAACATGAGCTGCCGCATCAACAGCATATACAATGGCAATGGTACGAATTATAGAGGCCGACACTGAGTCATGGCCAGAAGCTGATCTGGGCAACTGGCAAGCATCAACTGTTAAGTACGCTTCGTGCTTCTCCTTACTTGACTCCGAGGGGCGCTGTGAGCTTCTGCAAATTTGGTACAAACATAGAGAAGCGCTTAATTAGTGAACTCACCAGTATGCACGCTTTCCAGCTTCATGGAATGAGCATGCGTCCTCGGGCTCTGAAGGCGGGCGTCGGTGGGTATCAAGGACCTCCGGTGATGGCGGGAAGTAGCACTTGGGTGGGTTGGACGCCGGCATCGCAGGATCTGGAGCGTCTGCTCGCTCGTTTCCTCCACAACGCGACCGCCCTGCGATCATCATTTGCCACCTGTCTCTTCCCACTGCTTCCTCTCTGTTTTCGGCCTTCTCGTTCTCAGGTGCAGCGCCGCGGTGAGCATACATTTGTCGACTCTCCAACGCAGGCGCCATGTCCGAAGGGGCTCTCTCGGTACAGGCTGAGGGTAACAATGCGACCAAGCCGATACCGACTCTCCTGACGACTGCCATCGAGGTTCCGCCACCCGATGCTGACAAGGTCTCTACGCCGACATCCCCCACGGAGCTTCCTACTGTCGTCGCGACGAAGCCCCCTTTTTCTCTGGCAAAGGTAGCCGCGGACGATGAGGAGAAGAAAGCCGAGCCTTTGTCGGCGGTAGCGGAAACCGCGACGGAGGAAACGGTAACTTCAGCGGACACGAAACCGACAACTGCGAACATCCCGGCTGACAACTCTGCGGGGGGCTCGGAATATACGGATGCGGAGGAGTCGTTTGGTACAGCCGAGGCCAAGGTTCAGTCTCTGCCGTCTCCCGAATTAACCAGCATCCCACTATCGCCCGCCGAAGCTCAGGCAACACCTGTCCCTCCTCCATTAGACGTTCAAACCTCTTCCAAACCTTCAGCACCAGTCGAGTTGTCAGAGCCTCCAGTGCCAGCAACGGTGCTGGCGGGTCCCTCACAGGCGCATCAGTCTACGGGGTCTAGTGCACCTCCCAGCGACGCGGCTTCAGCAGAAGTCTCTGCGGCGTCTCCTACGACAAATGAAGTCAAAGCCCCTGCTCCTCTTGATACTCTCCTCTCGCCTACTGAAACCGAGGGCAAGTTCTCACAACGCGACTCAGTCGCGGCGTCCGAAGTTACGGACGACGAAACCCGGTTCTCTACCGTCCTTCTTAGCGCGCGGCAAAGCCTAGCTACTCCGATAAAGCTCGCTGTGAACTCCAGCGAGTTAATCACCGTCGACGAGGGCACAGGATCCGAAGAAAGCACGCTTGTGGACGACTGGCGGAAGCATAAGAAGACCGCGTCGAACTCGACGATCCTCTCCGCGAACAACGTTCCGTACCTCTTGTCGAAGCTCAGCGAAGCTGAAGAGGGCGAGACACGATCACGACCGAGCAGTCTTCAGGGAACGCAGGCCATCAAGGAGGGGTTTTACCAGAGGCACGAGGAGGCGAGAGCTGAGGAGGACTCGGAAGAGGCTGTGGACTGGGGTGCGTCGTGTTGTTATCTCTCCCATTGGTATGCGTCCGTAACCGTCTTGCTTGTATATAGACTTTTGGGGCGAAGTCATGAATGGTACTTGCCCTTTCCCAAAACGTATACTTGATAACCCTGCTGAGGTGCGTGCGATCATCCAGACTATCAAGGATTCGCGGCGGCGAATCCCGAAAGGCTGGCAAAGGCGATCGAACGAGGCATTCCCCAGACCCTTCGTGGTATGATTTGGCAGCTTATGTATGCGTGCTTAGAATGTATCGTGCGAGAATCCCGAAGACATCTGACCTTTCCCCCAGGTCCGCATCGAAGGATCCGGAACTAGAGGCTACCTACCTCCGGTTACTGAAGGAGTCGAGTCCTCACGAGAAATCAATACAACGCGATCTTGGGAGGTACGTATCCGGCCTGCACGCCCAATGCCGCGAGCGATATTGACCATAGTGTAGGACGTTTCCACATCATGCCTTCTTCACGGATGGCCATGGTATCGGACAAGAGAACCTCTTCAATGTGCTCAAAGCGTATTCACTGTGCGTCACTAGTACTCCCCTATCTTGTTAGCGTGGCCTCGTGATGAGCCGTCGACCAGTTATGATCCTCAAGTAGGCTATTGTCAAGGACTGCCGTTCATCGTTGCAATCCTTCTCCTCAACGTAAGTCTCGAACTGTCGCGATCGTAGCATGGTTCCTCATTCTGTTTGCATCCTTATAGATGCCCGACGAAGAAGCATTCTGCCTGCTCGTCCGACTGATGCATTCATACGATCTTCGGGGGCACTTTCTTCCGGAAATGCCTAGGCTGCAGCTACGATTGGTGAGCTCCTCTGATTATTACCAACTAATAGAAAGGAAATTTTGACGTGGCTTCGTCTCCGTAGTTTCAGGTAAATTACCATCGAGCACACAGATAATTCGCCCATCTGACCAGGGGAATCAGTTTGAGAGACTACTGGAAGAAGTCCTTCCCGTGCTTTACCTACATTTTGTGCGGCAAGGAGTGAAGGCGAGCATGTACTGCTCGCAGTGGTTCCTTACTATGTTCAGTTATCGGTATGTATCGCCTCTGCCACTTTGCGACTAGTGAGCCTCATTGATTGGTCGTCGTTCCGACAGGTTCCCGATGGAGATCGTCTTTCGAATATACGACAACTGTTTAGCAAGCGGTATTGAGGCAATGTTCGCGTTCAGCATGGCATTGCTGAGCAAGAACGAGGCGACGCTGCTATCGCTGAAGTTCGACCAGCTGATCCAGTTCCTGAATCAGCGCGTGTTCGATGTATACCAGGTATGCAATCTCCCTCCTCCATATCCATTGTACGCGGACGCGGACGCATTGCTCATCTGACAACTCCCTTCACAGATCGGCCCTGTAATACCAGGTCAGGCACCAACGGACGTTAGATACCGCGTGGACGACTTCGTGCAGGACGCAATCTCGTTGAGGATTACACCCTTTATGTTGGACAACTACGCACATGAGTACGAGGAGCTCGTCCGCGCGCGAGATGCGCATAAGCTCGAGATGGAGAACCTTAAGAACACCAACGCAAGGCTTGTCGCACAAGTGTATGTCGTTTTTCCCATGTCGTGACCAGTGAGGGGCTAATCTCGAGCTGTGTTCAAAGGAACAGCCTGGAGTCTGCTATGGCACAGCTGAATACGGAGCACTGTCAGGTCTTGGTGAGTGCATCTGGATCATTGGTACTGAATTTTGCCACCTTACTGTTTCACTCATAGAACGAGCTCGTTATGGCGCGCCTGCGGCATGAAGAACTCGAATCCGAGCTCGTGCGGTATAAACTTCTGTGCGTAGTTCAGCCGCCTTTCTATCAATCCGTACTTACCCGCCCTCCGTTAGCTACGCCGAAGCAATGCATCAAAGCGAAGACGCGATGTCATCCCACCGCATCTCGCTCGTCGGTAGCAAGCGCGGTAGCAACAGCAGTAGCCGCTTCAGTTGATAGCACCGACCCATTCGTCGTATCACCTCATTGCATATTTCGCCCCGTCTCTCCTTGTCATCGGTGTTCAATCTTGTATTGGTCTCCTTCATTGCATGCATGTATCCTGAGTATCACAGCATTCACATAGAATAATGATATGGCAGCATGGTATCTTTAATCGCGTGTGGAAAATGGGCGGGTACCCCACTGCAGCGCCCGTCATAGTATAGTCATGGCACGACACGGGCTAGTTATGGTGATGGTGACGGTATAGGTAAAGGTCGTGGGTACGGTTTAGCGGCCTGAGGGGTGCGAGACGAGAAGCCATTCCATGCTGGAGAGATGCTCGTATCCGATCCCGTTCGGCGTGAGGTAAACTGGGCATTCGTCGACCTGACGAACATCGCGCCCAGCATCTCCTCCATCCGCGTCAGCTTGTCGTCCATCGAAAAGACGCGTTTCTCCAACGAGGTGAATCTGCTCTGCATGCCATCAAACCTGGTGTCCATAGCGTCGAACCGATGTTCCATGGTCGTGAAGCGCTGGTCCATTAGCTCGAGACGTTGGTCAAGGCTCATTGGACCGTAACGGATATCATCCTGGCAGCGAACAAGTGCGTGTAACTTGTCGTGCGCGCCGACGGTGAGGGAACCTCTTTTATCACATTCAAGACAGATGAAGACGTCATCTGGTCACAAGATGGTGAGAACATGGCAGACGCATGAATACATACTCAAGTTACTGACCTTCGCAAGTTATACAGTACCAGCAAGGTTTCGATACTTGCTTTCTGCAGATGATACATGATAAGCTGGCCTGAGCGATCTTCTTCACCCGAGCTTGGCGACGAAGTGCGGGATTCTGCAACACCTCGTCTGTCAAAAGCTCTGTGACTTCGTTGAACGTCCTCCGCGCGCTCTTGAGTGCCATTCGGGCTGCCTGATTCATCCTTCCAAACTCACGCAGATGTAACATTGTGCGGACCTTGAAGACAGCATGACCCGGTAGATGGGGCGCAGGGAGGTCGGGGCGCTTCTCGACATCAATCTCGCTGCTACGACACCGCGGGTCGTCACAGAGGTTAAGAGTTTTGTTGGAGTCGCAGTCGAGGCATACTATGCGGGAACCGACTATAGTGTTCTCGCAATGGTCACAGGTGACGTCGCTACGCGAGATTTTTGTCAGTCCATTTAATGATGATGTACGTCAGACTTACAGATGGATTGCAGTAGTCCGAAGCTCATATTGGTATCGGGTTTCGTATAATCTCGCGTCCGCTGTCGTGAGGGTTTTCCGTATCCTCGCCAGCTCCATCAGCTCTTCTTCGACCAATTCCGCGTAGTTCAGGCGAATCAGTAGCTCGATGTAGCGTTTCCGATCGTCTCTTCGTCGTTCAAAATACGTCCACGAAAATCTTCGCATGCTGACCAGCTCGCGGACTATGGTTGTAGCATACCTCCACAGCGCACGAGGTCTGTTGATTTGGAATTCGATGGGATCCGGCCGGCAGCACATGTACGCGGCCGGTAGTCTCTTGAAGACGAAGCGATCTGCTGTCGAACCCACGACCAGGGAGGAATGATTGTCGCCTTGGCGCTTGATAATCTTCGACTCTGAGTTGGCCGCTTCGGGAGAAGTGCCCCAAGTTCCGGAAAATGTCCTGTCCTTGTCGTGGAGGTACCCTCTGAAGTAAAGGGGCGCAAAGCGAGTGGCGTACTTAATCACGAAAGTGTAGCAGATACGACCATCCACTTCTGATATATACCTGCCCTGGAGATGATAAGCAGTGCCATTTGCAGTACGAGAAGTAGCTTCGAAGCGGATCGAATCGACGGCGTGGATTTGAATGGAAAGCATGGGTTGGCAGGGGTACAAATTTCCCTTGGACATGAATCCAGACCAAGATCCAAGCCTAGGCACCCAGGGCTACGTCAGCTATGCAGCAAGAGGACAACCATGTCACGTACAAGGCTCTAAGAGGCCACTTCGACGTCATGTCTTTCTCCGTCGGGGAGAACCGAGGCGCATCATATCCAGTCGGATCGAACCAGTCGTCATTGTCCAATGGATAGTTCAGAATATCGTCCGAATTGATGTCCTGCGCCTCCCCATCGTCGTTATACACGACGTTAGGGAACTCGATATTGCGGCTCCATAGGCCTTCCGAATTACGCCAATGCTCGAACTAAGGTTGATCAGGAAGTGTCTCAGGGCACAAATCACTATATTGCGTACCAAACCGCATGCGAACCCTTTGAACTGCTGTCGTGGATCGAGCTTCTGTTGTCTGAAGATGTCTGGAGGGGACATGAACAGAAATCACAAGTTTCCTAAGGATCGAGTCACCTTGAAGGTCCTTGTACCGAAATTCGACGGCTTGGAGAACCCATTGAACCGTATTGGCAGCGTCCAATAGCTCAACCCTACTGATGACTTTCTGGCGAGCAATACGCATAACCTCGTAGTCCTTCTTGAGGAGGAGGTACAAGATCGGGAAGACATACTGAGGCAATTAACGATTGGATTATGCTTCATACATATGTAAATACTGAAGCTCACCTTCTCGATCCTTCCGGGTCCGGTGACAAGAGTTAATGTGTCCATGGCGTCGATGTCGTACCGGACCGCTTCCAAACGTTCGCGGAGACGCTGCTCTTCGTCATCGATGTAGCTCTGGAACTTCTCTCGTAATCCCTCCAACGGGTAGTAAGGCCTGATAGACGAAGTCAACTCTGATACTCTAGTCCAGACGCTGTGGAGGTAGGTGTCGACGACGTTGCGTACGGCTGGGTGGATATGAGCTTTGAGCGAGAACATCTTGGCAAACAGGTTATAAATCTTGTCCCGATACATCGTAGCAGATATCTGCCATCCTGCCATGTACGTCCGCACGTCCGTTTAGCATAGCTAGACAAAGCCAGTTTCGGAGGACCCACCAATCGCCCAGTAGGCAAGCCAGTGAAGTAGGCTGTGCGTCTTGTAAGCTGGTAGGCAATGAACACTAGGTAAGCATATGTCTTACCTCCAATCTCTTGGGCGAGCAGTTGTTAGTTCATTGGCTTCTGAGACGGTGATGAAGTTGGATGCGTCGTCGTTGAAGGCTTCGACGATGGGTTGCAATCTGGTCACATTGATCCACTCCAACGCCCATCCGTCTTCTTTCTTGGTGCGGAGAACATAAATTCTATCGTTCCGCTTCTTCTCCTCCTCTTTCTCGCGGAAATGATCTCGCAATGCTAGTACGAAGTGACGCGCTTTCGTGCTCCCACGCCAGCCCTAGAGTTTATTGACATCGTGATTCGAGAGCGATAAGGCTTCGATGACATACCATTTCTTTCCATATTGCGTACAAATCCTCAACATAGCGTGTCAGTTTAAGTTCAATGAACACCGGAAAAGGACTCACTGGATCGATAATCCTGTCATGTGGCCGAGACGGAATCGCGTTGATGACACGGTCCCCTTCTCGATGGACTACTCTGGCGAGCTCATCCACAATCTGCTGTCGCTGCATCTCAAATTTCCGTGAGAACGTCTGGGCATTTCTCTCCACCGCCAGTTCTATATCTTCCCTCAGCTCCAACTTCAACTCTTCCATGTCGAATGCGACATCCTGCCGTCCACGGATATCTAACGTGCCATCCACGTCTCCACGGAATTCGTGAATCAGCTCCCTGAGAAGGCGCTCGTTGTCCATGACTGCTTGAAGTCCGCCCCTGCCCCTGACGCGAGCCGCTATGTCCTCGTACTCTGGGGACAGAGCCGTGTGGAAGTAAGCCAACATGTCGTCCAATCTGCCAAGTGCTCCAACGCTCAGCCCCACTAGATTGTCTGCGCGACGTGGAACCGCTCACCTATCCTGAGTCTGCTGTGCCGTGCCCTCTATTTCGTCCAGCTTCGCGTTGGCTTCGATATCCAAGCCCGTATGCATCGAGAGCGCGAACTCAAATTCGGCGCGACGCTTATGGAAGGCGGCAGAAAGATTGCAGAGAATGGTACCCCAACTGGGACATGTCAGGATCTTGACGATAGGCTTCTTCTTGAGATAGGTATCGCAAGTATTCGCGCACTCCCTGATGTCGGTTGCTGTTCGCTCAAGCAGGCGCTCCATGCGAGCTTTGATAGAAACACCATCAGGCCCAACCTCCTCTTCGCTCTTGATTGTGTGCAGCCTAGCATCGTCAGCGAAACAGTGCATGAAACTAGAGGGAAGACCTACTGGACTAGCGCAGCCATCATATCGCTCATCTCGCCATACACGGCAAGGACCTTCTTGTTATTGTCTCTTCGCTTCAACTCCAGCTCGTAGACCACTTTGAAAGTCAGGATGGCCACTACCCCAGGTGACGATCTGTCAGCACTTGGGTCAACATGCAGACGATTGGATATCTTACCTCCAGTGAAAGCGTGGACTCGCGCGATACTGTCGAGAGCTTTCATGAGCATGGGCATCCTATCGAAGAACGCATTCGTGTTGTTCGCAATGCCCTGCACGCCGTTCGAGCTGTTCGAGCTATTCCACGAGAAGTCGGGAGTGGCAACTATCGCAACTGATCCCTCCCATACGTGGTTTGACTCCTTATCTGTATAACGTGTCCAGCTTTAGCGTACCTTGGGCGCAAAGCAAACTACTCGCCTAAATCTCCCTTCTCCCTCCGACGTTGCGCAATGAGTCCATCGTGGGTGTCGCCGATCTGCTTCCACGTCTGACGGTGCTCCGGATTATCCATCTCTTTCGGTTGGGCCTCATTCCCTAGGCCTTCTTTGATGTCCGCGGAGTCTGGTTCCGAGTAACCGTCCAAGAGGTCGTAAGTCGGAGAGATGCCAGTACTAAGGGCTGGCGAAGGCACTGGTCTAGCCCCCACCGCTACGGAACCGCGGAGGTGGTAGGCTTGCTTCGTTTCTGCGCGCGGTGTCGGGAGCGGCCTGTAGGCCGCCATAACGCAAGTCAAACAAGGGGGCTGGGTAGAAGGATCGCAGCTAGTAGCGAGCTGGGGGTTCCTATATTCAAAAGACCAACGTGCACAAGCTAAGACGAGCGTTCTGATACGGCACCTGAGCTGAGTTTGTCAGTTGTGCATCTTCGATCAATCAACAACCATAGTTTACATACCATCTTTACATAGCTCGTCCTAGCACTCAACAACCTCGATCATCGCGTCCCCCACTGTCCGACAGTGACGACCACCTCTCAAAACTAGGCTTATTCTCCCACTCTTGCCTCAACGACCACATAGCTTGCCAGCTTCCGGTCAATGAGGCCTCGGTGGGAAGGATGATACCTCGAAGCTGGGCGATGACGTGAGTTGACATGGGAGATCTGACAGGGACGGCGTCCGATCAACTCGAGGCGTCGAGCGTGCACCCGTGCAATTGAGTGCCACATTCATCTCACTTACATGAGAACGCGTTCCTGAGGAACCCGCCACACTAGCTGCGACTCTCGGACGGAAGGGGTCACCCGGCACGGCAACTTGAAGAGATCAACGTCATGATGGTGCACGCTATGTACGGACGATATTCCGTGATCGTGCACGGCCGGACACAGATTATGGCTAGAGAGCTGCCTGAGACAAGATCACAGGACTCGATTGACTTGCGATACCGGCCAGAAGACTTGAAGGGTTTGTTCAACAAGATGGAAAGAACGTGATGTTGAACTTTATGGCGGGCCGTGCAAATGATGCATTGCACAGCCACAATCCCTCTCGGCTCTGGCGCCTCCGAGACCGATGTCGACAATTGCCTAGTCGCATGTGCTGACTCCAATGAGTAAAAGCATCGCAAACGAGTGCCTACACGCTTCAGGCGATGTGGACAGCATCGCAGGGATCAGAATCTCGACCCATGCTGTCGCGCTCTACTACTCATGAGTAAGATTCGAGTTCCGACCAGCCGCTTTATTCGAGAGCAGGTTTATACGATTCCCTGACAATAGGACCCAGCATCTTCTCAATAATATTAGGTAGCTCTAAATCACTCCCTCAACAGATTCGACCCAATTCGCCGTCAAGATCACCAATAGTATGAGGCTCACCAAAACCCGTCTTTAGCTCGGAAGCGATATGCCGTCGTTTTGCGATATCAATGGGGAGAGATAGGGAGGGATCATGCGCGAAAAGTGGGAGCGCACTGAGTTGCGGACGCGGTCGAGCGTGTTGCCTAGCAACATCAACCAAACAACCAACAGGCGTAGGATGAGCGTGAAGCCATCGACCGCTCGGGTCAGTCAGGGGTCCTAAATCGAGAGCGTCCAATACTTAGAGTAGATCCGCTGGCGCCGTCAAATGAGATGGAGAAGTCCATGGCCCCAACCTCGGCGATGTTCGCCCAATACCCAGAGGCTCCGATCCTACGCATGAGGGTGGGGAACCTTGAAAATCAGAAGGGTCGAAGCGTAGATTCTACAACAGAACATGCATGTGTGTCGCCTATTAGGCGACGAAAACATGCATGTTCTGTTGTATACGGCTCTCAAAGCATAATTGCTAGTGATGTCTTCTCAGTTCCCCGTAAATTCGATCCATGGGCGCATCGAGTGCTCAGACGCGAGATGGGTGGCGTATGTATGCTATGTAAGCACCGGCCCGCTAAAGCGCATATAGGCCAGAGTAGTGCGCTAATGAAAACGCTGCGTTGAACGCCTTCGCGAGTCAGCAAGATAATGAGTAGGTGATCGCCCATAATCTTGTAGGATCTCTGAATATGACATCTGAAACTGGTCGATACTATCTCCAGGCTGTCCGGGATACGTGAGCGAGCAGGAGCCTTACAGTGTTCAATAGACTCCTACTGGTAAAGCATTTAAGCGTTTGCGGACCAAGTGAAGGCATCGCTATACCTCTACATCGAAAGCCTCAGGAACCACCCTAGTATTCATGCGGCGGTTTGATTCTTCGTGCATCGGAAGCGTGCCAGAATTAGTCACACCGAGCGCTGACCTATAGTAGTAATTGAAAAGAGCCGAGCCTAGCCTGACTATGCATAAGCTTAAGGTGACTATACATGCCTGCTAGAGCCAATTGCAACTCCAAGGGTGTTCGAGCCTGCGTCAGAGGCTGAGCCGCTCGGATACCAATTTGATGAAAAGCGCCGAGGACTTCCACACTGTCACGCCGGCGCTCAGATAGACGCTTATGTACATTCCGCCACATGACAAGCTACAGCCGTCCTAATTTAGCTCATCTCAGTACACTTCCAGTGGCCATGTCGACGCTCGACTCAGAGCCTTACAGGACTATCATGTCTTTTCCATCGCCATCTTCGTCTTCTCAAGCAGATCTGATGTGCTTTTGACAAGGTTTTGCCGCGAGACCGGCGAAGGACACCGCCTCATGAATTCAGGTGGACCTCATGAGCTTCATTACGGCAGTGGAGAAGCTCTCGGTGGATCTCAGAAGACCTTCTCACATCTCCTCATGTCACGAAACGAGATGCCGACTGACAGCTGTCTGATGCCCACAAGGCAAAGTGCACACTCACTCCGTTGTGCAGTGCGAAGAAGGTTCGGAGCGGCACGACCCCAGCTGGACAAAGTCATCCCGGAGTAGAGAAGTTCCCAGGGCTGCTCTCCGTGCTACATAATAATACCTCCATATGACTGGTCGAGCAGCCCCCGCTTGACCTCCTCGTTTCAATCTTGCCGCGCCATGGCAGTAGCGTTCATCCCCCTTGACAAGGCATACCTTACTGCCATCTGGCTTGAAACGCTCCTGTATGGTACGTAACACGCTCATCCGTCCTCAAAATTGTGCTCGGCTGACCCGTGCTCTCCCCCCAGGCATCAACGTGTGCCTGTTCTGCTCATACGTCTACATCCTGCGGTTCCGACGAGCGAGGAAGATCACACCCATCGTCTTCTGGGTTGCAGTATTTATGTTCTGTTTCTCAACTATACACGTCTCCCTTGGGTTCTGTCGACTGATATGGGGATTCATCGATTTACGCAACCAACCTGGGGGTCCCGGCGCGTACTTCTCAGACGTCTCCACGCCGCCCAACGTCGCGAAAGTCACTATCCACTCTGTCAACTCTATCCTCGGTGACAGTATTGTCGTATGTGCATGTGCTCAGCAGCAATCTTTCCCAGGTTTGCTGAATTCCGGTCGGTAGGTATGGCGATGCTGGCATGTGTGGGGAGGAGAGTGGAAAGTGTGTGTCCTCCCGATCCTTCTCATTATTGCCTCAGCGGGTGCGCACGTCTTGCAAGCCGTCGTCGATGACGTGTGCGCTGACATGTGAGCGGTACAGTTTGTGGCTTCAGTCAAGCGGTCATCTTTGCAGAGGCGAAGACAGTGCACAGCGCCTTTGCTAACGTAAGTCTTTCCGACTGAGTTCCGCTCGGCGTCGAATGAGACTCACCTAGCTGTCCTTATGCTAGGAACTGGAGCGTTGGAACGGATCGCTGTTCTCGTTATCCCTCGTAACCAATGTGGTTGTCACCACGCTCATCGCTGCAAGAATTTGGTACGTTCTCGTGCCCTAGCTAGGCTGCCGGCAGCCCCTCACGCTGAAGTCTAGGTTCATCACCCGCGAGAGCGGCGGCAGCCTCATCAACTCGCAGTTCCGCTACACGAAGGTGCTCGTTCTGATCATCGAGTCCGCCATGGTGTACAGTGCGGCGCTTGTCATCGAGATCACTCTCTACTTCTGCGGCAGCAATGCGTTCTACATCGTGTACGACCCCATCGCGCAGCTCACCGTAAGTCTCGCATCCAAGTTCTCTCCCACATCTTGCGTTGGCTTCTCGCCTCATGACACCTGATTATCCCAATACAGGGCATTGTACCGACGACAATCATCGTCATGTCCGTGCTCGGCCTCTCGGCGGTCGACTTCGAGACGAACGCGGCGACCCGCCGCGAGCGCCGGACAATGCAGATGTCGACAATGCACTTCGAGAATGGGAAGACGACTGTGATGTCCCTACCTGGATTGGGCACGGACAACACCACGTCCGGAGGGTCCTACCCCACCACTAATGACTCGACCTTGGCGATAGGGAAGGAATCGAGCCAAATGAAGCTGCCGGAGGTCGTTGAGTCTCGAGTATGATAGTCGCCCAGTGCGTGATGTGTCTTGTAGACTATTTTGGACGCTTGTATTAGTTCTTTTATACCACGTATTATCATATTTAATAATATGTCAGCCTGTGCACAGTTGTTCTGTGGGCCCGGGCGTTTGTGGTCATGAATATTCTATTACACTGTGAAGTACGTCAAGGTCCGCGGGGGAGGCAAGCGATGAGAGATACAGGGGCCTCAGTCGTTAATGACACGGTGTCGAGAACACTCCGGTGGTGCCGGCCCGCTCTCCCGTTTCCCTCCAGGCGTTTCGTTAGACTTGCGAGTCGACGGCACATCGACTTGCAACTTTCCTCTCCTTCCTCTCCTTCGCTGCGACGTCCTAATGCTTTGCAAACAGCACACCTGCAGAGCGGCCTGATTCTGAACGCAGTTGTTCATGTTTTCTATACCGCGGTGCAGCGCACTCTGCTTCCGACGCCTGGGCTTTCCTACACAACACTTCCTCCGCGCACAGTCGACCTCGAGACACAGCTTTGCGCAAAGACATAAGCAAAGCGCAATATCCGCACATGCAAATGTCGCTCAGAAATTCAGGAACTCGCTGCCGAACCTGACTCCATGGGTATATGTCGTACCCACGACGCTACTGGTCCTGGGTGGGACGGGTGTGCTGGCATACAACTACAACCAGCCGTTCCGGCATACTGCGTTGGCCGTGGTACGATGTTCTAGAATAGCAGGTACGTATGCCTTTGCTGGCTTTGAGACGTAGCTAAAGTGGCCGTGCGACGGGGGACGCTCACACTACAGAGGCGGCTATCCTTGGGGCGATCGACTACAAGATGGTGTTCACAAAGACATACGAGTCGGAGGAGTCGCGATTGGAGGCGTACTCGCAATGCCACACACGCAGCGCACAACGAGTGCTCAGGGCACTTCTTGCCAACGGAGGTATGTCCGCCCATTCTCGTGTACGATCGCAAAGTCTATAGGAACTATTTCCGCGTGCTATTGAAGGCATCTTCATCAAGCTCGGCCAGCACATGGCCTCGGTGTGAGTATTGCCCCTGGTGATCCCGCAACCATGCGACCGATGCCTTCCCGAACCATAGCGCAGTTCTTCCGCCTGAATGGACCCGCACGATGCGACCGTTACAAGACCAGTGCGAGCCGACGGAGTACGAAGACCTGGAGCGGATGTTCGTGTCGGACATTGGTGTCTCAATAGCCGAGTACTTTGACGAGTTCGACCCGAAGCCGATCGGAGTGGCGAGTCTGGCGCAGGTGCATGTGGGGCGATTGAAGGGGTCCGGGGAGAAGGTGGCGGTGAAGCTTCAGCACCCGCATCTGCAGGAGTTCTGTGAGATCGATATGGAGATGGTCGAGGTCTCGTTAGGTGCGTCTACCGTTGCATCGATGGGTGGACGGAATTGATGAGTGCGTAGGCTGGATTCAGCACTGGTTCCCCGAGTTCGAGTTCACGTGGCTGGGGGAAGAGATGCGGGAGAACTTGCCGAAAGAGATGGACTTTGTGCACGAGAAGCGGAATGCGGAGCGTGCTGCTGCGGATTTCGAAAACGTCAGGACGTCCATGTACATCCGTGAGTATGTTCGAGCAACCACAGGCGTAGCGTGTCTCATGCTAGACCGCAGCGAAGGTCAAGGAGGCCAGGAAGCGTATCCTTGTGATGGAGTACATTCAGGGTGGGCGAGTGGACGACTTGGTGTACCTATCGGAGCATAACATCGACCGGAACAAGGTGGCGCTGGAGCTGGCGAGGATATTTTGCCAGATGGTGCACATCAACGGGTGGTTCCATGCCGTGAGTGCTCCCTCCCTCGTGCGGGGGTATCCCGTCTGAATTATGTCTGCAGGACCCGCACCCAGGGAACCTGCTCATCCGCCCGGCCCAACCGGATTCGAAGTCCCCGTACAACTTTGAAATCGTGCTTCTCGACCACGGCCTGTACTTCGACCTGGACACGGCGCTGCGAATAAACTACAGCAAGTGGTGGCTCGCGCTGATCGCACCCGCTTCGGAGCAGGTGGTCGCGGACCGCAAGAAGTACGCGAAGCTCGTCGGGAATATCGACGAGGACCTGGTGAGTCGAATCACTCTCTCCTGCTGTCTCGCTAATTGCGCCGTCGTAGTACCCCGTGTTTGAGGCAGCGATCACAGGCCGTGCCGCCCTCGAAGGCTCGAGGACCAAGACCAGGTCTGATTCCGACCCTGAATCGGATAAGAAAGGGGCGTTCAGCCGGGGCAGAAGCATGATTGACCTGTCGGCGCAGACGGAGGCGGAGATGGAGGCGATCCGGAATGCGGTGGTTCAGCAGGAGGGGCTGCTGCTGTCGGTGTTTGATGTGTTGAGGCGGGTGCCTCGGAGGGTGCTGATGGTGCTGAAGCTGAACGATCTGACGAGGAGTCTGGATCGGGCGTTGGCGACGACGCACGCGAACGTGGGTCTTTCCTGGCCATCTGAGCGTGCCGTTTTTGACCAGTTGGGTGGGTGCGTAGATCCGCGTGTTTTTGATCACGGCAAAGTACTGCACGTTTGCGGTGTGGCTGGACGAGAGCGAGCGGCTGGTGTCGGAGATGCGGAGGAAGGGCCTGTCAAGCATGTCGTTGGGCCTGCTGTGGGACTACTTCTGGGTTTGGTGGTGGGTATCGGTTTGCTGCGTGTTACATTTGTGGCTGACAATCGGAGCTGCAGGCGTTATGAGAAAATGTATCGCTCTCTTGAGCTTGTCGAGTGGTGGATGGATACCAGCGCGCAGCTGGTCACGGCAAAGGCATGGATGCGGGGCCTTCTCACCCAAGGTGGACTGCACGGGGCGCATAGAGCGGCCGCGGGTCTTGCATGAAGTCACGCGATTTCGATTCACGGCATGGGAGATGTTTACAATACAGAATTAGACTAGTCAGCGTACAATCGGATACAGTTCTGAAACGGACATCGATGAAAGCAGTGAGGTAGCAAGGGAGAGCAGATGCGAGGATGTAGATTCGGGGTGGTCGTTCACTTCTTCAGTCGAGCGAAGAATGTATCAACGACGTCGCTGCTCTTCTTGAGCGTTTCCCACTATCAGATGACGACGGGATGAGTTCAAGTGGAGAGGGTTATGTGCTGCGGTAGAGTGTACATACCTGCTCTTGGCTCAGGGAAATGCCCTTCTTTCCGGGCTTCAAGTCATTGTCGTCGCCGTAAAATTCTCGGATGTCGAGGAAACTCACGCCTAGCGGCCTCATGAGGGTTGTTGTTCGGATGAGGTACAGAGGACATACCCTTGAACTGGCGCACGGTGGCCCTCCTCTTCTTGCCCAAGTCCACATAGCGCTCTCCCTCGCTGTTTACGCCGACCTTGAAAACGCTTGTGTCCACATCCTCTTCTTCATCTGGTGTTGGGATTCTGGGCTTTTTGATAGCCTATGGTGGATATGTCATTACATGTGTAGATCGCAAAGAAATAGACGAGCGGACATACTGGTGGTTTCGCAGCCTTGCTGGCTTTTGCCTTAGCCTCAGGCTTGGCCTTGGCCTTTGACTTTCTCGCCCGCTTAGGATCGACCTCCTCCTCCTCTTCTCCCTCCTCGCTATCGTCCTCATACTGCCCCTTTGAGCAGCAAGTTACGCGCGGTTAGAGAGTGATAGGCATAATACTGGACGAACCTTGGCATTCTTGCCGCTCCGGCGTGCGGTCTGGAGTGGTCGTTCAGGGGAGCTCGCGGCTGCGCGTGGAGCGTCGCCCTCCTCGTCGCTCGAGAACGCGGCGGCTTTGCGTTTGACCATTTTGGTCGCCGTTGCAGCTGTACAGATGTGTGTAGACTCGTGGGGCGGGACGCGTCGGGCAACGAGATTGGGATGATGCGCGTCGAGGACGCGTCGGAATCAATCAAGGACGCCGGTGTAATCGTGGGAAACGGTTTGATCTTACCAGACTTTATCCGTGGGAAAGTAGTCGTAATTCGCCCAGGAAGCTGAGGACACCGCGTAAGCGACTTCTCGACTCTCCCGCCACTGCGCCCTGCAGCATCCCCATCCGTCTCCAGTCAGAGCACCTTCTGAAGGCCGGAGAAACGCACAAACACACCATTTGCGACATATCTGTCGTGCAAGATGCGGATCTTGCACAAGTCAAAGCGTGTGGTAGCTCCGGTATGTCATTTTCTCAAGACGTCGCTCATGTAGACTGACCTTCGGCCCCACCAGCTGCCCCAGGTCGCGGAGCTCATCGACAGACTCATAAACACCCCAAATGATGACCTGCATGAGGTCCTCTCCCAGATCGACTCGTGGAAGTGGCCCCGATCAGATCTGAACGCATGGATGAAGGTATTGAACAAGTTCGACGCGATTCTTGAGGAGGCGATTCGCGACTATGACATTGACAACCTCCAAGTCAACGTGTTTACTCCTCTCACCAAGAAAACCGTTTGCGAGATCCTTCGTTTCGAGCGTCTTCTCCTGGAGAACTCGACTAACAGGAAGACCTTCAATTCATACGATGTACGTGCACAGACATCCATGTGTAATGACCAATCAGAGGGATGCTAACTTCTTGTATACAGCGCCTGAACAGTCTGATGTTTTCATCGGACTTGGACGTATTGATTCTCGCACTCAACCTTCTACTGCGCCCTGCACAGCAATATTCTTCGCAACCCGCCGTATCACACGCCCTAAGTATCTCTACCCCCCGTCTTACGTCCCTCGCCAAACGCTGGCCCAATCTCAGGGACTATGACCTGAATCTCGTGGATCTGGTAACGAATAAAGGACGAGCACAGGTGGAAGCTCTCCCGACGGAGGCACGGGAGGTGAACTTCGTGTTCTACCGCCAAGCCTCGTCGTCGAGCACGGCCGGAAAGGAGGAAAAGAAGGAGAGCATAGTCGAAGGTGATGTAAGCAGCTCAGCAGCGGTGCAGACTCCCCGCAAGCCTACCTCGTCCGCGGCTGCGACCTCCGCGAATGCGTCGACATCCTCTGGCGCGGTGACGATCCACATCGACAGCAAGACGATCGAGAGCAAGCCCGCGATGGACATCCTTGCGGATGCGATTGAGGCGTACCACGTACCTGACAGCGAGAAATTTGAGCTTCTGATGCGCATCCGCGGCGCACAAGCCATGACGCACGCGTGGGCAGCGGACAGGGAGAAGCTCGTTGTCGTCCGTCTGCTTGCGACGGCCATCTTCGGGCATACGCACTCGGACTCGCAGGCGCAATCGTCGTTGTTCTTGTACGAGCCTGACCTAATCACGCACATTGCAGAACTACTGCAGCTCGACCGCGGAGTGGACATCCAGGTCCAGACGGCTGCCGTCGCTGCTCTCGATGCTATGTCTCGATACAGATCGAAGATCCAGGACGTCCTCACTGCTGTGAATGCCGGCGTGAATCATGGGATACTCATGGCGCTTCTTCGCAAGACTGTTGCCGACGTTGCACAGTCCACTTCCACTCTGCCCCAAGCATTTGTGGAGGCTCTATTCTCGTTTATCACATTCCTTGCTACGCACGCATCTGGCGGGAGTATGATCGTGGGCGCGGGCTTGATCCCCGTCCTGATCCAGGCTATTGAAAACCGACTACCCAACCGTCTGTATGTCGTTTCGAAGACTATGCAGTTGCTCGACAACGTCCTGTACGGCTACACAAACGCGTTCACGCTCTTTTGCAACGCGCGCGGTGTTGACATTCTCGTTGACCGTATTGAGGTAGGTAGCGTTCGGATCAAGAATGCTGTCTTACTTACTGTGTGATGCAGTATGAGGTCGATCTTGACATCGAGGAATGTGCGAATGACGGTGCGCCGAACGACGCCGTCGCGCCATACGGTACGCGTCGCTTTCTTCTCGTTTTCCTTGCATAGACTCACAACCTGCCAAGGCAAGCTCTCGGTCGCTCGGACGGCTGTGCTGAAGCACACACTACGTTCTATCCATCGCATGATGCAATCATCGGGTACTGCGGAGGGTCTTCGTGGCTTGCTCGACTCATCGCTTCTCAAATCCGTGAAGAAGATCATGCAACATCGCGCTATCTTCGGTCCCAGTGCCCTCGCTCTCGGTATGCATTTCTTGGCTGATTCGCAATAAACGTTGTTCATGCGACATTTTGTTCAGCTATAAACATTATGGCCATCTTCGTACACAACGAGCCCACCTGTCTGCCTGTCATTCAAGAGGCAGGCCTCCCCGAGGTGTTCTACAGTGTCATCGAGAAGGGTCTCGAGCCCGTGATCGAAGTCATCCAGTCCGTGCCGAATGCGCTCGGAGCCCTGTGCCTCAATCAGGCCGGCCAGGACCAGCTCACCGCGCGCCCGAACACGATCCCCAGCTTGTTCTCGATCTTCACGTCTGAGGACCACCAGCGCGTCTTGCAGGAGAAGGAGAACGCGGTCCTTATTGGGACATCGGTAGAGGAGCTCATCCGACACCATCCCACGCTAAAGGAAAAAGTGTTCGTTGCGATCAAGAGCACGATGGCGCGCATTGAGGAGCTCGGGACGAGCTATTCGGTTCCTGATGATATCAAGCACTGGTACAGACTTCAGCCGCAGAACCCTGCTCCTGCTCCTGCAGGTGCCGAAAGCACAGGTGAGAATGTGGCCATGGAAGTTGACCATTCGACTCCTGCTACAGAACAAGCTACGCTGCCTGCTAGTTTACCGCCATCGGGGGAGCAGCCAAGCCATAGGGACGACTTCTGGGGCCGGTCGCACGACAATCTCATCATTTCCTATATCGACGTCTTCGGAAAGGTGATAGACCTCTTTCTGTAGTTTGTTATTCGGCTCATCGTATCGTGCAGTTCCTGGAGGGCTTCTTCCAGCATGTCCCCCACTGCCGCGACTTCGTTGCTGACACGGACGGTCTCAACGGTCTTGCAAAGCTGACCACCCTACCTTGCCTTCCGTATGATTTCGCGAACAGCGTTGCGTCAGATTCATTCGTCCAAGTCGTTCGCACCATGGCTGAGGCCGCGACGAACGAGACCCTCGCGTTTCTCGTTAGACTGGTGCAGGAGTCGCTAGCGGAATGCAAGGACTTCTGGGGGTCGCTGGACGAGCAGCCAAAGTTGCTGGGTCTCGTTGAATTCAGTGGTAAGTCCCGCGCTGCCTGTTTCATTGCTCGTTTGCTTATAGACCCTTTGAAGCTGGCGCGGAGGAAGAAAAGGCGAATACTCAGTTCCGCAACCTGATTACGCTCCACACCCGCGTCTCCCTCCTTTCGGACATCTACGCTACTGCGGGGTACTCGCACGGTCGCGCAACCCAGACACTGCTCCAGTCCCTGCTTGGGAAGACGCCTAACCCCCTCCAGGAGCTCGGAGCGCTGCACCGCGCGTGTGTATGGGAGAACATCATCTTGAAGTCCATCCTCTCGGCGCAAGGCATCGACGCCTCGCCTCAACATGACTTGCTTGCGCTCTTCGGGTCTGCAAGCACGCCTACCCAGGGTGTATTGTCATCGACACTCTCTGCGACTACGACTGCGACTGCAAACACGTCGTCGACTAGCGCGGCCAACGGGGCATCCGCATCCGCGTCGACTGCTGCTGCGAATGGAGCGACGCCCACGAACGCGACGAATGCGAACGGGGCGACGCCGGCCGAGCCATCAGCGTCGACGAGCACCCCTTCGGCCAATGCGAAGAAGGAGGAGCAGCCTAGGGACAAGAACGCAAAGGGCGTAAAGCACCTCGTGGGTCAGATTCCAAGCGCGTTGGCGCCGTTTTTCCAATGTAGGTGAATCTAGTATTGCTGCCTGAAGAGGCAGTTGCTGATTATCCTGTTTGCAGCGATCGTGAGGTTGTTCCAGACGCGTCGAGGTAGCGACTTGGCGCAGAAGCAAAAGATCAAGGAGGCGGCTGGCATCATTGCAGATGTACTTGTGAAGCACCTCGAGCAGAAGTCTTTCAGTGAGCTTTCAGAGGACTGAGATGTGGAGAAATGACTGACTGACTGATCATTCCAGGCGACAAGCTCTCTCTCTTCTCGTACTACACTTCAATGTTGAATGCCGCGACGATTCTCCTCGTGGATGGTACGAGTATTTTACCCGTTGTTCTCTTGCCATTTTCTGACCCGGCTTCCGAGTAGAGAAACCATCCCAGAAGAGTCTTCATACAATGTTGCTAGTCGCGTTTGTCCGTGTGGGTGGGCTCGATGCTCTTTTCGGCCTATGTCGCGAATTCATCAACACCATCGAGATGGTTAGCAAGGTCAAAGTCGACGAGCGAACCGAAGTGACCAAGCAGGAGCTCTCTCACGCCTTCAGTGGTCTGAAAGTCGCTCTTCAGCTCATTCAACCCACCATCTCCGCGAAACCTCTCTTCGACGCCACCCAGACCGCACTCGCGCTTACCGTGGATAAGAAAGACACCGACGCCGACTATTTCGAGCCGCATAATTTCTTGGTGCGAATGCGTGCCGCTGCTCTACCTGTCGTTCGCTCAATCTGGGAGGCGGAGTGGCTTCCATCTGCGCCAATCAGCGTCAGCAAGCTTGTCGTGCACATCGTCATGGAGCTCCTGAATGCCGAGAACGAGGAGGTGAAGGACGTGCAGACCTCCGCTTCGATCATTGGCGGCGGTCCCATCGGCATGCCCCGCATACCCCCGATGCAAAGTCCGGACGAGAACCGTATTCGCCAGCTGACCGACATGGGCTTCCCGCGTTCTGCCGCGGAGCGGGCTTTGACACGCACGCGAAACAACGTCAACGCGGCGACGGAGCTGCTACTCTCGCATCCATACCCTTTCCCTCCTGATCCTGATCCTGCCCCAGAGCCTGCGCCTGCGGCTGCCGAGGGCGAGGCTGTGGCCGTCCCTGCTGGCGATCAGGATCAGATCCAGGCCGACACTCCCGATGCTGCACCGGCCGAGGCAGGCGATGCACCAGCTGAGGCTCCTGCTTCAGAAGACAATGTAGAGTCTGGAGACGCTGCCGAGACCGCACAAGGAGATGCCACAGAAGAGACGATGGAGGAAACATCGTCGACTGCATCGGACTCCGAGGCTCCAGCCGCACCTGCTCCTGAGGAAGTCTCCGCACCTCCGGGCAAGACTTCGGAAGAGTGGGTTATGGAATTGACCACCGCTAGGGAGCCTCTCAAGGAAGGCATTGGTCGCCGGGTACTGAGTCTGGTTGATGAGCACCCTTCGCTCGTCTTCGATGTGCAAAAAGTGTTTATCGGGCCGACGAGCGAATACCGCACCCAAGCGGTCAAGGCTCTCATCGACGACATCCAAGCTTTCTTGCCGTCAGCGTACGACGTGCAGGAGCAGCCCCTTTCTGTCCGTTGTCACCTTCTCGCCTTGGTGCTCGGTGAACCATCGTCTCCCGCTGCCCAGATGCCAGAGAAGGAGGCGGAAACCCTCCTCAACGTTCTTCTTTCGCTGCTTTTGTCTAACCCCGGCGAGGGCGGACAGCCTACGCTACCGAAGTGGCTTTCTGCCCAGTTGTTGGTCATCGAGTCTCTCCTTGTTCTCGGGGATTCTCCTCGTTCGGTGACACTGCCGAAGGAGAACGAGCCAATCAACAGAGAGCCGATCGCTCAGGGCCCTCGCTACGCGGAAGCTCGAAACACCCTCTTCGACTTCTCCATGCGTCTACTCGGTGTTCCGACACTCCCCAAGGATGAGTTGATCTCGGTCCTCAGACTGATTGTACTCTTGACTCGAGATCATAACATCGCGGAGGCCTTCATGGAACGTAACGGCGTGGCGGCACTATTCCAGTACCTCCGCATCTCGTCTGGCACTCAGAGCGGGACCGGCATCCAGTCGTACATCGCGCTCATCGTCCGGCATATCGTCGAAAATCAGATTACTCTCCAACACGTAATGCGCCAGGAAGTTAAGCGTTACTTTTCTCATCCTCGTAGCCGCAATGTCGACATTGGCTCCTTCGTCTCGGGATGTAGCTCCACTGCTCTTCGCGATCCTGAGGCGTTCGTCAAGGTTGCTGAGGAGATGTGTACGCTGTCGCAACCATTTTCGCCGATGAAGACTGTCAGCCTGAAGCCGGAGGTGGAGCCGAACGCTACATCCCAGCATGCAATCCCCGGGGGGAACAAGAGCAACGAGATGCAGATCGACGAGGCACCTGTACAGCAAGCGTCAGGTGCTCCTGTGGAGTCCACCGAAACCCTCATACACTACCTGATTGGCGAGCTCATGAAGACGGTGAAGACGGACATGGCTCCCGAGAACCTCTCGGCTGCTACCTCCGTTGATACTGGGAAACTCACTTCGACTCATACACCTGCTTCCAGCGAGAACCGGACAGATGCCGCTCAGCCTTCCTCTACAGAACTCAGATCTCCTCAGGACCCAGTCGACTACACCTATCCATGCTTCATCATGCAAGTGCTGACCGAGTTACTCTTCTCCTACGAGAGCTGTAAGATTGCATTTCTCTCTTACACGCCCAAGAAGCGCAACCAAACTCCTGCGAAGGAGGGAGGCCTCAAGCACCGCACTGCCGCCATCCAGTTCCTTCTCTCTGACCTCATGACATTCGGTACTATCAACCCTCAACCACCCTCCGAGGCACGCAAGCAGATCACGCTCTGCAACTGGGCTATGTCGGTGATTGTCGCTCTCTGTGTCGACACCGTCACGAATCAAGACCTCAAGGACGTTCCGACGGACCTCGTCTCCGTCCGCAAGTTTGTTCTCGAGGCTATCAGCCGCGCTCTGAAGGATCTTCCGTCTTCCGATAGCCCCGAGCTCCGCTACAGCCGGCTGCTCGCCCTCTCAGATCTATGTCATCGCTTGCTAACAGTGAGGTTCAACGTGAATGGCAAGAAGGCAGGCGACGAGGTTCCAACCCATATCGCTAAGGTCATGCTTGAGAAGAACTTCGTGGCGACCCTCACCAACGTCCTTTCAGAGGTAGATCTCAACTACCCGAACATCCGTAATGTCGTCTCGTCTGTCTTGCGTCCGCTGGAATATCTGTATGGTTTTTTTCGCTATGCATGGGGACTTTGGAGACATACTGACGATTGGGTTCATAGCACGAAGATAGCAATGAAAATGAGCCGTATCTCGGATAAGAACAAGGAAGTTCTCGAGGAGAAACAGGCGATGTCTGAATCCGACATTTCCGAGGAAGACGAGGACGAAGACGATGAGACTGAGAGCCCGGAGACCGAGGAGGCCAGCCAACTCTACCGCAATTCGTCCCTGGGATTGTACGTGAATCATGATGATTGACGAGATTTCTTCTCACCTGTCGCGGTTCCATCATCTTTCTGCAGATTCGGTGGCGTAAGCATTGGTCGTGTCTGCTTGACCGTAAGGAGGACTGATTTTCCCCCGCAGGAAATGGAGGACGTCCATTATGGCGACGAAGACGACATGGATGAGGAAGACGATGAGGATGAAGACGGCGATGTTGAGATGGACTTTGGTGACGAAACTGGAAGTGAAGATACCTCTGCTACTGATGAAGAGGATGTCGAGGAAGACCTCGAAGACGAGACCGGTGAGTCGGAAGAGGGATGGCAGGAAGAGGACGAGGAAGACGAAGAAGGCCTGGTTGAGAACGAGGGCCAAGCTGCCGAAGAAGACGCGGATGAAGACGACGAAGACGAAGGCGAAGAAGTCATGTGGCAGGTAGGCGCACGATGATAGGGATATTCTGTTAAGAGCAATACTCACTGACTGTCACGCAGGACATTGCAGTTGGCGACGGTGGCGCGGATGAAGGTGCTGATGAGGGCGAGGAAGAGGAAGACGTTGGAGGTCGGTAAACTATCCATTCTTCGTCTGTCGGAAGGACTAACGCATCACGTAGATATGCCTATGGCACCTATGGACATGGATGACGAGGGCGACGTGATTTCCGAGGGCGAAGAGTAAGTTGCATTGTCATCTTGTTGACGTCTGTGTCTGTATACCTTATCTCCGGTCTTGCTAGGTTCGCAGATGAGCTCGGCCTTGTCGATGAAGCACGTCTTGGTCACGGTCCGAATCTGTTCGACTTGGCTGCGGGTTTCGCGAACGTGTTGGGTGGTTCGTTGGCTGCTGGCATTCACGGTGCTCCCGACGGCGAGCCTGTTGTTTGGACTGGCGCAGTTCGTTCTACCCGTCGTCGTGGAGCTGGTAAGTAGATCTTCCACAGAAAATTCGCCATCTTCCTGTCTCATGTCGCTCTACAGGGGATGACGACCTGGATATATTCGGAAGGTCCCGCAACCCGCCAGCACCCTCTGCAGAGAATGTCACCCATCCGCTGCTCCTGGATCCTGCGACTGCAGCTGCGCGCGCCTCGCAAGCAAGGTCTTCCCGCCGTGGCCACCGTGGCCTGCTCGCAGGCAGCGGAGTCGACATTGACCAGGCCCTGGGCGAGGGCGCAACGCAATTCCTGCAGCAAATGCTCACACATGGTCGTGCCGGTGGCCACGAAGCGCTGCATATCAACCTCCCCGCTGGTCTTCTCGCCAACTTCCCTCGCAACGGTCGCGGTGGTGCGATATCTGCGTCTATACGTCTCGAGCGGGCACCCCGTCCAACCGACGGACGCACCGAGGGACGGTCTTTGGAGCCCCTTCTCACTATTCAACGATGGTCGGAGGAAGTGAAGATGCTCCACGGAAAGTTCGAGCAGGCGAGGTTGAGCAGGCTACACAATCATGTCGTCCTCGCCCTTCTGCCTGCTGCCGCCGAGGCATACAAGAAGGCCAAGGAAGCAGAGGAGCGTGAGCAGGAGCGTATCCGCGAGGAGCAGGTTCGTGCTGCGGAGGAGGCTGCCAAGAAGGAGCAGGAGGCCATCGAGGCCGCCGAAAGAGCAAAAGCAGAGGAAGAAGCGAGAGCTGTCGAGGCCGCCGCCCAAGCCGCTGTTGAGGCCGAGGCTGCCGCCGCTGCTCAGGAGTCCGCTGCTGCCGCCGATACAGACGTGGAGATGGCTGATGACTCACCCAGTGCAGAGACTCCGGCTGCGGAGAACGGGCCACAAACCGCGGAGTCCTCCAATCGTCCAGAGGAAGCTGCTGCACCTGCTCAAGAGAGGGTCACCGTCATGATCCACGGCGCCCCCGTTGATATCACAGATACCGGTATCGATCCGACGTTCTTGGAAGCACTGCCCGACGAGATGCGTGAGGAGGTTCTGAACCAGCACGTACGCGATCAGCGGGCGGCTCAGCTTGAGCGGCCAGCAGATTCTGCGATCAGCGCCGAGTTCCTCGACGCGCTTCCTCCAGATATCCGTGCAGAAATCATCCAGCAGGAGGCCGCAGAACGTGCTCAACGTACCCGGGCTGAGCAGGCTACCCAACAGGGAGGACCGCTCGATATTGATCCCGCAGACTTCATTGCCAGCCTGGACCCACAGCTCCGCCAGGTCGTATTGATGGATTCTGACGATGTTTTCATCCAGAGTCTGCCATCCCATATGATCGCAGAGGCGAACATCCACCGAGAACCTGGCCGACCCCCAAGGCCTCGCCAGGTCCCTCCTCGTCAAGGCGGCGCCCAAGGCGCTCCGCAGCAAGCCTCTCAGCCCACTAAAGCTCCACAGTCTCGTGAGGCTATTCAGCTGCTAGACAAGTCTGCATTGGCTGCTCTGGTTCGCCTTCTCTTTTATCCTCACATCCTGAAGAAGAATTTGCTCTACAAAGTGCTCGTCAATCTGTGCGAGAACGCCAAGTCTCGCACGGATCTGTTCAACCTCTTGCTTAGCATCCTGCAGGACGGATCTGGTGATCTTGCGTCCATCGACAAGAGCTTCGCGCAGATGTCCGTACGTCACTCCAGACCGACCGCTCCTCAGACACCGAAGGCAATCGGAAAACAGCGCGTTTCCACGGACTATTTCGGTTCTCTCTCTCTGCCACAGAATGACGTCGTCCCGGAGCTCATTGTTCAGCGCTGTCTCGAGGCTCTCACCTATATCGTCAGCTCTAATGAGCTGTCTTCTTTGTTCTTCCTCACGGAGCATGAACTACCCATCGGTCTCCGCCGTAGCTCCTCGAAGAAGGGTAAGGGTAAGGAGAAGCAGGCCCCGCAGACCCACTACCCCATTGTTCTCCTTCTCGGTCTGCTTGACCGCCCATCTATCCTCAGGACGCCTTCTATCGTCGAGTCGGTTGTTGGCCTACTGGCTACGGTTACGCGGCCTCTTGCTAGTTTGAAGGATAAGGATAGCAAGAAGTCGGAGAATGCAGAGAGTAGTACTGCTGGAGCATCAACAGCTTCGCCGGGAGAGCAGCCTTCGTCGGGCGCACAACCTGTGGACAACACTCAGTCTGTTATTGGTGAGTAGTCATGCCGTTCTTGACGTCCGACTTACTCACTCCACGTTGTCACAGTTCCCGATACTGCGTCATCCGACCCCGCTCCTGCACCCACACCTGCATCTGCAGCCGTACCTGCTACTGCTCAAGGCGAATCGCCACAGAAGCCGCCGGCATCCGTTGAAGAAAAGGTCTTGCTCGCCAACTCTCCCCATATCCCCCATCACGTGCTTCGCTTGATCGTGAACGTCCTGACTGCGGGCGAATGCTCAGGACGCACTTTCATGCAGAGCCTTGCACTCATCCAGCACCTTTCTTATATCCCTGACGCTAGAGAGGTTATCGCATCTGAGTTGCGCTCGCGAGCACAGGAGTTTGGCCAGAGTCTGTTCGCCGCCCTCGATGAGCTCGCCGTTGCCCTGCGAGACGCAGACGTACAGCCTGACGTCCTAGCTACCACGATTGCTGCAATGTTCTCATCGGCTTCTTCGGATCAGGCCAAGCTACTCAGGGTACTCAAGACAATCGATTACATGTACTCTCCGAAGACGTCCGGGAACTCTACCGAGGCCGACATTGAGAAGGTCCAAAGCATCTACGAGACTTTCCGGTTTTCACCATTGTGGAAGCGTTTGGGTGACTGCCTGTCCATTATCGAGGAGAAACCTGAGATGGAGCATATTGCTACCGTCCTGCTCCCTCTCATCGAGTCGCTCATGGTCGTCTGCAAATACGTTGGTCCCAAGACTACGTCGGGTGCGACTGCTCGCGCTCTCCGTGCCTCCACCTCACCAAGATCCCCGACCAGCGCTCGCGAGTCCATGGAAGACCTCTTCGTCACGTTCACAGATGCTCATCGCAAGGTCCTAAATCTCATGGTCCGCAACAACCCGTCACTTATGAGCGGATCCTTCTCCCTGCTCGTCCATAACCCGCGCGTCCTCGACTTCGACAACAAGCGGAATTACTTCAATCAGCAGCTGCACCGTCGGCCACACAGCCGGGAACATCACAGTACACTTCAACTGAACGTCAGGCGCCAGCGCGTGTTCGAGGACAGCTTCCAATATCTGCAGCGCAAGACTGGCGAGCAGATCAAGTACGGCAAGTTGAGCGTCCGGTTCTACGACGAGGAAGGTGTCGACGCTGGCGGTGTCACTCGCGAGTGGTTCCAGATCCTCGCCCGCCAGATGTTCGATCCCAACTACGCGCTCTTCCAACCATGTGCTGCCGATAAACTGACGTACCAGCCGAATCGTGCCTCGTGGGTCAACCCCGAGCACTTGTCGTTCTTCAAGTTCGTCGGCCGCGTCATCGGGAAGGCCATCTACGACGGGCGCTTGCTTGACGCCTACTTCGCGCGCAGCCTGTACAGGCAGCTATTGGGCAAGCAGGTCGACTACAAGGACGTTGAGTGGGTCGACCCTGAGTACTACAACTCATTGTGCTGGATACTTGAGAATGACCCGAGCCCGCTTGACCTCACGTTCAGCGTGGAGGCAGATGAGGTGCGCTCGTTGTATCCTCACGTAGGCAGGTGCATTGTTACTGATAGCTCACCTTCTATTAGTTCGGTGTCACGAAGCTCGTAGAGTTGAAGGAGGGAGGCGCCAGCATTCCAGTTACTCAGGAAAATAGGAAGGAGTTTGTACAGCTGTCTGCAAACTACCGCTTGTACTCGTCCATCAAGGACCAGATTGAGTCTCTGCTCGCTGGCTTCTACGAGATCATCCCGAAGGACCTAGTCTCTATCGTACGTCCCTTGATCACCCTCCCTTGTTTGACTACAATTCACGTTTTCATCGCACAGTTCAACGAGCAGGAGCTTGAGTTGCTCATCTCTGGTACACCTGACATAGATGTTGACGAGTGGAGGTCCGCGACGGAGTACAACGGCTATACGAGCTCAGATCCCGTGATTGTCTGGTTCTGGCGTGCGCTCAAGTCGTTCAATCGCGAGGAACGCGCGAAGGTGCTCAGCTTCGCGACCGGTACCTCACGGGTGCCGCTTGGTGGTTTCGTCGAGCTGCAGGGTGTCCAGGGCACCCAGCGCTTCTCAATACACAAGGCGTATGGCGACACAGACCGTCTTCCCCAAGCTCATACATGTAAGCCTCGTCGCGACCCTGTTGACAAACGACTTGTTCTGACACGCGTTGTCCTGCAGGTTTCAATCAGATCGACCTCCCACAATACTCATCATACGAGATGCTCCGCCAACAGCTATTGCTGGCCATCAACGAGGGAGGAGAGGGCTTTGGTTTCGCATAAGCATAGAACTCTTCATAATCGCAGACGCAGAGAATCACGTAGAATCCGCATGCAATGTACATATACTACACTCACACCATCATCCCATTGTTGCCATCATCTATTTCCTTGACTTCGACGCACGGCAAGAGTCCGGGCGGCAGTACGGAGAAGCCGATTGCCCCACGGGGTAAGGCGGGGCTGCCCCTGTGGACCGGCTTCGGGCAGAACAAGAGCCCGAGGCCACCGCTTGTCCGGTGAACAGTATGGCTCACTCGAGCCGGCTACACATGCCCTATACCTTTCCATCTTACCCAGTCGCGACCCCTCTTACCTCCCCGTTACACAGAAACGTTGTCACTGTCCCAGTCGACACTGACAATGCGCGCTTTCGTCGTAACCGACTATGCCCACCCTTCCAAGATTCCCATAACTCAGAACGCTCCTGAGCCCAAGGCGGGCCCCGGACAGGTCCTCGTCGACGTCTACAGTGCTGGTCTGAACTACTTCGATGTGAGTCGCATCTTAGAGATATCTATCACAGACCTCGATGGATATGCGATCACTGGAATAACCTCCCTCCGCTCTCTGCGCGTACAGCTGCTACAATCGCAGGGGAAGTATCAAAACCAGCCGCCGCGGCCGTTCGTTCTCGGGAGCGAGCTTTCAGGGCGGATTTCGAGCAACTCGCCTATCCCAGATGGGTGCCCATTCAGGGCGGGAGATAGGGTGTTCGGCGCAGCGCAGGGCGCATTCGGGGAGAAGGTCGCGGTGGCATGGCAGTCTCTAGTCCCTCTGCCGGATAATATGACATATGACCAGGGTGCAGGTATGTCCACAATTATGAAATTGTTGCCTAGAAGGGGAGACCAACGCAACGATGCAGGGCTGTATGTTACTTGGCCAACGAGCTACGAGGCATTGGTCGGTCGCGCCGAGTTGAAGGCTGGTGCGTCCAAACATTGAAGCAGGCCATGCTTCCGCGCTGACCTACTGATTCAACGCGCAGACGAGTGGGTGTTGGTCACTGCATCTGCTGGCGGGGTCGGTATTGCTGCCGTTCAACTGGCGAAAGGTTTGAGCTCGCCTCCGCGTATTCATGTATTTATGTCTTACTGCTCCTCGTGCAGCGCTCGGAGCGAAGGTCATCGCCGCGGCGGGTTCGCAAGAGAAGATTGACGTGTCGATCAAGCAGGGCGGTGCTGATTATGGCGTCAACTACTCTAAGGAGGGCTGGCAGAAGGAGGTGTTGAAGCTTACCGGAGGCAAGGGTGTCGACGTAATCTACGACCCCGTCGGTCTCATTCGAGGTATATTCTGCATGTCCTCAATGCGTTCATACTTAACTCGGCTTACCCGCCTTGCACAGACTCGTTGAAGTGCATCGCGTGGAAGGGTCGTGCGATTGTGGTCGGGTTCGCCGCCGGAGAAATCGAGAAGGTATAGTGACCTATTACTTCACTCCTATGCTCGCCCTAACGACCACTTTAGCTTCCACTGAATCTTGTGTTGTTGAAGAACATCGCCATCACGGGCATCCACTGGGGAGCTTACACCAGTAAGTCCACCTCATTTGGGGGGTGATGAACACCCTCTGATTCCGAGTTACAGAGAATGAGCCGGAGCGTGTACCCGTAGTATGGAAGGAGCTGCTAGAGTGAGTAGTACACTGCATTGTACCGATTCTGCTGCTCACAGTGCATTCTTGTAGACTCTTCTCATCGGGTCGCGTGAAGCCCGTGGTATACCCCGAGACATTCCCGCTGGATAGGGTAGCAGATGGTCTCGTCGCTATCGAACAGAGGAAGACCTGGGGGAAAGTAATCGCGTATATCCGAGAGTCTCCGCAGAACAAGAGTAAACTGTAAAGAGCACGCGCATCTATACATGACATATGCGCATCCAGCGATAAGACTCAAGGGTGTGTGGGTCAAGGCTCTGCCCTCTCGGTTTGACCCGAGGGTCTCCCCTGAGGTCAGACCGGGGTCACTGGTCAGATCTTAGACCTGCGAAGGCCGCCGCAAGGCTCTCAGTCCGCGTACCAAGCCTGTCCAGTACAAGCCAGCAAAAGGAGCTCGTCTGGAGCTGGCGACGCCTGCTTAGCACGCATGAGGCCCGACTGACTGGTCGGGCCCCGTTTGATACTACTTGAGTACATGAGACTGCTCCGTCCCTTGTCTCGTATGGTTCGAATCCTGCAGCACAATCCGGAGAACCAGTAGTTGTGGACCCTATCATGGGTACGCGAGGTATTCCAGTCCCGGTTCGCTAGCTTGTAGAACTCTTCCGCGAACTTCGTAAGCGAATACTTCGGCAGGTCCGGATATAACTCTCGCGCGTCCAAGTATCCAAGCCTCTTTGCGTTCGCGGGAGTATTCTCCTCGAGGACCAGTAGTTTTGGATCATACTCGCCTTCACCATCCAATCCGGTCGGTCCGGGTGCTTCGAAAACTCCTCTTTCACCTCCTTCACAGCCTTCACCACTTGCTCAGGTTCGAGCTTAGTCGGGCGGTGAAGGAGACAGTTTAGCATCTCGTTCTATTCTTCTTGATCAAAAGACAACTCACGTAAATCCGCTTCGCTTTCATAGCGTCCCCCTCGCCCGACACTCTTTCACCTATCTCATGGGCACGCAAGCTCTGCACCTCCTCATCCCATGCGATGACTGCATGGTTCAGCGTCTGTGGATCCGCAACGATTCTTGCGACGTACAATCCAATGCGGCGCAAGTCCGTTACGAGGGTGCGCGCCTCCCCCGTGCCTACGATCAAGTGCGTGAACGCGGCGACGTCCGGAGGAACGCGGGTACGGGCAGGGAGCGGAAGGAAATTATTGCATCCACCACCCGACGTCGATAAATGTGTACGGGACGTCGAGTTCTTGGACAAACTGCCGAATCTCCTATTTCTGTTATCAGAACAGTATCGTTTGTTAGAGCCGCTTGGGAGAAGACAATAGACGACAACAAAGAACGGACCGCGTCATGGAGAATGCGCACGCCTTTTGCACCGGGTGTTGCAAAATCGCAGGGTACCACACGCTGGACGCCGACATTCTTCGCAGTACGGATGACGTCCTTCTGGTCGGCGATTGCGAATCCGCTCACAGCACTGATCAGGATGTTCACGCCCTCGAGCGTCTTCTCGTGAGTCTCGACGGAGTCCTGTAAGTTCCCCACACGGATCTCGATCCCTGACTGACGTCTGTGGTGGATTTCAAGAGGGACGATGGACGGACAAGCGCTGCAACACGCTGGTCGAAACGTCAGTAAGTTGACGCCGTATCCATCGTATCTCATAGGAGTGCACACGTACGAAGTTGCCAGAGGACAATAGTCCTTGTATGATGCTACTGCCAGATTGGCCTGTGCCTACGACGAGGACAAGGGGTTTCCATTTATCTACATACGCAAGCATATGTCATGTCCGACGGAAAGCCTACTTTACCGCTATTGGAGTACATTGCTCGCTCGCTGACTCACATTATGGGTGGGCCCGGGAGTGTGGCAATCCCGAAATTCACGGAGAGGTGAGTTTCTGTCCTAGTGTAGGACAGCGCTTCTCCATGGGGACGGAGACATGGCCATTCGCTGTGCCAATACTTTTGTCCACGCAAGGAGCTGTCGTGGAGCACGGCACGGATGTATCCGAACCGTCGGATATAAGGGATCGATACACACCGAATAGAGCAGCCCAGCCAACTGAACGATGCCCATTCGTGGCTGGATGCAATGGCCAGTCCGGCTCTGACAGCATGCACTCGTAGGCCTTCTCGCCTGGAGCCGGTGGGAAGGACAACACGCGAGGTCCGAGATACGGAAACAATCTTGCCGATGGCTAGGAGATAAGATACATCACACGAGACGAAGATCAACAATAGTGTCACTAGACCTACAACAACAACTTAGTCCCACGGCCGAATGTCTGTCCCAAACGCAGGTCATTGGTCATGATCAGAGGATGATACGATTTAACTGTTCCACTCACTCGGGTCGTGCGCCCGTTTCTTGTAGTGGTACACCAGCGGCGCGGGCGCGATATGAAGCACGTCGTCGTAGTTGTCCGGTGAGTTTCCCCAGGCGGACTCAGCGTCCGAGCGCGCGGAATGCGCGGACCCGTTCGATATGCGCTTGTTGAGTGGGACGAGACCAAAGGGCGAAATCGCGCGGTTGCGGCGGCGGTCCCACTCTGCTATATAGGCGTCTGCTTCGACGTCCACGGCGAGCGAGGGATCGTACTGCTCCGAGTGTGGGTCGAGGATGGGTGGGGGGCGACACTCGGTGCGCCGGAGGTGGATGAGGAGGCGGCCAAGGATAGTCGTTGTCATGGCCCAAATGAAACTGTAGCGGTGCGGCGACGAGTAATCAGCGCATATATCGATCGCAGCAACTGAAAAGGGGAGGCTAACAATACCGCTAGGAAGATAAACGATGGACGATTTAGTGCGGCGAAGACGATGTTGAGGATGCGGAGGGCGGCGATGAACTGTGTGATAACATGTCAGCGAGACAAGAATAGATGGCTGTGCGCAGACACGCACGACAAAGAACTGGATCCCGTCCTCTTGCAACGCCTTGGCGATCGGGAGCTCCACCGTTCGCGGACGATCAAGGGCATTAAGAGCTGTCGAGCCGAGAACGAATAATTCAAAGACCATCTACATTGAAGGACGCAGCATTCGTCAGAACTACTGAGTGAATGATGGACATGAACGGCAAAGAATATATACTGGACATGCCCAAACCCCGATCAAGAGATGCGAGGTTTTCGTGGCGACGCACATCCCCAATGACGTGTTCCATGTGATGAATGCTGCAGCATGCGATACACAGTTGACATGAGCACGAGACGCACATAAGGGCTTGGGAGGACGTACGAAGCATGTTGATCAGCGTGACAATCATGGTGGCGACCTGGGCACCGAAGCTGATGACAAACCCTACGGTCATGATCTTCAAGATGACCTGTCAAGTGATGTATTCGCATTCATGAGACGTGCAGGCCGGACTACTATGAGGTATACACCTACCGGACGATGATCCCAGAGGATGACTACTCGCTGGAGCGTGAGAAGATTGGCGATACCGACTGAGACAACCGCTATCATAGAACACGTGAAGATGAACTGTTTGCATCTGTCCAAGAGGTTAGATAGACATGAAAGCAACGGTGTAGACCTTCACGAGCACCGACCCCTGTATAATGCATGCAACAATCAGAATGACGACATCCGCCAGGCATGAAGTGGGGTCGTACGTACTGTATCTGTGAACGACGAGTTCACAAAACCGCACATCTCTGTTGATAGTAGTTGGTTCATGTGTTCCACTCACATTCGGATTCTGCTCACCATATGCAACGGCGAGGAGGGTGCCCAACACGGTGTATCGATTGAGCAGGAATATATATTTTGCGTATGTTGCAGGGGCGGACCAAATATATTGCACCTCGTCCCCGAACGTCAATGCGTGGTCATACAAGAGAACCATAAGGCCAACGGCTGCGCAAGGACCGTCAGTCTATCGATAGAATACCTAGTAGCAAGGGGAGACACGCACCACTCATGTACCTCGACGCAGTCAATTCGTGGAACATGCTCTCCAGAGCTCCCAATGCGGCAGCCATTGTGGGTATGTTAAAGGGTATCGTGCAAACGTGACGGACGCGAAGGTGCTTGAGCGGAATTCAAGTTCAAGGATTTCGTTATTAGGACGACCTGTCGCCGAGTAGAGTTCCAGAATTAAACGGCAGCGTAAGTATACCAAGATAAAGTCAAGAGAGAAGGAAGGACAGAACAACTGCAGCCAGCAGAAAGGGAGCAGAATGGTGATGGCGGTCAGGAGCAAGCCCCTACGGTCAGCGGACGCTGCCTGACACACCCCACATCGGTGCGCCCTAACTGAGGCTGGACGCATCCTGACGCAGACAATTGATCGCAACAGTCTCCGCATTGATGTGCCTCTACGACTCGGACAAGCCATCATTCGGCCATATAGGCGCCCATACACCCAGACAATGGCAAGCCAACAAACTGCTGGAAACATTCGAGGGTAGAACTCACGACATACTCAGCATCCGTCCCCCGCGAGTCCATATAGATGGCTCCAGCTATTGGCCATGCAGGCAAGGCAAAACGATAGACGCACCTTCTCTGCTACGGTTCCAAAAGGACTGGACTGTGCATCATGAGGGCGGTCGGACGCTGAGGGCGACGCCCTCAACGAAGATTCTTATAAAACCTGCATGAAGCTCCGAGAAGCCTTGCGAGGCTCGAACCGGAGGCATCTCTGATCGAGGCGAGGCATAGGTGCATATGGGTATTACGTTGAGGCCATCAGGACAGGTTCTGCACCGTGAGGTCATCCCCGGCATCTCTTCGGTCAACCGCCATATTAACCTTTCGGCCTCACATGTGTGGGAGCGCGAACTTGATACCGCGCGCGAGCTATCCCTACTTCGCGCCGTTCCTGAGGTCTCCAGGCGTCGAGGACGGTGAAGGCTTCGCTCAAGTTGACATGGATGCAAAAGCATGCAGGTGACAGTATGAAGCTTGCAGCAGGATAAGCAGCAGATCGTCTTAACAAATCTGCACCGTTGATCTAGAGCCAGGTTGCCCGCGCGAAGAAGCCTCAGCGGGAAGGTCCGAGAGTCATACCGATACCACGTGGGGGCTGTGTCGTGGTTTCTCCAATCCCTTTTCCCGACCGCCATCTCAAACGACCGACGAAAACTTCAGTGCACCAATGCAACTGCTCAGTCCATAGCATCCGTTCCAGCGTCCTTGTTCTCGTGCACCCAACGAGTCTCAGATATCTCAGAAGCTGCGTCGGTTGCTCAACAATGTACATGTGGCAACTATTGAGTCGGTGGCAACGGCGTCCGCTCTTCGAACACTCCGGACCTCTCTCATCGTTACGTTCGTTCCTGTAACAGTTGTCGGTACGGAGGTGCAGATTGCCCAAATCTGCCGCAGCTTCACCACGTTGGTGGGCGGCCAGGTCCCCGTTCAATGTATTGAACGTATTGAACAAGGAAGCGACGCTTGCTGATGCGTACCTTGTCTTCGCTCGGTTTATAAAGCACATCGCACGGCTTTAGTAGAGATTTTCAAGGTACATTTGTATGAGTGACAATCACTGTCGAAACCAAGATCAGGGCGCGAGCCTAGCATATGATATGGGACAAGGCCGCTGTAAGGAGCAATCAAATTGTTCAAATTATGCGTACTGGCACTAGCCAAGAGAACACCAAATCTGTCCGCCTTCCGTGAGTGCCCGGCTTCATTTGCGCAGCGTTGACGCTCCCATGGCCCAGAACCGCGATCGACCTCCCTGATCTGGTCAGTGGGAAGGTATGTCTCTGAGGTGTTCGAACTGGTTCACACCGGCACCATCTTGTAGTTGTAAGTTAAGTTGTCCAGGAAGTCCCCGTTCACCGATCGCGACGAGGGCGCCGCTCAGGGGTACAGGCACTTGGCAAAGGCCTGCTGTTTGGTTGGAATACCTTATCAGCGTCACTAGCGAATATGTAGACATCTTCGCGCTTGAGTTTGCAAGCTTGCGATCTTCATGCATGTTGCCTGCGAATCGAGCTGCGGTGAGTTAGAACGCAGATCAGCGACCTGATAGTGTGGGAGGCTTACCTGCGATCTAGACATTCGCTCCACACTTTAGGCTTGCTTTGGGATCTGGGGTTTGCCTTTGAATTCGTGGACCAGATACACAATGTGCACATGCTGGTGGGTACGAATAAGGATATATTGGACCTTCTGTCAACGGCGAGCTAAACGTTCGCGGAATCATCAACTTCCCGAACATCTTTCCTCGTATACCGACCAGAATCCATCGCTGGTGCCAAGTAGGCAGTGCTCTTGAGCTCATGATAAGATGCATCACGCCGGGTGCAGTCCAACGTGAAGCAGGGCCTACTGACTACAGGCATGAGCTTCATCCACACCTTGGAATCCCGCCTGAGGCTCTCGGAATCTCGGCTACTCTTTCCTAGTGATATACCAGATCCAGGCACGTCCTGGGGCTGCTGTGCAAGCCCGAAGCCACGTTACTTAGCAGCTCGCGGTGATAGACACGAGATCTGGGTTGAAGCGGTGAATGTGAACCTGGACCTGAATTTGGCCTGGATGGTATGGATGCCGAGAAACACTCGTCAATCACGATGCTAGTATGCTCCAAGGCCTGCGGATGCCCAATCCGGTCGCGACATATGCACGTAACGTGTGCTTCTACCTCCGTCCTGCGCTACAAAGGCCGAGCCGCAATAGGCAACTTGCGGACAGCGAGGACCCTCGGCCTGAGAACGATGATAATGCGGATGGATGGGAAGATGCGGTGAGGTGAACACGGGGCTACGAGACGCTCTGCAACGGCATCCATTGACATTCGACGATGATGTTCGATGATCGATGGGTCTGTGAATACTGCTTCTCAACTTTGTTTCGATATGGCGCTCGGATACATCTCTGGAGTTTGATCGCAGAAGCTTGGATGGCCGTCGAATACGACTCGGATCATTCGTTTTCGGCGCAACCCGGGCCTGTGGTAGCCGATGCCCTCTATGTAGAAGTAAGTAAGCCAAAAGGGAGCTTACCATTCACCTTGGCCGGTGATGGATCACTTCCGCCCGCTCCAATCGCAAAGAAGCACGTTCAAGAAGGTAGTCGAGTATCTGCGCAGCGTTTGCATTGAATTAGCCCTGGAAACAAATGCTTCGAGGGCGACGCTAAACCTGTGCTTCCTACAGGCCTGAAAGGCGCGTTGTAATTCCGCCAGCACTGTTCAGAACCTATTCGAGATATAGTTCTTGTGCCAACACGAAACTCTGCGCCGGCGTAACGACTTCCTGCCTCGAGGACGTCAGACAGACGAACGGCATGCGCACCTCTATGATCTGTTGCCATGCTCACCTACACGTGCCTGAAGATAGTTGCACCGCCTGTCCTATGCGTCATCCGAGGTGGGGGATGATGATGAGAAGATCGTCACCGAGGGCGTATCGCCGCGGCGCGTGCGGTGAGGTGTGTTGTACGACTACGTATACGAGCGCATCGAGACCATGCATGACATGTGCTGTCGGTGTCTGAGACGGTTACAGCGTGCGCCCATACCAGAAGACGTCAGGCTCGTCCCTTGGAGACAACTGCACGAGCATGAGATACTGGTGGGTGCATCTGAAGTGTTGTACGTTGTGCACCTCCAAAAATGACACTAACCGTTACCTGTGCTATGTGCATCTATTGTTCGTGCCAATCCGTACATTGTGGAATGCTAGACGTTCGCACTCTATAGAGAACGCCGAGAGGCGCGTGCCGTGGGCGACCATCAACAGGGGTGCTCAATTCTTGTCGGTCGCTCAGTTGCTCGCGCGCCTATTGGGCGCCTGCCTAGTTGCATTCAAGGTCAGCTCAAGCGCCTGCAGCACAGCGAGCAGAGATACGCAGGCAGCAGGTGCAACATGACCGCATGATGCCCCCGAGCTGGGACTAGAGAGCGACGCGAGGATTTGACAATTCAGAAGCTATAAAGTTGCTTGTCTCGAGATATGGAGTCGCCTCACAAGGTTTGAGTCCAGTTGCCATCGAGCCCAGAGCGGCACCCTCAGCTGAACCATATATATATATGTCGTGCTGATTCTGTTTCCGACTTGGGCGCATTGTGTACAATAAGACCAGGTCAACGAGTTTATAAGCTCTCCCGACGTCACCATTTACTTGCTGGGTGTCGCGGCGACTAGGCGCGTAGACTCGGGTCGACGTTCGGCGACGACCCCGTAGGCGAGCGGCAAGGAGCCGAAAGGGGAAAGAGAGAGAGAGAGAGGGATAAACGTGACAAGAAACTCGACGAGGGCAGAGCGGAGGCCGGCACGAAGGCACGAGACCTACGAAAGCTAGTCTTCACGCAGAGAGCGACAGACTAGTCCCAATGACCAAGTTATACATTAGCAATCGAAGGGAGATACAACGCTATGGTCACTCACCTAGTCCCAATGACCAAGAGGTCGAGATGGGGACTAGGGAGCGCCTAAGGGGGTCCTTATATACTAGAAGGGCTGCTTAGCAACCAAAGACAAGGCGCGAG